CAAGTTTGCCTCGAGATCATATGACTTTGTGGCACCTTCAGTCTACAACGTGTTACATGCTAAACTTAATCTAAGGCAGTATACAAGCAGACAGATAAAGCAACAGATCTGTAATTATTTATTGGAGTTAAATGAAATAGGTTTAAATATCCTTATGATGCCTCTAAGTTAATGACGATGATGAAATTAATTCAAGTTCAGGAGATTGGAATGGATCAGGTAAAATTGCAAATTAGTAATACAATGGCAATAAATAAAGCATGTATGGGAACCGTTATATATAAATACATACACACACAAAAACACACACATGCGCGCATACGCTCACACACACTCACACACACACACACACACACACACACACACATACAATTACATTTTTATTTTATTTTTTATTATTGTGTTTAAGTTGTTTCTTTAGCACTTCTCATATTAATTAACACAATAATCACATAAATGGTACAGGGGTGGCTTACTCTGTTCATGTAGTTTTGGGAGTGGAGGCCTGGTGTCTTGTAGAACAGGTTTATCCTATTGCAAGCACCAGTCTTCACATTAAGTGGTGAGGTGTTGTAATTAAGCACTTTATTGTAAATTTTTCTACTTATGTGAAGAAATAAATAAAGAATTTATTTATATTTATTTATTTATAGTCGTTTGACCACGTTTCTCCGTTTGGCAGTTCCACCTTGTAATTTCTGGAAAAATTACTAAGTGGATGCATGACATCTGTAGTCATCGCTAGTGTTGTTAGTTCAAGCGCTCTTTGGTGGAGAGACCTCAGTGCTTAAGAGTGTCAGTTTGTCCTGTCAGTAGTGCTTACTCTGTATATTCTTGCTTTCGCCTCCTTTATTATGTATAAATGAAGGGGCGGTATGTTTAGCAAAGCATTAAGTCTATGTAGCACCTGGCGTTGAAGACAGCACCGGTTGCCATAAGGCATGCTATTCTTTGCAAGCTATTCAGCTTGTTGATAACTGTCGTTTGATTGTTTTTTTTCAGCGCACTACGCAGGCGTCGGCTTTACGATGGCGGTGTACATCCACAGGGCAATTTTTGGGTTTACACCCCATTTCGTACCAGCTAGCCGACAGCATATTCCAAGGGTGATCTTCGCCCTTTTGTATCACATTATCAATGTGATTGTTCTACGTCAATTTTTGGTCGATAGTAACGCCCAGGTATTTAACCTCCGTGAAGAATGGAACAGGAATTCCTTTTATCGTGGGCGTTGTAAGTTGATCTAACTTTCGCTTCCTAGTAAAAGGTATTGTTGTTCGGATTTACCGATAGATTGTTCTTTGTGCACCATTTAACAATGATGTTCAGAGATCTTTGCAGCATAGATGATACAGTAGTTTGACACGGACCAATGACGCAAGCTACGACATCGTCCGCGTATTCCTGTTTATCTAATCCTATATCAGAGGCTTTTGTTAGTAGCTGATCAACCGCCCATGACCACATTAGAGCCGATATAAGCCCCCTTGCGGACAGCCTCTCGTTGTCTTGAAGCATTTTGTTGCATGAATGCTTATTTTAACAGTTCTGTTAAGGAACATCGAATTGATCCAGCGGGACGTTGTTTTATCGATCCCTTTTTCGCTCATCCCTTTGGAAAGTATTTTAGTTGTGCCGTTGTCAAAAGCTCCTTCAATGTCGAAAGCACAGAGCACCATTTGCTTTGGGCCCTTAATTCTATTAAGGCACTTTCTGTGGTATTTTTCTTCCGGAAAGCATGTTGCTTTATGTGCAAAGGACGTTCTCGCAGTGGTCCGTCTCTAATGCACATATCAATAACTTTTCCATACTCATAAGCAGGAACGAGGTGAGAATTATTGGTTTGAAGGACTTCGGCTGCGCGGACTTCGCGCAGCCGAAGTCCTTCAAACCAATAATTCTCTTCTCTTCTTGCCAACTTTATGTATGAAACGAACTTTTACAATAGTCCATTTCTCTGGTATATATCCGCAGGCATAACTTGCTGTGTAGGTTTTAACCAGAATGGGGATAAGGACGTCTTTAGCTCTTTGCAAAAGAGCTGGTAAGATATCGTCCTCACCAGCAGATTTGAAAGGTTTGAATGAATCTATTGCCCATTAACCTTATTTGGTTTGATTACCCTTGCTGCTCTTCTCCAGTCTTCATTTATAGGGCTGGAGAGGCAGTTGTAAAGGAACAGACCCTTGAGGTGGTTTCAGATACCACTACTAATCTAGCGAAGTGTGTTGACCTCCAATGTTTTCTCCGCTGTTTCAGTAAACGTTCCATCTAGTTTCTTTAGAAGTCCCAGTTGATTTGTAGGCGATAAAGCGAGAACTTCATGAATTCTTGCTCCTTGAGGGACCTTGGTGATCTCCTCGCTTGCAGAAGTTCCTCCTTGAAAGTCTCTTTGCCTTTCGTATTTATTTAATGTAGGTAGGTTGTTAGAGCCTTTAAGAATCCTCACCAAACATTGATGAGATAAGCACAGCACACTATAAGACGCCCGCTACACCCCCGACGTTTACAAACTCTGCCATCAAATCATGAGAGCAAAGACCTGGTATTCGTAAGAAATCAACATTATAATTAAATAAGATACATGCTCTTGACTTGATTCCCCCGACATGACACATTACCATGCCAGCAGAACCCAGCCCAGATACTTGGATGAGAGCGTGAGAGCTCTATGCCGGATATCTAGTTGTGAACTAGACAACGCTTAGTGCGCAAAGCACTCTTCTCCCTTGATATTCACATGTCGAGTGGGTCTGATGGAGTCTCACCAGTTGTACTGAAGACGTGTGCTCCTAAGTTGGCTCCGGTACTAACGCAACTTTTCCGGTTCTCTTTCTCTTCCAAGCTCATAGTAAACATTTTGGTTGGTTGGTATGGTTTAGTGCATCCGATTGCATAAAAAGCGACTGATCTCTTCCTTCCAAGACATCAGCAGTGTTTCTGGACCAATACGACCTAAAACCTTCAAAAACAGAGTGTACTCCTTCCTTAAGAGCCGGCATCGCATTTTTGATACTTCTGGTGTTGCAGATGGCTATGGGCGACAGTGATCACTTACTATCAGGTGAGCCGTCAGCCATATAAAATGGTAGGAAAGTCAGAACTGTTTATTGAATATTTTTTTAAAAGAATACTTGGGGTGTGATCTACAATCGATACCGAATCCAAAAATATAGTTTTTAGAATTTTTGTCTGTTTGTATGTCCGGAATAAACTCAAAAAGTACTGCATGGATTTACTTCAAATTTGGCACAAATATTATTAAGAAGTCGGGTCAACATATAGGCTACATATTATCACGCTATCACCTACGAGGAACGAGCAGTGAACCTTTATTTCTAACTAACTCCACGCGTACGAAGTCGCGTGCGGCGGCTAGTATATGAATAAATACATTTGTAATGACCTTTCATTACAAATGTATTAACTCACTGAGCAAGTTATCTATTATTTATTGATATCATTGTTGTTGCGTTGTCACTTGTTAAAAAAACCGGCCAAGTGCGTGTCAAGCTACGCGTAAGACTTGCATATCACCAATCACATTACAAAACTTGTTGACCCGAAAGGAAGGTAACCCAAGATACAGGGTGGTCAAAAAGTCGTGGATCAAACGAAACCGGGAGATAAAGAAGGTTATTTCCAACAAAAAATCTTTCTACAGCATGGCCATAACTTCATTGCATGAAAAGTTATGAATATTTTTGTTTTTTTCAATGAATCTACCGAGTTTTATTACAATTTAATCAATAAAAAAATTAATTGATAAAATACAATAAAACCAAAGGTGTTGTATTATGACCAGATTATGTATCAATACTACAAAAATTGTATTGGAGCTCTCGGTACCAAATTTAACGAGCAATGAATTTTTTTCGTAAATTTTGAAGCGTTACAAAGAATTACTTCTCACATTAAGAACACCTTGTGAAAAAAAATGTATTACTGAAAAGTGACCCTGTATTAAAAAAAACTTGCTGATTTAATGCTGATTCAAATGAGGTACAACACTTTACTGTGTGACCTTTAGTTTCGGTTTTATGGTCGTTTTTTCATGTCAAGGTGCTATAAAATGGTAAATTGAAAGGAAAATTTAGATTCTTGCTCATACATACTATGTAGTAATTTCAGAAGCCATCAAAATAAAAAGAACAATTATGACTTAGTAATTTTATTATTACCAAACAAAAAAATCTATTGGGTTAAGGTCGGGCGACCGGAGTGGACATGCAATAGTTCCGCCTCAACCAATCCACCGGTTAGGGAAGCGCTCGTTCAAATGTCCTCGAACTGCTCGAGCATAATGAGGCGGGACGCTGTCTTGTTGCAGCCACATCTCTGCCACTCTATCTTCAGGAATCTCAGCTTCGTTGAGTATTTGGTTCAAATTATTCTGTAAAAAAATTAAATTCAGAGCACCATTCAGCCTTGGTGACAGTTCATGTAGCACATTCTTCTGGTCAATTATTCCAGCCCACAGTTTATACCAAACAACCCTTTTGACCTTTTGTTTCCTAGAAAAGATAAATCGTTACTTGAACTAAGACACTTTTTGACAAAGGATTAAATGGTTAGTGTGAAAGAGTGTCTATCTATTTTATAAATCCTAAGTGTGACAAGAACAGAACATTTCTAGCGTTCCAACGTACAAAAAACTAGCCGTGTATGATCAACTAGTAAATTATTTGAATAAGGTTAATTTAATGAAATTTGCACCTTGATATGAAAAAACGACCATAAAACCAAAACTAAAGTTCACACAGTAAAGTGTTGTACCTCATTTGAATCAGCATTAAATCAGCAAGTTTTTTTACTACAGGGTCACTTTTAAGTAATACATTTTTTTTTCACAAGGTGCTCTTAAAGTTAGAAGTAATTCTTTGTAACGCTTCAAAATTTACGAAAAAAATTCATTGCTCGTTAAATTTGGTACCGAGAGCTCCAATACAATTTTTGTAGTATTGATACATAATCTGGTCATAATACAACAACACAGTCCTATGTACCTTTTGGACAGGTTTCGGGCATGATTTTGTTCGTGTTGGTATATCTAGGGTATTTAATATCGTTGATATTTGCAAGCAAATAAAGAATAAAATACAAGCTACTATTAAGATTTAACCTACATACCTACACTTAGAATATTTTAATAATGAACCTGATATGGCTATACGAAACTTAATATGTTTATTATCAATGTAATAAAATATTAGAATTCAAAATCGTGTGATTTATATAAATAATAACAGTTAAAAATGTATGTATACAAGTTCTTTGTTATGCTAACGTGAAAGAATTTAAAACGAAACGGAAACTGTCAAACATACTGTCAAATGCTGCTATCTGCTGAACTACTGAGTGATTAAATTGATAAGAAAATTAAATTAAAAAACTAATTCTTCCAATGATATTCTTATTAAAATTATTAGAACCCTATTATTGTGTAAAATGTGAAAAATTGTAGTGTGCTATTACACCACCAAAATGTGAGTTACCTAGATTTGCGTAGCTATTACTTGTTCATGTTTATGTACGAGTTCTGAATCACAAGAGTTTTATTGTTGTTATGTTATATTGAAATCAATATTTACTTCTTTAATCAGGGAGAATATAACCATTGCGGACGACCCAGTGGCACAAAGATGGAATTCGTCGTCCTTAGATTTCGCCGAAATAACAATAGATCGAAACTTCGCCCTGTTATTAGTATCCCTTATATCGGCTATGCTATGGGTCGTTTATATAACGTACTACAACAGCCGCGTACTTGGCTATATATTAACGAGGTTGATTAATAAATTCTACTTTCAAGATGAAAACTTCAAAATTGGTGAGTATTTGTTTTGTATGAAAACAACTCCTTACAAGAGAAAGGTGAAGGAAAATACCTGTTAGAAAACAAGTTCCTTCTAAACAGTTTGGTTTTAGAACTGTGAAACCTTTTTCTATTTATTCTAGTGGTTAAATAAGGCAATTTAATTATGCTAGCGGATCACCCTTGTAAAAAAAATAATTTATAAGGTAGGTATAATAATAAGGTATAAAATATTACAATTTTGTTGTATAAAATTTGTAATACTTCTTTGACATTATGCCCACACATTCACATAACATCCTTTCAAACACATCAGTGGACATAACATCAAGAATAAACATCAAACCAAAAAGCAAGTAAATACTTAAATTGAGGAATACTAACAGCGAAACATGTTGATTAAATATATTTTAAATAAATTATTTTTATTTCTTTGGAATGTAGTTGTGTATCTGTGAATTTGGATTATTAGGTGTTCATATACATGACTTTCAAACATAAATCAAATACAAATATTAATTATATGTGGAAAGCTAGATACGTCCAGCATTTGAATATTTACACATATACATAAATAATATGGTATAAGTATGTTTAAACACCTGATTATGGCAGGAAAGGCTTTTAAAAGATATCTTATTAATTTATTGTTGAAATAATGTGATGCTAACATAACACCTACAATGTCTATACATAATACTTATTCAATTGAAGATTTAATAACAGCCTTTGTTCTCATTTATCTCCTAATTTAATTATATCAAAGTAAAGCATCAACCAATAATTAATTTAAATTATTGGTTTCTTCTATTTTACAAGTGTGTCATGAAACAAGATCAAGAGATCATGTAGACCTCTAAGGATTTCAGTCTTTTTTGTGTTCAGTCTTGTGACAAGATACTGAACTAGAAAAAGAAGAATTTTTCATTAGCTACATAAAAATCACTCCTAAAGTGCAGATTCATTAAAAAACATTCAATTATTACTTATTATAACTACAAGAGCATTGGACTGAACTATTGAAGTCTTATTCACCAAGATACCGAATTAGAAAAACAAGATTTTTTTTTAGCTACATAAACAATAACTCATAAAGTGCAGATTGATGAGAAAATCATTTAATTATTACTTATTATAAATACTGGAGCATTGAACTGAGCTATTGAAGTCTTATTCACTATAATTCTTATGACATTTTGAATTTCAAATAATACTTACTATACTATTAGTGGAATTGTAGAAAACGCAAACAAAGCAATTAATAACAAGGATAACAAGTTCCTTGTTTACAAAATTCATATGATAATGGAATTTTTTACAGTTTTATCACAGTTTCATATCCCAAAGGTGACATTAAAGCAGAGCAGTGAAACCAAGGCTGCATTTTGTAACAATTTTATTGAATATGATACAACACAGTGTCACTTATGTTCATGTTGGTTGTTTGAACTTATGTTCATTCAAATGCACAAACCTTGCATTATATACATACCTAGATACATTATATACAGCATGTAAGCGGCCTAAAAAATATCTACTAGAAATGGTAGATAAGCTTGTCACTACACACACACACATTGACTGCTTTCAAACAATTTGACATTAGAATTAAAATGAGCCATTTTCTTTGCTTGGTTTATTTGGATTGCTGTATCTAAGTGTGTAAATCAAATATAATCAAAAGCACAAACTTAAATTTGTCTCTTGTAATAGAGACTGCACACAAAATCAAATGGAATAATAGTCCTAATTTAAACTACCTATGTCTTGCAAATCTGTATTATGTAATGAAAGCAAATCATATAGTCGAGATATGAACTAAGCATTCAATGCAGAATATTGTGGCGAAATGATAACAGTAGAACCACTGAGTATGTACTGCAGCTTTTAATTTTATGATAGAGTGTTATTAATAACAACCAGTTTCAATAATCAATCTCCAGTAAGCGATCTTTTGGAGCTTAACTTAGTTGCCTAGACATATTTGTAAATAAGTTTTTTTATATAAAAATGTCCAACAGGTAATTCCACCTCACCTGATGTTAAGTTACGATGGAATTCAGACGCAAAAAATAGCTGGTACAGCAGTTCTACCTGCCACATAGCCAGGATGCACATTGCTTCTTCATGCCTTTTTAAATTATATCAGATTAAAGGAAGAAGGGAACACGTGGGCAGGCATTCCACTAGCGGATAGGGCTACAAATAAATGAGTCACCAAATTTCCGTGTTCGTATTGGAATAGTGGCCACAGTAAGTCAGTGATCAGCCACCGCCTGTGGTCCTCCAAAGGAAAGGTATGGTATATCTGATAAGGGAGAATAACTCCTCAGAACACTCGCCGTGGTATAGACGATAGAGCGTGCTTAATGAAGCTACGCCATGGCGTAATTGAAGAGGCTCGAGGTGTTTAGTCACCTCCTCATCACCTAGGATGCGGATTGTGCGCCGCTGTAACCTATCCAAAGCATCGAATAAGTACTTTGCGAAGCCATTCCATAGGTGCGAACAATCTTCCAAGCAAGACTGCACTTGCGTCTTGTACAACAGTTGCTCAGGCGTGGAAAGCGTTGCACCTTGTTCAGGACTCCTAGTTTGCGGGATGCTGTTTTTATCACGCTTCCGATGTAGTTCTTTGGATTTAAGTTACACCAAATTTCCATAGTGAGCATGGTGATATTGTTCTCTAGCGTCAATGTTGTGCCCTAAAGAGAAGGAAGGGGAATGAATGACGATGTTTTTGCTGTGAAAGTGCAGACCTGGCTTTTGTTAACATTGAACTCGATAAAGATTTTGGTACCCCATTCGGAAATGTGATCTAAAGCCTGATTGAGTTCAAAGACAACATTCTTCCGTTTCTCCTTGGTTTCTACCTGCCCTGCTTGTCAGAAATATTCCATATGCACTGTGCTATCCTGTGCATAACAATGAATATTCCCTAAAGGAATTAAATCATTGATAATGCAGCAGAAAGAGCGTGGGGGATGGGACGAAGCCCCGAGGAAAACCTGTATTCATTGACATGAACTGCGACCTACTACTACGATCCCGAAAGTAGACACGAATTCTAGTTCATGCAGGAAGTCAGCTACCCAAAAACAGAACTTAGCAGGCAGACCGTTGTGCAATGCAGTAAGCTTGGAGAAAAGGTTTTGTGCCAGACCTTCACATTGCCCGATTTTAATTTCAGGCTTCCATTCTAGAAAACGCAAGCTGAATAAATTTACCTTTTACACTGCTCCGTCCAGCTGCGTCTGCTTCCTGGACCGCGTGGAATATTTTCTAGTAAAATTTATCTTTACAAATAAATGGTATATTTATACCTTATAACTTTTACTCTAATTTTCTAGATTTATTTTCTTACCATATTTATTTGATTGATTTATTTGATTTTTTCTATCAACGCCCTTAGAAGACTCTTATCAGTGTGTGAGGCTTACATTATGACTCATGGTCTTAAATATAACGTGGTTAAAAGTGAGCTCCTAGTATTTGGCGTAGGCTCGAAAAAACTGGCCGTTGTTCCCCCTGTGACACTGGGTGGTGTGGCACTCAAACGTGTCACAGAGTATAAGTACCTCGGACATGTGGTCACTGAGGACTTGTAAGATGATTCAGATATTGAGAGAGCACGGAGAACGTTGGCTGTCCATTGCAACATGCTGGCTCGCAGGTGCGCTCGCTGCAGATGTTAAAATTACCTTGTTCAACGCCTACTGCCAGTCTCTATACACGTGCGCCCTGCGGGTCAGATATACGCAGCGGACATACAACGCTATCCGTGTTCAATATAATAATGGATTGAGGATGTTGTTGGGGCTCCCACGCTACTGCAGTGCATCGGGTATGACGACTTCTCTTCAGTGATGCGCAAGAGAATTGCATCGTTGCACAGGGGTTCGTGGGAGCGCCAACAGTATTCTTGATGTTATCGGAAAAAAACCGGAGTGTGTCATTCTGAGGCACTGGGTACATACATATACACGTCCATCTAACTAGTGCCTCAAGAGGGTGTATATATGAAATATCTTTATGTTCTAAAATGTACTAACATAGTTTTTAAGTTTGATTGTTACTAACATGTTTATGGATCTACATCTGAAATAAAACATTATTATTATTATTGCCATATATTATTTTGTTGAAAGAAACTTAGATAAAATAAAATTGTACATATATGTTTCAGGATCATTCACACTTAATGCATTATCTGGCAAAATTATGTTTCGAGATATTGTATATATCAACTATGATTACGCTCTCCGTATCCAGGATGGATATTTAATATTCAGATGGTGGAGATCGTATGTGCCTAAAGATGCATCTGAAGGTGAAGTACTGTGTAGAATAATAATAGAATATAGTTTCACAATATGCTAATGGTTGTGATTATTTCATAACATGATTGAATTCTTATTTGTTGCAGACTTATCACATTCAGACACCCGTCTTTCTATCATGCTTAATGGTTTTGAGTTACACTTTTACAATAGGTGTGACCTTTACAACGAACTAGAAAAAACCTTTGGCCTAGATCCAGTCATCAAACAGCAGAATGACGATGATTCTACAGACCGTGACAAAGCAATGAATGACGCTAATGAAAAACGGAGACGTGCGCAAGATACCGTGAGATCGGAAGCTGCTATGGCTCGAACATGGCGAGATTTAATACCTGTAATTAAAATAGATATTTGTTCCGGGCGTATAGTATTTGGAAACCGTCTTGTTCCCACTACACTATCTATAAGTGTTGAAGAAGCTCATCTTGTCTACAGTACGAAACCACCTGCTTCAAGTTTGGATCATCTGATGCATTTCGTTAAAGTTAAGGCAGAAAATTGTAAAGTCATTCTAGCACCAAGTCCAAATTACACAGCCATGGTTGATGAACCCCCAAGATACATGGGTGAGGGGTTTGTTGTAATGAGTTCAAATTATATTGAAGTGTATTTCTACATGGATGAACCAGGATTAGTCCCTGAACAACCAGTGCTACTGCAGTTAGCAAATGGCGACATTGTGGAATCAGCTCCACCCATTTGGGGTGTAGATATAAAATGTGGGAAAGGAACAGATTTTAGCTATGGACCATGGGCAGACAGGCAAAGAGATCACTTATTCAAATTCTTTTTTCCACCAAACTATAAAAATTTAGAAGTCACACCTCAGCCAAAGCCTGGTGACAGACGACAAATGCAATCTTTTGATATCAGGCTGTCGACATTAAACGAAGCTACCATAGATATTCTCTTCACAAAAAATAAAGAGACTAATGCTGTACATATAAATATTGGTGCTGGATCTTATTTGGAAGTGACATTACCATGGATTGTATTGCAGGACGGGTACACAACTAAAATCACAGGGCAACTGTTGCATCTTGAAGCAACTACGAGCCTTCAATACCGAAGTATGGCAGAGAGTGAAACATTAGAATATACAGTTAAATGCCACTATCCTCTAGTTTGGAACCATCATCAATGTTGGCAATTAGGCTTGACAGGATGCAAAGCGACTATTCATCTTGTTTATACTCACATAGATTTCTTCCAGGATTTGATCAATGATTGGTCAAGCAAAGCGCGTCCAGACATTTTGCATTTTGTACCATACACTTGGAAAATATCATTGCTACTGAAGGAGTGTGAGGTGGTCACTGTTAGCAATCAGTACAACTGGATAGATTGCAGTTCTACCAATCAAGAAAACAATCATGTAGCATTTTGTGGTGACCTTTTGGATGTGTCTTTTGACTTGCCCTTTGTTGATTTTTTGCCTGACGTGATACCTCTTAAAATATGGATCCAAGGTGAAGCTGTCGATATGAGCTTGTACTTGCCGGAAGTTAATACCTCTAGATTGCTTCTGTTATCCCTTGACAAGAATATGAAACTAGTTCCTTGCAGGTTAAAAGCCTCAAAATGGAGAAGAAAATGCGTAAAATCGCAAGGCTGGGTGGATTGCTGGTCAGTCCCAATAGTGGCCTTGAGTGTGAGATACAATTACCATCCAATCCCTCCATTAGGGCCGGAACCTCAAGCGGATATCACAACTCCAGAAAAAGAGGAGATACTTTTATCGCCTATGAGAATACCACGAATGCGGAAGCAGCCACAAATGAACTGGACTATGGATGGAAACAATTTCGATCGGACATCTCTATCACCCGACAAAGTCAGTCTCGAACTAGAAGTGGGACCGTCCATACTTATTGCATATGGAACTATTATTACAAGTTTCATGAACTTGTTGGAAAATATTTTTGGTGAAGATCAAACCTTCACAGATATGCAAAAGTCTCCGAACATGGAAACATTTCATTGGACTAATGAAAATTCTACAAAGATGAATGACAAAAGCAGTGTTAACCAAAATAATGACATATCTTTTGACGACTCAACAGATACTAGCAAGGGACCATTTGATCCTCGGCACTGCAGACCTTTAGATGTCACTGTTTCCATCATAATTCATGATATTCAAGCACATTTAGTAAAGAATTGCAGTGAAAACGAACCACCATGCCCTGTCATATTGATAGAGAGGTTTGGTTTTGAAATGGATAAAAGATATAAAGAAACGAAACTGCAACTTCTGTTGAGTCCTTCTATATTGGTTTCTGCCAATAACCTATCCAGAACAAATCCTATGAATTCAGGCGCATTATATCAGGGACATTTAATGCTTTCCTCTTTTCAATTACGTGGAAATGGTTTCTTCAGTGATACTAATAGGTCTGTTGAAGAGGACACCGTCGAATATGCCTGGATGATGGAATTACAATTAGGCCAACTAACTGGTCGCTTGACTCTTCCTCAGTTGTATCAAATCATATCATCATTGGAAACGTTTTTGTTATTGATTTGTGACAGTGAAAATGAATTGATTCCTCCTAACCCTGTAAAATATTGCCATCATGGTATGAACACGGGCCTGTGTCCAGAGTCGGATGTCACGTTAAAATATCGCTGTCCAACTCCAAACGAAATCAAGTATCGCATGATTCGCGTTGCAATAGACTTGATTGACATCTACATTGCTGATACTAATACCACGCTACAAACGTGGCTTTCGCCAGCTAGACTGAGTTTTTGCAACCTGCGTGGATCAGGTTTTGGAACTGGCATTACAGGCTTATTGCCTAATATAAAACTTGCTGTATATACTCAAACAAATATGCAAACGAACACTCACCATAATTCAAGTGGCAGCAACAGTAGCCACAATAAGCTTCCAGAAAGCGAAAACTGGGTCGGGGTTGGATCAGCATCGTTGGGACCAGTTTTGATAGAGGCAGCTTCTTCCTTGCCTCAGAGCCCTAAAAATCTCCATCTCGTACAACAAAAGTTCTTAAAACTTCATGACGATAAAACAAAACGATTATGGTTCTTGTGGCCAAACGAGGGCCGAAGCGCACAATGTGGGTGTACTGGAGGATGTGCTTTCTTTGGATCCAATAGAAACGGACCAAATTTTTTGAAACCTAATCCTTCTGACCTTAACGAAGGTATCAACATTGCTCTGTTTAACATCATAGAAACTACTCCCGGTGAATATGGATACGGACAGAGTTTGTTGCATTCTGGACAATTGGTGTTTCACACTCCACCCTATAATAGTTTGAATGTATGCTTACAACCATCAAATGTTAATGCGTTGATACCTTCGCCTCTGCCCCAATCTTTCAATAGATCTCCCCAAAGTGCAGAGAGGAGAAGTTTGACAAGAAGATTTTCATACACCAGTATGAGCAAAGGCAGTAATAATATTCTCGTGTCGAGTACAAAGAGCGACGTTCCTTACGCTCGTCTCGTAGATTCAACCGGCCCATTGGGAAGCTCGAAAATCGATAGCGATTCCAAACTAAATAAAAGTGTACTGAACGTGCCTCAAATGGAAAGTAGTGTCTCTGACTCCAAATTGGCATTGAGTTGTGGAGTTAAAGATAATTCAAATGTACCATCCATTAAAAAACAAACAGAGGTTGACGCGTTTGTTGTTCCAAAAGTACCTGCCAGGACAGTGGGAGTATCTGAGTCCCACTATTCATTAAACTCCCAAGCGCCACATGAAGATACATTACTACAGCAAGAAGTTCAAAGAACAATGTCGATAACAAGCGAAAATCACTCGGAAGCTTTCTTCTCTGCGGATGAAGACATGTTTCCGAGCAGGTCTTCTAGCTTGAAACATTCATTCGGAAGTCGTCACAGCAATCCTAAAGACAAGAGTTCATTTGGCATCAATGATATCACAAATGAAAAATGGACTAATTCTATGCCTAGATCAGAACCTGCAGGTGGACCTGACACCATAAGTAACTTAAGCACAGGTGCTCAGCCAGATTCGGAAAGTGGATCAGTTTCCTCGACATCATTTATTTCCGCAATTTCATCACAGGAAGATATGACTTTAGTGAATCTCCACATGCAGACCAACAAACCAATAGTAGACTCTCCACTACTAATGGCAAGTTACATTCAAACTTTACCACAATACAAATGTACTAATTGGTATACATGTTCTCTACCGAGTGGAAGCGATGTATATACTTTGCCTCTTTTTAAAAGAGCAGAGGACGGGACTTTGGTATATGTCGGTCAAAAATATTTACCGAAATTCGAATCAATAGGAAAAGTCAGTATTCTGAAGCTTATCTCCAAGAAGGAAGGTCATAGTAGCCAAAATCAACATGGTCCATATTCAAATTTGACTCCGCATTTCAACAACCAGGTGAAGGCACACCCTTACCCACATGGGTGGTGGGATTTACAGCAAAACGTACAAGACAACCAAGAGAACACCACTGATAAAAGTACCTCTTCAACAGCTACCACGACCAGTGACAGTAAAAGTGGGCTGTTTATTAAATTTCGAGGAGAAATAGACATTATGTTGACACCATTAGTCCTAGAGAGTACTCAGAAGTTTGTAGAATCGCTGACACCAGTTTTGGCGAACATCCATCCTATAACGGTTATTAACCATTTACGGTTACTTTGCATATCTTCAGTGGAGAGTGCGAACATTCTGAAACAGAAACAGTACGCTCAAAATTGGCTACCACAAATGCATGCTCGGAACCAATCTAACGTGATAAGGGATAAAGACGATAAATGCAAACTTGCCACTATACCGCATACGAACATTTACGAGGAAACGATTTGTGACCAATTACAGGCAACGGTGACGGTTCCCAAAGTTAATCTGATATTTATACAGTCATCTGTAGTCGAAGATATGATATCCTTTTCTGCTCTTGACAATATTCAAGATTTAACTTGCGTATCGTTGTTTGGAGTTTCCGTGGAAAACATAGTAGCTAAATACGTGAGTTCAAAGAAGACCCTAGAATCAGTGCAAGTTTATTATCGACCTACGCTCAGAGCCTTAGGAAGTAAGAAGTCTTTCGGGATAATGAAAGGCCCGAGAGCACGTATTTCTACACAATCTTCTGGTTCTGGAAGAAAACGAGGAACTGAGAAGGGCGATCCTGTCTTCATAGAAACTTCGCAGCAGCAGTCTGAAGACAGAACAATAACGTTGAACGTGGGTGCGTATCGTAATATATTTTGATATCTTTCTTTATTCATTTTTAATAAAATGTGTTTGTTGTAATTATTTTATATTTTAGGAAAAGTTCACGGCCAGCTACGACGAATTCGAAACGAATCGACTCTACTCAAGGATGCTACTATCACCGGAATTCCTTGCCAACATTCGAAAGTAGCTTTCAAATTCATTAGAGCCGACCCTACTGCGAAAGGAGTAGAAACTACAGTAAGTAATGGAGCCCAAAAAGCTTTTAATAAGACGAGTACAAGTTTATCTTTGTCGTAATATGATTTTTGCTTTTTGTAGAACCAGAACGGTGCAACGGATGGACAGAAGGAGAACTCGATCGGTTACATTATGTTCGAATGCGGCCTCGAAGGCACGTCTATCAAAGTGTCAATGCATTCCCTGTCCCACAAGCCGAACGACGACAAGAAACCGACAAAGGCGGACGTCGAAAGTTGTAGGGAGTCTGTGAAATCGGCGGAGGAGCTGAAGCCTGATAAGGAAAAGGAGAAACCGGCGAAGAGTCGTACATCTGGGATCGAGGATTTGTTTAGGAAGAGGGATTCGAATTCTAAGCCTAGTACTCCGAATCTGGGTAACTCTCAGCCGCCGCCGGTACCGCCGGTCCCGCCTGTCCCACCCGAACCGTCTACGCCGGGCCCAGACGAGCCGTCCAATGGCAGTAACACTACGGTGGCGCCCGTCAAAGACAATGGAAACACGTCGTCTTGCGCCATCGACTTGAAGGTTGTGTGGTTCAACTTCGCTGCGCCACCACGAACGCCGATCACAAAGAAGATTGATTACACGAGGTAACTATAAAATAAAACCTTAACCGTTCACAGGTTCAGTGAAACAACCCTTACATTAAAAATCAAATGGAAATTATCTCATAGGCTAGAATTAATATCGTTAAGTATTTTTTCAAGGAATCATTAATTTAGAATAATTGACGATATTTTTATCACATACCTTGTTTCCTATTCACTCTTATATCACTGTAAAGTCGCACCTGTTCTCGACATAAAATTTTCACAATATCTGATCGCAAACCGACACTTTTTTTACTTTTCTGGTGTTCACTCAGATTCACCACTGCGACCGTCAGAGAAGTCCAGCAAATTGAATGTCATTTAAAGTCACGTGTCGTCTTGTTGAAAGAAAGTGATATTAATAAAGTTAAGCAAACTTAGGAGCTAATTACAGCTATGAGCTATAATGCCGTTTAAAACTGCCATCGTCTGTTTAGACTGGATTGGAACTTGTTGAGCACCGCGTCGCCGGCCATCAACGCGTGGATGAACCCGTGCAACCGGCTCGGCATCCGCGTGGTATCTCTGTACCGGGCGCACGCGCGCCGCCTCACCGCTACCGCCGCCAGCCTCATGGCCGGCGCGCTCGACCTCGCGCCACACCACACGCTGCCCAAGGTAGGTAACCATGGCAACCGGCTCGGCATCCGCGTGGTATCTCTGTACCGGGCGCACGCGCGCCGCCTCACCGCTACCGCCGCCAGCCTCATGGCCGGCGCGCTCGACCTCGCGCCACACCACACGCTGCCCAAGGTAGGTAACCATGGCAACCGGCTCGGCATCCGCGTGGTATCTCTGTACCGGGCGCACGCGCGCCGCCTCACCGCTACCGCCGCCAGCCTCATGGCCGGCGCGCTCGACCTCGCGCCACACCACACGCTGCCCAAGGTAGGTAACCATGGCAACCGGCTCGGCATCGGCGTGGTGTATCTGTACCGGGCGCACGCGCGCTGCCTCACCGCTACCGCCGCCAGCCTCATGGCCGGCGCGCTCGACCTCGCGCCACACCACACGCTGCCCAAGGTAGGTAACCATGGCAACCGGCTCGGCATCCGCGTGGTATCTCTGTACCGGGCACACGCGCGCCGCCTCACCGCTACCGCCGCCAGCCTCATGGCCGGCGCGCTCGACCTCGCGCCACACCACACGCTGCCCAAGGTAGGTAACCATGGCAACCGGCTCGGCATCGGCGTGGTATCTCTGTGCCGGGCGCACGCGCGCCGCCTCACCGCTACCGCCGCCAGCCTCATGGCTGGCGCGCTCGAACTCGCGCCGCACCACACGCTGCCCAATGTAGGTAACAATGGTAACCGGCTCGGCATCCTCGTGGTGTATCTGCACCGGGCGCACGCGCGCCGCCTCACCGCTACCGCCACCAGCCTCATGGCCGGCGCGCTCGACCTCGCGCCACACCACACGCTGCCCAAGGTAGGTAACAATGGTAACCGGCTCGGCATCCGCGTGGTGTATCTGTACCGGGCGCATGCGCGCCGCCTCACCGCTACCGCCGCCAGCCTCATGGCCGACGCGCTCGACCTCGCGCCACACCACACGCTGCCCAAGGTAGGTAACAATGGTAACCGGCTCGGCATCCGCGTGGTGTATCTGTACCGGGCGCATGCGCGCCGCCTCACCGCTACCGCCGCCAGCCTCATGGCCGACGCGCTCGACCTCGCGCCACACCACACGCTGCCCAAGGTAGGTAACAATGGTAACCGGCTCGGCATCCGCGTGGTGTATCTGTACCGGGCGCATGCGCGCCGCCTCACCGCTACCGCCGCCAGCCTCATGGCCGACGCGCTCGACCTCGCGCCACACCACACGCTGCCCAAGGTAGGTAACAATGGTAACCGGCTCGGCATCCGCGTGGTGTAGTGGTGTATCTGTACCGGGCGCATGCGCGCCGCCTCACCGCTACCGCCGCCAGCCTCATGGCCGACGCGCTCGACCTCGCGCCGCACCACACGCTGCCCAAGGTAGGTAACCATGGCAACCGCACCACACGCTTACTACTACCATCGAGTGTGAAACCACCGCACCCAACGAAGAGTAGCCTCAGAACAACGCGTCATTTCTATCACGCACATTCACGTTACGTATACAACTATACTCAAATCAATAGCATAGCGAAAATAATTATTTTTGAGGATGGCCAGAGGATTATTACCTACTCAATCAAAATAAATGCTTTAAATTCGTTGTTCCCGTTGTCTTCCTGATGCCTGTTTCATTTTCTATATTCCCATTAAGAAGTCAATAGTGGCATTTCAATCTCGCAGAGTCGTTACGGTCGACACACGCCAATGGCGAAGCAGCTGCGTGAGGAGCCATCGCTGCAGCTGTGCGGCGTATTGCTGAGACACGCGCTGCAAGCCGACGCCGCCGCTGTGCAGGCCGACCTGGCGGAACGGCACCTACCCTCCTTGTCCACGTTGCGACAGGTAAATGTGGCTTTATGCTTAGTTTTATACTTCTGTGTTTTTATTTTGTTTTAAATTAATCTATGGCCTTGTGAGTGGATTGGATAAAGTATATTGTGTTTGATTTGTACTTTTGTGTGAGGCTTATCAATGCTACATCATTTCGTTTTATCCTTTGTTTTAAAATGCCGTTTATATTCCATGAATAAATAAATAAAACCGCATAGAGATAGAACAGAGTGATGGTCCCTGAATCCGGCGCGATCTTTTGAGCTTTGACTTTGTTTATAGCGGCGATCTCTCCCTTGCATTACCTAGGGATATACCGCTGCCGGAATGGTTTTGTGTTTTGGAAGTCGTGCCGAAGTCGGACACTAGATTATGCCTGTTTAATTTTACCCTTGCACTAAACTACTTGCGAAGTTACCCGAATTTGAGCCACAGACTACTTAGATACTATGTATAGACTGCCAACTGCAGATTTTTTTTTCTGTACTTAGTGTCTAAGTCGTCTGTAGCTCAACTTTGGATAACTTCGCGAGTAGTGTAGCGGTGGTGTAAGCATTAGAATGAAGTGACAATAGATATAAGAATTTTGTACTATTTTATAGCAAATAGGTTAGGGTTAATACAGTATAATTTTTTAGCAAATATGTTACGTTAGGTTTGTTGTTTTCGATTAGGTAATTTCGATTCGATTCGATCGATTCGATTAGGTAAAGAAAAACAAATATATACACTCGGCGTCAAAAAAATCGCACCTCCAAGAAAATAACTTTCAAGCGTTATTAACCCATAACACGCGCATGTACCCGACCCTCACCAATATTGGTGTCATTTGCAACTCAACTAGCCTATTGTGCGCGACTAGCTTCAAGAGGTTGGGATCTCTGTCAAGCAGTAGCCAGCGAGAAGTTCAGACCTGACCCCACTAGATCACCTTTGGGACCATTTGAAACGCAAAGAAGAAAAAGTATGCCTAATTTTCAAAAATGTATAGATACCCGTATCTCCTGTAGTTATTATTAATTTGCAAGTTAATTTCCATACAACGTTTTTTTATCAATCTATTGTGAAGTTACGAAAACAGCGTAAAATCAATATTACCAACCCTTACCTAAGTATTTTTTAAATTCCCCTAAAATCCCCTTAATATAGAATTTTATATGTATCTACTTATTACCTAAATTCTTTCGTTGCTCCTTAATTAAAACGTTACTTATTTAGTTACAGAAAATTATTTTATTGTTTAAATACAGTTTCCCAAAGGACAATCAAACGAAAATGAGCTGACAGGCTTTTAAATCTTATTTAGCTGTTTTTTAACTTTAGTCCATACAGCCTTAGGAAACAACCCGCCACACAGTCACTTCAGTCATTTCATATCGTGGTGCATTCCATTCTACGCACAAAACTGAAAGAAAACACACGCTTTCTTTTTCGATTTAATTGAAAGTTTTGATAAAAAGCCCCAAAAAATTCCAGCCCCTAAAAAAGTCCATTTTAACACTTCTAAATCCCCTAAATCTGGGGGCAAAACCCCTAAGTTGGGAACCGTGGTAAAAATGTCTACATCCGAACAGTTAAATAACTGCCTTACACAACGCTGCCAGTTAACCAGATAGCAGTTTTTTTCAAGTTTAATTCTTTATTTTTATGGACTTTCATGCCTGCAGCACTGAAACAGTAAAAAGTCTGATCTAAGAGACGAAAAATTAAATAAACAAAAAGAGCAAAAAAATTTACTTTTCTGATTTTTTTTTATTCGGCAAATTTTTCGACAGTTCATAGGGTCAAATCTATCAGTAATTACCTAAATAATAATGACCTTAAATATCTTGTTGACTTTTCCTGTAATCCTGTTTATTTACAACCGCAGTAGTCTGTACAGAGGTGAAAAATGTAAGCGTTTTTCAGAAAGTAAAAACTTTATTGTTGTAAAGCTGGGTCTCCAGCCAAAGTTTTTGAAAACATTCGACAAAAACACATACACAAAACTTAGTTTCTGAAACATGTTTCTCTACACACGCACACCGCACTGCTCACGCGGCTGTCGTACACAAAACACACAGGACTGGGTTCCTTACCTACGATCCAGATTTGTAGATTTCAAATGTCAAATTTGACAAAAGTTTCAAACGTCAGAGTGAAAAGTTGCACTCGGAGCATATGCTTGGAACGTAGCCCCCACTAGAGAGTGGTTAAAAAAAAGGGCCGATGAAACAATACCCTGCCCTTTGACCCGCGCGAGGGAGGACAGCAAAACCTTTGTTGAGGCATACAAATATGTGTAGTGAAACAAAGTTTTGTGTTGACGATTTTGTTGAATGTTGATATGTTTTTGTTGATTGTGTAGGGCAAAACACGCGCTTGAGACCCGGCTTTATATATGTAAATTGTTATCCGCAGGGGGTGATAGTCCTCAGCCGACAATGGAAGAACATCCTATACACGCCTCTACTACTAGAACACAACTACAAGAGCAAAGTGATGAAACCGCTGAATGTCACATTCGCTTTGCCTGACCTAATGGAGGTAAATGAAATATTTGAAAAAAAGTCATTCTTTAGTGACTCATTTGAGCTTGACTTATTGTGATTTTCACTAACAGGATTCTGTAGAAGGTTGGCAAGAGTATCCTCTGGACAACGAAGTTCTAGACGAGAACTGTCTCCTTCTAGATATGGAAACCGAGAAGGGCAACATTCCTGGTAAGCAAATACTATTAAAAAGTCAATATATTACATCATATGAATTGGAATTGAGAGTGTAGTTAGCTAGTGTCTACATGACGTTTCCCTCTTGTGGTGATTGAAAGATACGTTTTCTGTGGTTGAAGTGGATTGTGGTGCGAATGAGTTCTGTGTGCATGTTGTAATGACAATATAACATTTGAACCTTGACTAAGCGAAATTTGCCCAGAAAAATTACTTTTTCCTAAAGGTAGCATCTGTCAATATATGGTTACAATTGAAACTTACTTAGATTGCTTTTCATGTGTCTGAACTACTCCCAAACTATTTTTTTCAAATACAGTCCACATCAGGTTTTCAATACAATTAAATGGTTTACACCCTAAACCTAATTAGATGATCAAAGTGTTTTTTATGAAGATCTAATAAATTGAGAAATTGTGTTATAATGATGTATGACTGTTTGTTTCTTAATAAATAAATAAATTAAAAAAAAACCTGTCGTGCATCAAGTTGAAGAAGTTTGGAGTCTGCTGCGTAAAGTCAAATCGCTTGCCTTCAATTTCTGTAATCGAGTTCCTTCCCATCATCTAAGTTGAGTACCGAGCGATATAAGTCTATCGTCAAAACAAAATGATGCTACATGCATACGAACAGTGCAAGTTAAATAACGACTTTGTAAAAACCGACCGCCAACTTCTTCGACTGCATATATTATTAATTTCTCTATCACTGAAATTGTCAAAGCTGTTACAATTATAACAATTCAGAAAGCCTAATTTGTACCCTAAAACCTTCATAGGATAGGTACTTTATTATACATACGCATTTTATTAGTAAGTTTATGTTTTTGCATTAACATAATACTTTGCAAGTTCAGATTAAAGTATAAGTTAATTCTAAACGCAAATCCTTAGGGGATATCATGCATTACATTACTTTGTTTGTATTAATTTGTCTCGTTTGTGGTGAAGCGCCGGCGGTGACTATCCCACGTCCGCACTCGTATCCGTCCACGCCGCCCTCTGGTTCGTACTCAAGCAAGCTGTTGTTGTGGTCACCCTTGGAACTTGTACTTATATTATACCCGCTCTCTGAGTCAGTGCTTCACCGCTAGCTTCCCAGTGAATAGAATGATGAATGGACAAATCTATTGCTTGTTATCTTACAAGTTTCAAGTTGGTTCATAAAAGCTGTTTAAAATTGGTCGCTTGGTAACTTATAATAGGTGCAAGAAAAAGCATACCTACTATGTTACAATCTAAAGCTTAGTCTTAATTGTAATGGGAAAATCAAAATGTACTTTTCTCTTAACCTTGTGTTTTTCTTTAATTTCTGTTAGTAATCTCGGTTTCGCCATTATAGTAGGCGAGCCCGAGGAGGAATTTGCGATTTACTCGAGCACGCAAGAATAACATGGGGGTCAATTTTTTTAACAATAGGGCATGACTATTGTTCGAGTCCAAACGGCCAGTCTTTTGAAAAGGAACTAGTGGAGGGTTCACATAACGTTTCTGATGACAGAAATATTTTATTCTGCCGGTTTGAATGGTGTGGGTGTCGCCATACGAAGGGTTATAAAATAGGAAAATAAAAATTCGAGCGCGTCAGACATTGACAAGGGATGTTTCGTGAACACTCGAGTAGCGCCTATTCAAAAGACGACCTTTGTGGCCGAGTGGTTTGTACGCCAGGTTTCAAGGTGTCATCTACTCGCGAGGTCCCGGGTTCGAATCCCGGTTGGAGCAGACGTTTTAATATGTATTTATATAATGTATTATTTTAATAATATATATATACACTTCTGGACACATCTATTGGCCCACCTTGTATTTTCAGTTTCGTTTGGTCCTAGCTAAAATTTTATATTAGGTCGAGCAAAAAGTTTTTATGCAGTTTTGAACCTGGCACATTCACAATTGCATTCAATAGTCTTTTTTTGAATTTCGAACATAGAATTTAAAGAAACAAAAGACAATTTGGAGCCTGTTTGTTGATATCAAACAATCGAATACTAAGAAAACTTGGTTTTATTGGTTTACTTGGATTTAATTCTTGAAAAAGTGATAGATAAGTTTGGTTTTGCAACAAACATTACTTATTCTTAACATTAAGGTGAGGTTCTATCAATAATCTATGGATACTTCACCTGAAGTCGCCGCCCAAGCTGTGGCACTTATTCAGGCCGGACACAGCCAAAGAAACGTGAGTGCTGAACTTAATTTAAGTCGATCTGCGGTCCGAAATGTTTATCGGAGTTACCTAGAGACTGGCGGCTTTGTTCGTCGCCAAGGAAGGCCACGATCTCGGGTCACAACTGAAAGGCAGGATCGATTCATCGTGACGACCAGCTTGAGAAATCGTCACCTTACCTCCATTGAGATACAAAAACAAATTCGCGACTTCCACGGAGTATCTGTGAGCGCTCGAAATGTTCGGAGAAGGTTAAAAGAACACGATATGGTACCACACAAGCCAGCTAATGGGCCCAAACTAACGCGAGCCCACCGAACAGCGCGCCTTCATTTCGCACGCAGTCATTTAAATTGGACACAGCAAGATTGGAGCCGTGTACTCTTTTCTGATGAGTCTAAAATTGTGTTACATGGCAATGATGGAAGGAAGAAGGTCTACCGACGTAAGGGAGAGCGTTTCGCACAATGCTGCTTTGAAGAGAGGGTTGCTTATGGCGGTGGCTCATGGACTGTCTGGGGCGGTATATCCGCGAGCGGCAAAACTCAACTTGAGGTTGTTACAGGACCACGGCTGCCAACATTAAATGCTGAAAGGTACATTCGTGAGTGCTTAGAACCTCACGTGATACCATACGCGGACTATGTGGGCCCAAATTTCCTTTTTATGCATGATAATGCAAGAGCCCATGCGGCCGGCATCGTCAGGGAATATCTTCGGGATGTGAACATCACAGTTATGGACTGGCCAGCCAGAAGCCCAGACATGAACCCCATTGAGCACATGTGGGACGAGCTAAAAAGACGTGTTAGGGCTCGTCAGCCAGTTGCCCAGACGATGCAGGAGTTGAAAACTGCCATAGAAGAGGAATGGGAGATGATCCCTCAAAATTTCATAGAGCGGTTGATAAACTCTATGCCTAATCGTATGAGAGCTGTGGTAGATGCCCATGGAGGCAACACGCGTAATTAAATTAAACCTTTATTTGATAAAACATGTTTTTTATTCAAAAATCAATTGCCTTTAACAAGGCGTATATCCGACTTGTTAGGCATAGCTCCATGTCGTATGGTATTCTGAATTCAAATTTAAAACAATACGATCGAAAAAGATGGTAAAATGTATAAGGTTTAAAACTGCATCAACAGTTTTTGTTCAATCTAGCAAACATATTTCGGTAGGGGCCATCGAAACGTAAACTCTAAGGTGGGCCAATAGATGTGTCCAGAAGTGTATATAAAAAATACGAACATTTGTACTCTAGTCATGGATGTTTGATATGCATGTCTATATAAATATACTTATATATGTATTCTGTCCATTACCCTTATATCCCATAACACAAACCTACAGTGCTTACGTTGGGGCTAGGCTAATTGGTGTGAGTGTTGGAATTATTTAAGTAAAAGACTGACGATTTGGAGACGACTAAAAGTCATGGCGGATTGTTAATATTTTTGTTGCTGCACTAGACGTTCGATCCTATTTAAAGGGTTCATGTATGGTGGGAGTATTGCACAAGGTGCAAGATTGCCCCCTTATGTTATTCTGCCGCGCTTGAATAAATCCCAAAATCCCCGCTTAGGATCCCCTACTATTATTTGTGTTGTTTATTGTGACGTTAATTAATTTTAAACGGCTTTTTGTGTGTGCGTTTTCTATATTTAAAGGTTGTTCTCATTTATGGCATGTTTTGTTATCTGTGTGCTCCAATAGCTATGTAAAAATAATGTTTAGAGCTAAATTCTCTTTCCTGTAAAATTATTTGATTTATTTTATGCAATAGTTTTAACCCTAAGTCCAGGTTTTTTTGACATTATCATTTTTATTTTGTGTGATCATTTTTGGGTTTTAAACGCATTTTGTAAAATTTATTAATTCTTCTTCCCGCCCTCAAAACTATCGCTTTGTGTAGTGTATCCATATCAATTACATATTCAAGCAAACTGATCTACTATAATGCATTCCATCTTAATTTTCAAAATAAATGTATTCCTATATTATAAAACTCTATAGCAATTGAGACCGTAATGCTTTATTTTCTATATTGTCGCTACATTATCAATTACTGACTTCTTTCAATTTCTTAATTTACTTTGAATGAATGGGAATTGCAAGTTCTGTAAATATATTCATTAAGACACTTTATCAGTTCAATATTTACTTCATATTCATTATGTTATAGCCAACGAGTGTTAATATAGCGTATTTCTTTTATATAAAAAAACTAGCTTCCTCGGCGAACTTCGTACCGCCCAAAAGTAATAATTTTCAATAAAATAATATTATGACTATTAATTGAGATGTACGCTATCCTATCTTTCAAGTTAAATCAAACTGCACACGGTGTGCAAATTTGTTTAAAATCGGTTATGTAGTTTAGGAGTCCATCCCGGACAAACAATGTGACGCGTAATTTATATATATTAAGATATCGCGTAGGCTCCGTTACCTTCCAAAACATGCTACCTTGTAATAACCTAACACATGTATCATGGTCATATGTCATGCAACAGTTCGCGCCGCACAGAACAGCCGCGCGAGTTTAGTGTTCCCATCTCTGCCATTCTCCACAAGAAAGCCGCCATTCCAGGACGACGCCATTGCTAGTGAGTTTTACTCCATTATTCATCGCTAAAATTTGTATTGAGTTCTGAAAAATGTGAGAAACATGTTTATGTTTGGACGTTCCTCAAAATTAGCCGTCACTTACCAGAGTTGGTCCCGTGATGATATTGAGTGGCTGATGCCAGAAAATGATGTTTCATCAACTATTGTAGTCGTCTACAGTCTTAAGCATCAATCACCAATTCTTACGAGCTTGAAAACATGCAGGAATTTTAAATTAGATAGAACCCATTTTCTATAAAGTATTGTTTGGTGATTGTTTAAACCGCTTACCGTGGGTCCCGTGATTTACTACTGTTTTATTATTAATATTTAAAGCTGTCTACACACCAAAGCCGGCGGCCTTATTTTGAAACAAGCTTGCCGGCGGCTTGCGCTCGCGCGTGTTTCCCGGCGGCACACCCCGCGCTCATGCAGTTGCCCGCCGGCCTTCGAGGAATAGTGACATGGCTGTGTTTTTTATCAGCAAAAACAATATCGATTGAATTGTCTACATCTGTTTCACTAATAACAACTGCCTACTCATTAAGCTTTGCCTAACCCAACGATTTCGTGTTTTGAGGGATTTATCTACCTATAATAACTGCACAAGCTGCTAAAATTGGATAATTATCGTCCTTGTCCATTTCAAATATTGAAAATACGTAGTAGTAATTCGAAACTCACGCGCAGTTTCTCCGAGCACAAGGCATTCACTAATTTTGTGAACGACATGCCGCGACTGTCATACCGCCGCACACTGGACCAAGATTCGGAAATCGTGGACTTAGGGATCAAAGTTGAGCTATCGCAATGATTTTTTTTTACGGACAGCTTAAAACAATAGCAGAAACTTTTGTTCTAGCACTTATGCTAAAAAGAACTTTTTCATACTAAAAAAAAATATTGTTTTTTTCTTGTATGGAAAAAAAGTAACTATAGTGTTTTTTTTTTAAATGGTAAAGAGTATCAAAAAAGCTGCTAGTAGGTGTTATAGTGCTTACAATTATTGACAATTTTTGCCTTGACGTCATATCCATAAGTCTGCAGCTTTGGCGTCCACAGGCCTTGGAAGTTTCCATACAAAATGTATGGGATTTTTTAAGTAGTTGAGGGTAAATTTAGCATCTATGTGATTCGAAACAGAAATTAAACTACCAATAATAATGTTTGATACTTAATACAAAGACGTAAACTTAAAATAAAAAACTCACTATTCGATTTTTTTTGTATAGAGAATTATTTGATATACTTGTCTTCCATTGACACAAACGTTAGAAAAAATGACTAATAGGTTAAAATGTGATTATAGCGTGTGCGTAATATTGTCTGACGTCACAAACCTAAATCTACCGCTTTGGTTTCTTCAGCTCAAGGATGTTAAGTGAGCGACGAACGGGAGCGAAATGACTGGCGCAGACAGACCCACCTATATTTATAACACGTATGCGGGTCTCTTACTATGCTGTCAGTACACCGATTGTGTGTCAGTTAATAGCGTGCGCGCATTAACCTCTACCTTGCTCTCTGTCTTCTCTATCCCCTATAATTATATGCTGGCCTACAAACTATGTGTGTGTCACATTGTGAAACATGGACTATTTATGTTAGCTCTGAAAAGAGCTTTTTTAGGACTTTGAAAAAAGCCGTTTGATGTATAATGGCGATGATCAAGCCAAGGGATCTGCCATTACTAGAGCTTCTGAAGCAACTACTTCTACTTCATCGATCTCGATTTCTTTTTCTGCCGGAAGTTCTAGGAGATCAATAGCTTCTTGGAATAAAGCCATCTTCTTGGACTTCCCATATTTTGGCCTGATATGAGATATATAAGGATCTGACGTAATCAAAAAATTATTCAGTATGTCTTCATTATTTAGGATTCTCCCCATCTTGCGAGTGTGATGTTCTCTGGTATTTCTAAACTCCTTGTTTCTAGCTTCCGATGCTTCTTCTGACATTATTCCTATGGGAAGACAAGAGAAATGTTGGCAAATGTCTGCCCCATGTATGAGCAGCTTGTGTATGCTTACTGGCATATTGTACCACGGATAATGGTGTACAAAAAGCTCAGCTGTCTCTTTGCAATATTCCCGGAATCTCTCAATTTTGATGGCGTTTCCGGAGGATATCACTTGCAAGATAACAGCAAAGCGCTTGATCAGATTTTCATCTATTTTTGTTATCCGTGCGCTGCTTTCGTATTCCTTGAAGAATCGCCTGGCAGTGTTGCCATCGTTGGTGGTTCCGAAACCCTGTTTCACGATGTCTACCAACAGTCCTGTTTCTTCCCTGAATTGTTGTTGTGTACAGTGCTTCCTGGCTTTTTTGAGCTCTTTATTATCCTCTTGCACACCACATTTTAAAATCCAAATTGTACGATACGTGCAATAGACACTCCATACTTCGGATCCAAATATGGAGAGAGGACAGTCCATACTGGTACACCTCAGTTCGCACTGGTCTTGAAATAACTTCACAGAGGTTATTCATCTCACTTGGCTTCGCAAGACATATATTACAGGTAGCTGCAGATGGAGTATCTGTTATGATTGTGGATATCTTTCCATCAATCATCGTCATGTGCAAGTCATGGGAAATCTGGTAATCCTTGTATCTTGTCACATTAAGCTTTCGGATTTCTTCTTCCATACCTGATTGCTCTTGTTTGACAAAGTCTTTGGTTTCCTTTGCAAACAGAAATTTCACCGGTCTACAGTAAAATGTGGAAGAAGGATTGGGATTCTCCCACGCTATTATATTGCCAGACTCTAGCTTCAACGGGACCAGGCTAGTCATAAATACCGATGAATCATCGAAATCAGGCAATCCACTTCTCCCGTTCGTCGCTCACTTAACATCCTTGAGCTGAAGAAACCAAAGCGGTAGATTTAGGTTTGTGACGTCAGACAATATTACGCACACGCTATAATCACATTTTAACCTATTAGTCATTTTTTCTAACGTTTGTGTCAATGGAAGACAAGTATATCAAATAATTCTCTATACAAAAAAAATCGAATAGTGAGTTTTTTATTTTAAGTTTACGTCTTTGTATTAAGTATCAAACATTATTATTGGTAGTTTAATTTCTGTTTCGAATCACATAGATGCTAAATTTACCCTCAACTACTTAAAAAATCCCATACATTTTGTATGGAAACTTCCAAGGCCTGTGGACGCCAAAGCTGCAGACTTATGGATATGACGTCAAGGCAAAAATTGTCAATAATTGTAAGCACTATAACACCTACTAGCAGCTTTTTTGATACTCTTTACCATTTAAAAAAAAAACACTATAGTTACTTTTTTTCCATACAAGAAAAAAAACAATATTTTTTTTTTAGTATGAAAAAGTTCTTTTTAGCATAAGTGCTAGAACAAAAGTTTCTGCTATTGTTTTAAGCTGTCCGTAAAAAAAAATCATTGCGATAGCTCAACTTTGATCCCTAAGTCCACGATTTCCGAATCTTGGTCCAGTGTGCGCCGCGCCGAGCCGGCGGCTTTAGTGTATAGACAGCTTCAGCCGAAATATTTCCGTGAAATGTTGAATGTCGGAACTTTTTAATCTTATAATATGCTATACAGACTATGGCACACTAAAAGAGGAACTGCCCACTGTGGGGTCGAACCCATCCCTATATTCACCCCACGGTAGCGACGAGAATGTCAAAAACGACCGTGCGAGAGAGGACCTCTACCAATGGATGGCTAACCAGGAACCCATCAAAGTGGTGAGTAGTTTCAAATTATGCTGTATTGTGTGGTGTTAAGTTTAAAATTACATTGCTTTTTTCTGATGTCTAATACAACAAACCGCTTATTTCGATTCATAACGCGATAATTTAATTGTAAGCTTCTGTAAGCTTAAAACAGCTCTCCATTCGGTTTATTCGGTTTTTTTAAACATGCTCAAATGGTTTAAAACTCATATACAGGGTGTTACAAAAATATAAATAAAGCTTGAAGGGCGTTGAAGTACATCATATAACGAGTCTTCTCTAATTTTCTTAAAATATTTTATTTTATAATATTTGCATGAAGTTTTAACTTTTTATAAAAACAGTTATTTTTAATGATTAATAAAAATATCGATCATTTTCAGACACGTCACTAGTTCGAGGATCATTAAAAATAACTGTTTTTATAGAAAGTTAAAACTTCATGCAAATATTTCAAGAAAATTAGAGAAGACTCCTTAAATGATGTACTTCAACGCCCTTCAAGCTCTATTTGTATTTTTGTAACACCCTGTATTACTTAGCCTTTTCAAGTTCCATGTTCATAAGATGTTTAAAGAGTGTTTTATATGTATTTTTTTTATAATTTAATTTAGATTTAGGTAATGTTAATGTTTTGTTTTCATTTCTAGGAGTCGAAGAGCAAGAAGCCCATGATCCCGGCGTCGAAGATGAACCCGCGCGTGATGGCGGCCGCTCTACCCGCGTGCAGCCTGTACCCTCTGCAGGGCTCGCTCATGTTACTGGACGCGCACCTCGTGTTCCAGCCCTTCCTGGCCGCGCTGGGCGTGTCCCCGCACCAGGTCCCGCAAGGTAAAAAATACGTTCGAAATTAAGATTCAAAGTCATAGAGTTAAAGTCTATTTTATTACCGCCTATAGCAAAGACGTAAAATTTTACATTTCGAAATGTCATATTTGGTTTGACGTATGCGATTAAATTAACATCTTATATCCTATGGCTGGTGTGGCCTTCACCGTCACTTAACATCAAGTGGGGTGGATCCAATTGTCGGACCTATCAAAAAAAAAATACTTTGCGTAATCAAATGATACCCATGTATATTTTTTGGATCATCCAATGTACTTTTACTGCAGTCTGTTTTTGGCCAAGATTTTGTTCCTCATATTCAATTGTTTTTTTTTTAATATCTTTTTTTTACTTCTCGTTCTTAAACGTGTTTGATTGAACCCTAAGATAAAATAAAATTCTTAAGTTTAAGATATTCTGTTTTCATTAATTGTTTTAATGCTTGTATAATTTATAGGAGAATCGAAGAACAAAGGCAGTGGCGAAGGAGTCACTCAACCGGCTCTAGAGTCGCTCGGGTCGAAGCTGTCCCTACTAGCGTGGGTGGACACGTTCCGAATTGATATCGTAGTAGGGGACTTGGCACGTGATCGACGACACCACCAACAGAAACCCAAAGGTATTCACTATCATCATAATAAGAATTATAATACGATTCAACTTAGAATAGGACCAACTGGGTGCCATATTGTGACGTCATAGCCATCAATTTAAATCAAATGGGTAGAGTGAGCAAAAACAGATTTTATTTAATAAAACTAATTTACTAAGTATATTTATTTCTTAGGTTTTCACGCACATCACTCATTAAATAAAACTAGTTTTTACGGGTTAATGCACGATAACTTTATTTATTTATTGACGTTTCGTAGTCTTTATAGGCGACATTGTGACGACGTAGCCTGTAAAGACTACGAAACGTCAATAAATAAATAAAGTTTTCGTGCATTAACCCGTAAAAACTAGTTTTATTTAATTTACTAAGATTAAGAAAAAGAAACAACCGATTTTTAATAACATTTATATATAAAGACTGTGTGAGAAAAAACATTAATCCGAATCTAGCTCTTCAATTCCGCTCATCTCTGCATTACCGCCGGAGTAGTTATGAATAATCATGCACTATTACTAGGTCACATACGAACATGTATCCTTTATGTAAACGAAAGTTTTAAATCGAGTTTCTGAACGCAACTTAAAGTGACATTTGGTTGACGATTATCAGCCATTCATAGCCAAAGCTCAAAAAATGTAAAAAAATATCAATCAATATTAATTATTATCAATATTTCTTATCGTTTGTTTACAAATGTTTGGTTTTCATTCAAGAATTAGCTGAGTGCTAAAATTCGGTTTAATTTTTTTTTTGCAAACCGTGCTTTTCAAGCGACATTTGACAGATGGAGGTCATTGGCTTTCCTATTCTTATTTGAATCGCACTATAGTCAGACACAAATCTTCCCTATACTTACATTCACATTTATAGAACGGGCTATACCTAATCACACACCTCGAATTAAAGCTTGAGTTATAAAGTTCTTAAATCATAACCTCCACCTTAGAAAAACACTACATTTTAATTATATTGTGTTTCTTTTTGCGACTACGAATTTCTAGGGCTTACCGGGTTAAGCAAGAGGTCAAAATAATATGCAGCGCACGCAATGGTATCTCACAAATTGAATATTTTTACCCGTTTTTGCAACATTTTTCATCGATACTCCTGCTGCTTCTGTTCGTAGCCTGATATTATATAGCCTTCCTCGATAAATGCACAATCCAATACAAAAATATTTTTTCAAATCGGAATAGAGAGCAATGGTGCATGCGGTACAACCGGTCCTAGACTACGCAACATTTTTTTTACTTGGTATGGAAGGTTTATAATTATTATGAAGAAAGTCATTGTGTATAATACAAGCCTTTGAACAAAAACTATAGCCGACACTACAGCTCTATAAAAACTCAAGTCTTATAACTTCCAATGGTCATTTAATATTACCATACAGGCAACTCGAGCCATGCAGACATTGCATAGGAAACGCCCGCGTTCCTTTGCGAAAAGGTCTCGCTGGACGTAGACCTGAAGAAAGTGACTGATGTGGCCGTAAACGACCTCATACATCACCAGAACCAGCTGTACATATTCTGTTTTTGTATGAGGTTTAAAAACAGTTCTTTGTTTAGATTGAAAGTAACTTAACATTCTTTTGTCATCTACAAAAACTAGAATCTAATAACACTCAATGGTCATTTAATATTACCAAACAGGCAACTCGAGTCATGCGGACATTGCATCGGAAACGCCCGCGTTCCTCTGCGAGAAGGTCTCGCTGGACGTAGACCTGAAGAAAGTAGCCGATATGGCCGTAGACGACCTCATACAACGCCAGAACGTGCTGTACATATCGCGCGGGCAGCTTAAGAAACACATCAGTACTATGATCAACTTTAATATCAGCGTGCGTTTCATATCGCAGCAGGTTAGTACATAATTGGTAAATTTTGACCGATATATTGTTACAACGCTATATTATAGCATGTGATAGTTCCACTTGCAATAGTTATTCAATAGTTTACTTTCGCTTTCATTATGCGAACGGCAAGGGAGTGGAACTCCTTGCTGAGGTCTGTTTTCCCGGACTGTTGAAGCAAAATCATTAGATACTTACGTTCGTATAAAGCATGCATCAATGTAAGTGATGAGTTAGTGGCAAAATAAACAGCATTGAAGACACACGTTTGTTTCTATTAAAATTATCAAAGCAATCAGTAAAAGTTCTTATATCCATGAACACGGACCAATATGCTCTGGACATCTTCAAGGCCAGAGTGAACAGGCATCTTCTAGGCAGGCGTGTACCATCCTAGGCCACATCATCCATTTCTATCAAGCGAGATTGTGAGCAAACGCATTGCCTATTACGCATAAAAAATGGATTTTAGATTAAGATTTATTTTTGCCAAAGTGACGCAAACCCACACTTTTATCACAGAAAAGAAATCCCAGTTAGTCAGTAAAAAAGATGTAATACATTTATATCTGTTTAATACTATGTACGTTTTATTTTATCCAGGTAAATATGCCGCTGCTACGTTTATTGCACCAGATCAGCAACATGTATCAAAATGTCAAGGACACGCAGACGGAGTTGCGCAGTCAGACGAAAATATCCCATCGCCAGGACAAACATACTTCCTCTTCTGGTGAGTTAGTGTTATAAACTAAAAATACATATGCTTTTCTTTATATTTTATCTTAAGTAGAGCAAGAGGAATGTATTTATCATCAGTAAAATTTTCTTTAGATTTAAACATCTAGCAGTTAAATGCTTAAAAAACTAAAATATAATTCAATATTGGTTTTTTAGGTTTTCACGCACACCACTCATTAAATAAAACAAGTTTCAACGGTATAGATGCACTGATTTATTTATTTAATGACGTTTCGCATCCTTTTCAGGAATCAGAATTCAGAGGAAGCATCCTGAAAAGGATGTGAAACGTCAATAAATAAATAGTAAAAAAAATCAAGTAAAAGAATCTTTATAACTATTGAATGTTCGTGTACAGTGTCAGACTTCCGCGAGAACTTAGTGAGCGTGACGTCACTGGACAAGCAGTCGCAGTACAGCGCGACGGGCGTGAAGTGGGAGCCGCCCCCGCCCGCCAGTCCTCCGCTGGCGCCGCGGCCGCGCCCTCAATCCTTCGCGCAGAAACTGCGCTCCACCGGCAAGAGTGTCAAAGGGAAGCTGGGTAAGTGAGCTCTGTATCTAGGCAGCGTGACGTCACTGAACAGCAGTCGCAGAACAGAGCGACGGGCGTGAAGTGGGAGCCGCCCCCGCCCGCCAGCCCTCCGCTGGCGCTTCGGCCTCGCCCTCAATCTTTCGCACAGAAACTGCGCTCCACCGGCAAGAGTGTCAAAGGGAAGCTGGGTAAGTGAGCTCTGTATCTAGGCAGCGTGACGTCATTGGACAGCAGTCGCAGTACAGCGCGACGGGCATGAAGTGCTCCACCGGCAAGAGTGTCACGGGGAGGCTGGGTGACTGAACTCTGTCTTTTTCGCTCTCTTAATTTTTCTATCCCAATTAATTTCTCAAAAAGTGTGTAACTACTTTTTTTATATAATCAGGCCTGACGAATTATAAAAGAATCCATTTTTGTGAAAAAAATTATGGATTTGATATGGATGAAATACAGTGATTATATAGTCTTAACAGGCTGCTGACTTTTATTGTAAACTCATAAGCAAAGCAAAATAAATTCATCTATAAGAAAAACTTTTATTGTCTATCCCCTGTTTTTCTTTTAATTTATCTGATAATAATATTGACCGTTTGCTAATAGGCTACAGCTCGCTAAACGAGGGTGCTCACACGCCGATGTTCCCCGCGGGTGGCGTGTCCTCTCCGCCTGCTTCAATAACGGTCGTCAACGCAGCCCCTGTCGCCCCTGTCGCCCCAATAATCCCCGAGGTTCCTACGACTGGAGTCCCCGCTGCAGACGATAAAGTGCTGGCGCCGCGATGCTGGCGAACCGTGTACTTGCTACTCGACTTGTACGCTAATATGCCAGATGCTGAAACCATCACGCATAGGTAAAGTATTATGTTCTTATAGTTTGACCGCTACAGCGGACACAAGTAGTTAAGCTATTAGAATAAGGTGTAATATCAGTTATACATTGTTTGTGGATAACAACTTCGTTTACGTGTGTTTTAATTGATTTTCCATACAAACCACCCAAGCAAGCTTCTTGAGTAACGACCATAAAAAAGCAAGCAAGCGCAGTAGCAATTTTATATACAAAAACTTCTTCTGCTCAAGTTTATTTGTCTTCGTTGTTGCTGAAGAAGTTTGTCGCTACAGTTTGACAAGGATATTTATGAACGTGATTGTCAGTTCAGGGAGGGTGTTGCTGTGTACTTAAATAACATATAAAATATGACGTTTACAAAGAAGGCGGCGTTAGTTCCAATTTTTGCCATCTTCATAAAGATCCTTGCGGCCAGGGCCGTCTTTAACCTATTAGAGGTCCAGGGCATATTAGGATAATGGGAACCCTATGACTTTGATATGGAATGACTGGAAATGGAGCGAGTCATACTGATGATTTTTCTTTAAAATCTGTATGTGCTTAGTATACCATTATATGTATATTTAAATTTATCTAAGCATGCTGAAGTAGGAAAGCCTAATTTTTGGGCGAGAGTAGAACAGCTTCGCTTAAGTAAAAGCTAGTAAGTTGGTATTGTAGTCTGTAATTTAGGTTCAATTTCATCGAATTGAATAAGTTTTTTGGTAATAAATATTGGTTATCATTTGGTGATCTGACAGGAACTAGGGACTTTGTATTTGATCTGAGGGAGGTCCCTATCAATCGCGGGGCCCTGGGCACTTGCCCAAAGTGCCCACTGGGAAAGATGACTCTGCTTGCGGCACTCTACCTGTATTTTGTCACGTCCAGGTTCTCTGTATCCCGCGAGTTGCCCGAGGGTTGGAACGGCCCCGGCGGCGGCGGTGCCGGCACGGGCACTGCCAGCCGCACCCGGCCCGGCAGCGCGGGCGGCAGCTCGGCGCTGGCGCTGGTGCTGGCGGGCGGCGCGCGCATTCACCGCACGCGCCTGCTGGCCTCGCTGTCCGGCCTCAAGCTGGAGGCCGAGCTCACCTCGCTGCACGCCTCGCTCTCCGCCTCACGCGCGCGACAGTGGGCACTCTCCGGCAACCTGGGCCGCTCCATGATCGTGTTGCTGGAGGGCCGCGCGCCCGCGCACCAGTGAGTGTGCTATACTACCCCCAGACAGCTGAAGGCCGAGCTGACCTCGCTCTCCGCGTCGCTCTCCGGCAACCTGGGCTGCTCCATGATCGTGTTGCTGGAGGGCCGCGCGCCCGCGCACCAGTGAGTGTGCTATACTACCCCCAGACAGCTGAAGGCCGAGCTGACCTCGCTCTCCGCGTCGCTCTCCGGCAACCTGGGCCGCTCCATGATCGTGTTGCTGGAGGGCCGCGCGCCCGCGCACCAGTGAGTGTGTTATACTATCCCCCGGACAGCTGGAAGCCGAGCTGACCTCGCTCTCTGCGTCGTTCTCCGGCAACCTGGGCCGCTCCATGATCGTGTTGGTAGAGGGCCGCGCGCCCGCGCACCAGTGAGTGTGCTATACTGCCCCCGGATAGGTGGAGGCCGAGCTGACCTCGCTGTCCGCGTCGCTCTCCGGCAACCTGGGCCGCTCCATGATCGTGTTGCTAGAGGGCCGCGCGCCCGTCCACCAGTGAGTATGCTATACTGCCCCCCCGACAGCTGGAGACCGAGCTAACCTCGCTCTCCGCGTCGCTGTCCGGCAACCTGGGCCGCTCCATGATCGTGTTTCTGGAGGGCCGCGCGCCCGCGCACCAGTGAGTGTGTTATACTATCCCCCGGACAGCTGGAGGCCGATATGACCTCGCTCTCTGCGTCGCTCTCCGGCAACCTGGGCCGCTCCATGATCGTGTTGCTAGAGGGCCGCGCGCCCGTCCACCAGTGAGAGTGCTATACTGCCCCCCGACCGTTGGAGGCCGAGCTGACCTCGCTGTCCGCGTCGCTCTCCGGCAACCTGGGCCGCTCCATGATCGTGTTTCTGGAGGGCCGCGCGCCCGCGCACCAGTGAGTGTGTTATACTATCCCCCGGACAGCTGGAGGCCGAGCTGACCTCGCTCTCTGCGTCGTTCTCCGGCAACCTGGGCCGCTCCATGATCGTGTTGCTGGAGGGCCGCGCGCCCGCGCACCAGTGAGTGTGCTATACTGCCCCCCGACCGTTGGAGGCCGAGCTGACCTCGCTGTCCGCGTCGCTCTCCGGCAACCTGGGCCGCTCCATGATCGTGTTGCTAGAGGGCCGCGCGCCCGTCCACCAGTGAGAGTGCTATACTGCCCCCCGACCGTTGGAGGCCGAGCTGACCTCGCTGTCCGCGTCGCTCTCCGGCAACCTGGGCCGCTCCATGATCGTGTTTCTGGAGGGCCGCGCGCCCGCCCACCAGTGAGTGTGCTATGCTGCCCCCCGACAGCTGGAGGCCGAGCTGACCTCGCTGTCCGCGTCGCTCTCCGTCAACCTGGGCTGCTCCATGATCGTGTTGATAGAGGGCCACGCGCCCGCCCACCAGTGAGTGTGCTATACTGCCCCCCGACAGCTGGAGGCCGAGCTTACACAGCGATGAACTTCAAGATTACGTCCATATCATTTTTAGTTTTGATTTCATCCTTACAGAAGACCACAGTAAAATAACACTACCTTCAGGTGGTATTGTGTTTCTGTCGGTAAGTAAGGTTCCAGGGCAAAGAAAAGGTGTCTATGACAGTCCTCTGTACAGAAGTTGCATGGAGGAGGACACAAGTACGCACGTCCTGCTACAGTGCAGAGTCGAACGGATGCCACACCTGGGCAGCCCGCAGACGGTGCCCAAGGCCTGCACGTATACCAAAAGGCTACTGAGGTTCTTTGAGCTGGGATGGCATGCGCAAAATAGGCAGTTGGTGTCGTGTTGTGGAGAATACCCATCGATGAGAAAGAAGGTTCCAGGGCTCCACGGGGTAGGTGATTGGGGCAGGTTAGGCAACGGCACGAGTGATATTTTTTGTATCGCAAGCGTCTAAAGGATATGGTAACCACTTACCATCAGGCGGGCCATTGCCATATGTTTGTTTGCCACCCTTTTAACATAAAAAACTAACTTTACGCAAAGTAGTTTAGCAGTATCGACTATTCCTTGGTGTCATACATTGATGCATAAATATGCTGAAAATTGCTAGTTGCTTTGTTACATACTATAGATATCTATAATGTTCTTATCGAAGAACAATCCATGAAACCAGGATTAGCGATGCTAAAGTGTCACAATCATTATTAAATTAAAGTGTTTACTTACCGTGTTTTTTCAATAAACACAGGTCTGAAAATATTTATCTTATTCTTATCTTAAAGCTTTTCTAACATTTACATAGATAAAATGATTATTGATCAACTTCAAAGGTAACATATATGTTTTTTATAACTGTAAAATTGTTTTTCTGTGTTCAGGACCGTAGTCCGCGTGAATGTGGGCAAATCCCAAGCATTATACTCATGGGAGGCAGGGAGAGCAGGGGCCGCGGGGCTAGCGAGCGTGGGTGGTATACGGATCGATCTGCCGCAACACCCTGTAGCTTTACACGGCGTCATGACGCGATCCAGTCGCCAACTGTCCTCTACGCTGCAAGTAAGTGCTGTAATCGTAATATTCATCATCATTAGCCTGTTAATGTCGCCACTGCTGGGGCACAGGCTTTCCCTATGGATGGAATAGGGAGATTGGGCCATGACCCTCCACGCTGGTCCAATGCGATTGGAAGGTGCTAACGATAGTCGATAGTAGGACCAAAGGCTTAACGTAACTTCCGAAGCATGGAGGAGCTCGAGATAATAAGTTTTTTAATCACCCATCCAATGACGGCTATTGCGGAAGATGCTTAACACCCACGATCACAACTCAAATGTGCTATCGAGCTCCTGTCCTGTTACGGCATTGGCATAATGGGAATTTTTACGTTTCAAATCCAATTTTATTGATTTGTCGTACCCGTTAACTAGAAAAGAAACATCATGCAAAATTTATTAAACTGCACCGCGACATACGCTTACTTCACAGCCGCCACTAAGTTTAAAGTTTAAGTGAGACAAGGATCTGTATAAATGTGACGAAAATTTTAACTTTAACGCCGCCGTCTTTGTAAACTTCATATTTTGTATGTCATTTACGGCACATAATTTACATAGACACTATCGCCCTCCGTATTGTCATTCGCATACATTAAGATCCTTTTTTTAATGACCAGAAAATGTCTTACGCATGCTGCAACCACCAGGGGATCGAGAAGAAAGTATCTGTTACTCTTCCCTGCTCATTTCAGTCAGCCCTTGGGCTCGTTGAAATGAGCAGAGCCCTACAGGGTAAAAACCAGACAATATTCCTGTACCAGTTACCCGGCATACATTCTGAGGACGGAGGTCCCCCCAATGTACGCCGGGAGTGCGAGTGTGGTCGCGACAACCGTTTCCTATTTTTTGACGACCTCCGTGGCCGAGTGGTTAGTACGCCGGGTTTTATGGTGTTGATTACTCGAGAGGTCTCGGGTTCTAATCCCTGTGTGGGGGCAGATGTTTGTGTGATGAATACGAGCATTTATACTCCAGTCATGGATGTTAAATATGTATTTATATATTAATATACTTATATATGTATATTAATATACGTGTATATGTATTGTATCCGTTACCCTAGTATCCTATAACACAAGCCTACAGTGCTCACTTTGGGGCTAGGCTAATTGGTGTGAGTGTTGGAAATATTAATTTATTATTATTTTCGCACGCACGCACCTGCAGTAGGGTATTTGACAAGTTTTAGAAAACGATCTCAGGTCACTTACTAATGTTTATGGAGTCCAAAAAAGTGGATATTTTTAATTCTGTTGTGTAATTTAGTCACATCAAACGATACAATGTAATGTCACTTTGGCCGGATGTTTACTTGCGTGTGACGTCATTTTAGTCATGACCAATCCTAAGCGTTTTCGATCACGTGACCATGGAGCAAAAAAATCATTTTTATTTAATGATTTTATCGCAAAGTTATTAATTATTTGTCCTTTCAGAATAGTAAAATCACTGCTAATATTCATATTAAACACAGATGCCAACAAGTGGTACATTATTTTGCAGTTTGTCAAATAGCCTATTGTCGAACTTTACCTAATACTATCGTCAGTGCCGTCTTTGACCTATTGGAGGCCCTGTTCATATTAGGATAATGGGGCCCCCTATGACCCCCGTTTGGTGATTTAACAGGAACTAGGGACTTTGTATTTGATCTGAGTGGGGCCCTGGTCACTTGCCCATAGTGCCCACTGGGAAAGAGGGGTCTGACTATCGTGGTTTTGTTCAGGAACTCGGCGTAACTCGCACATCGTCGCGTTTATCGCGCGGCGCCGACGCGGCCGAAGAAGCGCCCGCCCCCACGCCAGTCCCTCCGCCGCCGCCCGCCCGCCCGTCGGACCCTCTACTCAACCCGCTACATCTGCAGTTCTCCATAGTGCTGCAGGTAAGCTGACATAAGAAAGAAGAAAGCAAATACATTATTTTTTCACAGACACGAGACAGGGAATACAGGATTTTAAACAGGTTATAACTGGTTGGTGTAGCAGTTTATAACTGCTGTACCAGCTATCTTCGCGTTTGGAATATATCACCGCTTAAAATCAGGTGGGGTAAAGTCATTTGCCTACCTTGCTAAAAAAACTTGTCATCGAAGGCCTATTAATTTCGATTTCCACCCGCCCCGTGGACCCTCTACTCAACCCGCTGCATCTACAGTTCTCCATAGTGCTGCAGGTAAGCTGACCTATGAAAGAAGAAAGAAATACATTTATTTTATACACAGACACGAGACAATAAATACAGGATTTGAAACAGGTTATAACTTGTCATCGTTAGCCTATTAATTTCGACCCTCGCTCACCTCTCGGACCCTCTACTCAACTCGCTGCATCTGCAGTTCTCCATAGTGCTGCAGGTAAGCTGACCTAGGAGAGAAGAAAGAAAATACATTTATTTTTACACAGACACGAGATAGGAAATACAGGATTTTAAACTAGTTGGTGTAGCAGTTTATAACTGCTGTACCAGCTATCTTCGCGTTTGGAATTTATCACCGCTTAAAATCAGGTGGGGTAGAGTCATTTGTCTACCTTGCTAAAAAAAACTTGCCATCGTTAGCCTAATTATTTAGACCTTCGCCCGCCCCTCGGCCCCTCTACCCAACCCGCTGCATCTGCAGTTCTCCATAGAGCTGTAGGTAAGCTCGCATGGGAAACAAAGAAAATACACTGACCAATTATGCTACCGCGGCCCTCACGGACCGCGTCGAAATTCTCCTAGCCATTCTCTTATTTCTTCTTTCAAATGTTTAATACTTGTAAAAGTATTCATTTGACATTGTGGGTTACGTATAATGCGAAGAGATGGCGCTGCCTTGCAACTTAAGAATGGCTAGAAGAATTTCGACGCGGTCCGTGATGGTCGCGGTAGCATAATTGGTCAGTGCATTCGCCCGGATTGCGAAGTGTGCGGGTTCGAGTCCCGTCTACTGCCTGGTCCGCATGGAATTTTTTCTAGTTATATTTTCTTTAGATTTAAACATCAAGCAGTTACATACTTTAAAAATAATAAAAATTATAAAGAAAATACATTTAATCTGCCAAAGACACGATACAGGAAATACAGGATTTTTAACTGGTTACGAGAAAAAAAAACAATAAAATAAAAATAGCGTAAACAAACACAATATTACCCCAAAGTACCAGACCACCCGTCTTCCAGATTCTGTACTCCATCCGCTGCAGCTGCAGTTCTCCATAGTGTAGCAGGTAAGCTGACCTAGGAAACACGCAGACAGAAAAGACTGGAAATGCAGGACTTTAAACTGGTTACAAGAAAAAAAACAACATCACCTAAACAAAACAAATTGTAACTGTTATTAAAACAAACTAAATTTTAGCTATCATTTCAACATCAACCTATCAGTAACTTCATAAACTTACATTTTCACATTTGTAGAGCCTAAGCATCACGGCGGCGTTGCTGCCGTCGTTGCAAGCTCAGTACAAGATGGAGCACGTCCACAGTTCCGGAGTGACGGGCACCAAAGCGCACTTCACCGTCGACTTGCCGCAGCATTCGCTGAGTTTCGTTACCAAACTACAGGTGAGATGGTTTCGTATTATTTGTCGTGTAATAAAAAATGTAAACGGTAGTCAAAAAATCATTATGATATTTTGATCTGTTAATTTTTGCTATGTATTTTTGTTTCCTTTCTTGTTGATGTATTTTTGATCAAAAAATTGTTTGATCTTTCTCTCTATGATTCGCAAAGTAACGTAACACAGGCCCAAAAGCAGAATTTTTGATAGCTCCGTAAAGTCTCGCATCATCAAAATTTCTAAAAAAAAATAAGCAGCGATCTATCTAACGAATGTAAGAATAAACTAGCTTTTTCCATACAAAATTTGACGATGACGATACGTTACGGAGTTGTCAAAAATTCGTGCTCGGGCCTCAGATCGTAGTTAACCAGTAGGTATAATATGAAATGATAAATGTAAATTATACTCTTTAAATTTGTTAATTACAGTTCTGTTTCCTATCGTCTGTAAACTAGGTTACAATAACGTTCAAATTGAAACTACCTTTATTTTTGTTTTTATTATGATAGTTATTGCATAGCTGGGGATAAGTGATAATAAGATTGAAATAATATAAAGTAAAGTATGTGAAAAAACACTGGGCGGATTAGGAGTGAAATTATCCAAAATAAAGTGGCTCAACATAAGATTTTCTGAGACAACTGATAACGCCAACATATGCGATTGTGATATACATATAACACATCGAAATTGGTATTCGATATGCTTTAAGTTACAACTTTGGTTTTTAGATTAAATTTAATAATGACTTAGGCCAATTCTTTGCCTTTGTTGATCTTTCGTAGGTTACTCCAATAGCACGTCTAAATGTTAGTACATAAAAAACGTAAAATTTTGTTTTATGTTAGACAGGTAGGACCGTCTATGAATATAATAATGAATAATCTTCATAAAAATCACAGATAATTATCTTCAAATACTGATAATTTGAAGTGTACTTCCGCGAGTACAGAGGGTGTTAATAATGGGTTAAACGCATCTAAACACAGATGAGCGAAGCGAAGCTCCCAGCGGCGGCTTCGGTCGCATTACCCGCTGTCCAAGTGCGGGGCCGGGTCGCAGAGCACGCAGGGGACGCCGGCCCCGACCAAGGGGCCTCCAACGGTGGTGCTGAAGGCGTGGTCCTTCGAGCCGGACGATACTTGGCCGCTACTGCCGATATAGGACTGTTCGAGCACACGCTGTCTACAGATCTACTCAACCATTTGGTGTTCGTGCAAAAAGTGTTTATGAAGGTTAGTACTGGAACTATCAGGGTTGTATTCACAAAGGCGTGGTCCTTCGAGCCGGATTATACCTGGCCGCTACCGCAGATATTATAGAACTGTTCGAGCACACGCTGTCTACAGATCTACTCAACCACTTGGTGTTCCTGCAGAAGGTGTTTATGAAGGTAAGTACTGGAAATTTCAGGATTGTATTCACGAAGGCATGGTCCTTCGAGCCGGACGATACCTGGCCGCTACCGCAGATATTATAGAACTGTTCGAGCACACGCTCTCTACAGATCTACTCAACCACTTGGTGTTCGTGCAGAAGGTGTTTATGAAGGTTAGTACTGGAAATATCAGGTCTTTTTTACCAACTTCAATGAAGGAGGCGGTTCTCAATTTTTCAGTATATTTGTTATTTAAAGTAATCCTCTAATAATTGCCTCAAGAATAGTCTGCGTCTAACGTGTATATTGAAATTTTTTATGTACTAAATTGTTGAACTAATGCTTGATGCGAATATCGGAATTTTAATTTTGCTGGGTGCTTGTTTTACTCAGTTAGTCTTTATGTTTTGTCTCTATTGCAGGAAGTTAATGAAGTTGTACAAAAAGTATACGGCGGCGAAAAACCCGTACCACTGTGGAACGAAGAGGAGGTCTCACAGTCTGCCCTCAGCCGGATTCTGTTCTCTCTCATCATAAGAATAAAAGTGAGTACTTATTTGTAAATATACGAATCGATACATTTAATTAAAATAAACAAATGATTTATGATAGACTATGAGAGCCGATCGAGATCGTAATCACGATATTATCACCCAAACAAAACTTATGTTAATTTTAATACCAGAATCTACTAAAACAATCAACCTGTGACATTTTCATGAGAAAGTTAACAATGCAGGAAATACTCAACTTCGTTGTTTTTTAGCAACAATATTGTTTATCATTTCAATTGACAGCGACGACGCCGTCTAACAGCGCGGTCAGCCTTGAGATCTAAGCTTGTGTTATTATGCAAATGAAAATTGCGTGTCGCGATAAAATCACTCACCTTTAGGCCAGAATCCTCTGTAACAATCACCTTTTAGGAAGTTAATATTGCTCAAAACACTTTTTCAACTTCATTGGCTTAGTAACAATATTGTTTATCGCAGCGTATTCAACTGACGGCGACGACGCCTTCTAACAGCGCGGTCCGCCTAGACACCGGCGCGGTAGAGTTCGAAGTGTCCAATCGGGTGCAGAACGTACCGCGCGCCGACTCGCAGGGATCGGGATAAAATTACTCACTTTTACGCCAGAATCCTCTGTAACAATCACCTTTTAGGAAGTTAATATTGCTCAAAACACCTTTTCAACTTCGTTGGCTTAGCAACAATATTGTTTATCGCAGCGTATTCAACTGACGGCGACGACGCCTTCTAACAGCGCGGTGCGCCTAGAAACCGGCGCGGTAGAGTTCGAAGTGTCCAATCGGGTACAGAACGTACCGCGCGCCGACTCGCAGGGATCGCCGCGGTTATTCGCGCGAGCGCATGTTCTACTAAACCTTAGCTTGGGACAGCTCATACGGAATGCTATGTTTGATGAGGCGGAGCCAGAGTTCCAGCAGTACGCCTTCTTCAATACTAGGATAGGTGAGTATAACGTGAAACCTATTACTGAATTAAGTAGTAAGTGGTGTAAGATAATTTCATTACAGTATTTAAAATTAAAACGGGATTGTAAACTAGTTTCTGTCGATATAACGATGGTTGGATTCCTTATTCCAAAACTAGGATTAAAATTAGTCATATTATAATTGCGAATGTAAGTTTGTTTGTTTGTCACGCATTCACGCAAAAACTACTGAGCGGATTTGGAGGAAATTTGGTATGCATATAGTTTATGACCTGGTTTAAAGCATAGATTCCTTTATATCCCGGAAAATATTTGGTTCCTGTGGGTTTCTCCGCGCCGCGTGCCGGACGACGCTCAGTGGGAAGACCCGCTACAAGGTGGACCGACGATCTGGTGAAGGTCGCGGGAAAACGCTGGATACGGGCAGCGCAGGAGCGCTCGTTGTGGAGATTCTTGGGGGAGGCCTATGTCCAGCTGTGGGAGTCGTACGGCTGATATGATGATGATGTGGGTTTCTCAAAAAACTAAACTTAACGCGGGCAAAGTCGCTAAATTTGAAATGAAATAATGCTCAACAAACTTGTTGCACACAGCGATGCGTAACGCGTTCCAAGACGAGATGGTGGACGGTGAAGACAAGGAAGTGGTCCTCATCACACTCAAGCGGCCGCTCATCTACATCCAGCCCGTGGCCGTGGACAAGGCGATATTAGTGTGGCTCAACTACAAGAACGCCTACGAGTACTGGAACGAGAAACGACTCAACCTCAACAAGGAAGTTCTGACGGCTACGCAGCAAGTGTTCGAGAAGGTAACTAGTTCCTGTATATTGGCAATACTTTTACCAACCTTAGTTTTTGTATGGCTTTTCGAAGTCACCTTAAGATCATTATTATTGTTTATGTTCACTTTGAGTATACAGCTCGACAAACTTCTTGAGCATCGACCATAGACAAGGATGCCTGTGCAGTAGCTATTTTACATACAAAAACGTTTATTGCGCAAGGTTATTTATCTGTGGTTTTGCTCAAGAAGTTTGCCACTACTTATAAGATCGTGTGGTTTTGTACATTTTGGAAAATGAGTCTAACCGATTAAAATCGTTTCTAAGTCTAACTTGTTCCATTACACACACTTGACAGTTAATTCTTATTAAATTTAGCGGATAGTGTGAACTAAACATGATTTAATAACACAACAGATAACATATTTTTTATAACTTTTTCTCCTTCCGTGGTCCCTTTCATTTCATACATGGAAAAGGATTAGCTTATATTATTTATCATTTTGACGTTTTTACTTTGCGGGAGAAGTAGTTGTCTTACACTTAGCACTAGATTTAAAATGGCCATTAACCCTATCATTTTTACCACTTATTTGAGTAATAGGATATATAACATTTTTTCAAATTAATCTTACTTATATTTATTATTGTTAATGAACTCCATAAAAAGTGGATATTCATTATTCTGTTTTGTATTTCAGTAAAAAATAAATAAATCAAAAATGCAGTTTTCAAGTTGCCGCGAAAACGTTTCCCTGGACTCTATGGCGTTTCGCTAATGTAATTAAAACGTCAAAGGATACTGTGTAATGTCACTTTGACTGGAAGTTTACTAATGTGTGACGTTTTTTAGGCTTGTCCAATCTCAGGCGTTTTCAGTCAGTGACCATAGATAAAAAAAAACATTTCTCTTAAATGTTTTTTACAAAAGTTATTTATTATTTGTTCTCTGAGAATAGTAAAAATCCCTATCAATACTCATATTAAATACAGATGCCAACAATTGGTTCTTTATTTTTCATACTGTCAAATAGCCTATTGGCCAACAATATTAAATACCCTAGATACACCAACACAAACAAAATCGTGGCCGAAACCTGTCCAAAAGGTACATGAAATGATTCAGGGAGCTCCGTAAGATGATCGCGTAGTCAAAAACAATGTAAGGCATTATTTAAACGTCGAAAGTCACCTTTGATGCATATTAAATAAGGTCTGAATCAAAACGCATGCGTCAAAGAGTTATGACAGTTCGAAATGAAAGCTCATAAAATTTTACGTCTTATTGCTATATGCGGAACAATATAGACCTTATTTCTTTGACTCTACGCGCAATTCTGAATGCGCTTTTAGGAAAATAGCAGTTATGGACCGCGAGGAAAAGAGTCGGCTATATTATCGACCATGCATTTGAATATCACAAATATTTTATATTAAATCAGTTTATAGTAAATATTAGGACAAAATTTAGCTTTAAATGCGTTAAATTAACAAACATTAATTAGGTACCTTTAAAAAAAAGACAGTTTACGTACTATATGTATTTTTTCACGGAGCTCTGCGGCATCTTGACTTTTTAACGGTCCGCGCTTGACTGTGAACCAAGAAGTGCTTGAGTGGTGTTCGAGCACTTCTTGACACATTTTGAGCGCGCGCGATTTTCAATACCATAGATACACCATCTATGGTATTGAAAATCGTTGCTATTGGCACTTTATTTTAAATATAGTCAAATACCTTATGGTGATTGTTGTTTAATTGTGACACCAGGTCCAGCAGTCGTCGGCGGCGGCTGCGCCGCACCCGAGTACGCTGTTCCTGCAGCTCAACGTCGATGACATCGGCATCTGTCTACCCCTCAACCCGCCACCAGTCGTAAGAATTATATAACTACTAGCGGCCTTAGGTTTTTTATAAATCCTACGGGAACCTAACCTTTCTCCGGGATAAGAAGTATTTTTGCGTTATTGAGTAACAAAACTACAAACCGAATAATGTAAATTTCACATTTATAATATAAGTACCATTAACTGGTCGATTGCAGAGCACTCTAGCTGTTCTGTCATATTATGGGATTGTGGCTTGAGGTTGACCTCATTTTTTTAATGTTAAAGGGGCGGCAAACAAGCATATGACCCGCCTGATGGTAAGCGGCCACAATAGCCTATTGACGCTTGCGATACAAAAAAAATCACTCGCGCCGTTGCCTACCCTAACCCAATCCCCTACCCCGTAGAGCCCTGGAAAAAAATTTCACTGTGGATTTCTGTCATTAATGAGAGAAAACTGCATATAGATTTAATGCATGCGATTATAGCCTATAAGAAAATAGACGAGCATTATAAAAACGTTTCTCTTATAATATGTTTTTTATAAATATCACAGGAATCAATGCATGTGAAGTGAGACCACTTGCCTTGACAGCAAAGCAATATCTTTGATGTTGTTAAATTTACCTACTTCCAAATGGGCTTTAAAAAAACGTGCACATTTTCATTTTATGTAATACTTGACTTCCCAACCTTTTTCTTCTTCCTTCGTAATACGCATTCTAACAAAAGAAACCCCTATTACACTGCGACAAAGATCTTGATGGATGTGAGTGACAGTACAGGGAGGGCGCTGCTGTCTACGTAAATGATAAAAAATGACGCTTACAAAGATGGCTTTGGATCAGTTTTTTCGCCATATTCATAAAATCCTTGTTGCACCATATAATAGTGTTTTTTTTTAATGAATTATGTAACAAACATCTATATAACATTTCTCTATTGGTACAGTCGGCACGCGGGGCTGGTCGTAGCGATACCGAAGCTCGGGGCGCCGTAGTAGTGACATTGGAAAGCACTAGCGTAGGGGCCTGCAGTTCCGGCGCGCTAGTCAGCAAGGGCCGATTCGTGGGATTATGTCTACGATTCGCGGACGACTTCGAAGCAACTCTCGATGACTGGAGACCTGCGCCTTTGGAACCGAGTCTCAATGTCTGCCGCGTGTCTGAGGGCACGTATGAAGTCTGCAGCCGCACTACCGCCGCTAAGCAGCATGGTGAGTCATTAGGGGTAGATTATAGAGTATCATTTATTGAGGACTGGTGACCTGCAGTTCCGGCACGGTAGTCAGCAAGGATCGATTATGCCTACGATTCGCGGGCGACTTCGAAGCAACGCTCGACGACTGGAGACCTGCGCCTTTGGAACCGAGTCTCAATGTCTGCCGCGTGTCTGAGGGCACGTATGAAGTCTGCAGCCGCACTACTGCCGCTAAGCAGCATGGTGAGTCATCAGGGGTAGATTATAGGGTATCATTTATTCAGAACTGACGACCTGCAGTTCCGGTACGCTAGTCAACAAGGGGCAGTTCGTCGGGTTATGTCTACCATTCGCGGACGACTTCGAAACGTCGCTTGATGACTGGAGACGAGCACCTTTGGAACCGAGTCTCAATGTCTGCCGCGTGTCTGAGGGCACGTATGAAGTCTGCAGCCGCACTACTGCCGCTAAGCAGCATGGTGAGTCATCAGGGGTAGATTATAGGGTATCATTTATTCAGAACTGACGACCTGCAGTTCCGGTACGCTAGTCAACAAGGGGCAGTTCGTCGGGTTATGTCTACCATTCGCGGACGACTTCGAAACGTCGCTTGATGACTGGAGACGAGCACCTTTGGAACCGAGTCTCAATGTCTGCCGCGTGTCTGAGGGCACGTATGAAGTCTGCAGACGCACTACCGCCGCTAAGCAGCATGGTGAGTCAGTAGGGGTAGATTATAGGGTATCATTTATTGAAGACTGGCGACCTGCAGTTCCGGCGCGCTAGTCAACAAGGGGCAGTTCGTCGGGTTATGTCTACCATTCGCGGACGACTTCGAAACGTCGCTTGATGACTGGAGACGAGCACCTTTGGAACCGAGTCTCAATGTCTGCCGCGTGTCTGAGGGCACGTATGAAGTCTGCAGCCGCACTACCGCCGCTAAAAAGCACGGTGAGTCATTAGGGGTAGGTAATAGGGTAGTATTTATAGTTGACGATCTGTACGCTTGGAATCCAGTATCAATGTGTACCGCATGTCTTAGGGCACGTACGAAGTTTGCAGGCGTACTACCGCCGCTAAAAAGCATTGTGAGTCTTTTAAGTAACATTGAAGAACAACATTCATATTTGAATGAATAGATGAATGACCAACAACCTACATCCTCAGAACCATGGCTCAGGTGCTGTAGATAACATTAGCAGATGCTGATGTATTTTGTCATTCTTAGTAGGTCGGCTCCCAGTTTATTTTGGTGCGATTATAGAGTTTAATCGGGGGAAACTAGATCTACCGAGTGCGAAGAATAGTCTGAAGTTAGTTTCGAGCGGCACATGCACTAGGAGAAATGCAATTTACCAGCAAAGCTGAGCGAAACTATACGTTTTGATGTGTGAGTGGCGCTACATGAATTTTAAATACTGAGATATCTTGGGCCAGAAATTTTACTTGCGACAACAAACTTCAAGTTAATTTTCAGATTTATTTGTAAGTAGAATTCCAAAACAACACGAATTTACCAATAACATTTATTACAGAGAACGCAAAATGGTTTTTGAACGTATCGTGGCAAATGGAGGGCGTAGATATCCACCTGGATGTGAACGTTGGCAAACAGCTTTCTGCACTCGGACACACGCTCACAATGCTTACAGGTATTTAATTTTTTTTTATGATATTAGAAATAAGAGTCCTATTAGTACTGTTTTAATAACTACTGTAATTTGACACAGGTTTTGAAGAAGAAGATCCTTTGAAAATGGACTATGAAAGTGATTTAGACGATGAAGCGGACAATAGTAAAGATTCCCAGGTAAGATATTTTCAGTATTTTATCCGTCATCAAGACAAAGACGCAATTGAATTCTTTCACAAATGTACTCTCAATTTTACAAAGCTTATTTGAGAAAGTTAATTACGGTCCTTTCAAAGAAAGTATTTCTACTTCGTCCGAACTTTGCAAATGTTAAAAGTAAACATAACAATACGTTCATCAGGAGAGCATAATACTCCGGCGCAAATGCACGGACCACTTGCCCGCGTTCGTATTCGACACGAGCATAGACTCGAAACAGCGGTCGAAGCTCATAGAAAAGGAAATGAACGAACAAGCCAAGATCATCAACGATCTCCGAGCGCTCGGCGCCAGCCACGCCACCATAGAGTACGAGATGAAACGACTGCATGACTTGGAAGCGCTCGTCTTTAAGGACTTCCGAAGGTATGTCAAGTTATTATCGATTCTCTAGCTATATTCTGTTTTTCTTATTTCTTTAATACACATTGCACTACATGTACTATAAAAAATTATATTCCTTTTTTAATTGAGAGATTCGATTGATTGTAGTAAGAATTCCTTATCTGAAAAACTGACAAAGTCCGGCTTCGTTTACCTTCACCCAGACTGGTTTAGTTATTTACATATAACATAATAACAAATATATTTCCGTTTCCCTACTCACTTTATATCTTCGCACAGTCAGTTTTATTTAATTCTTCATTCAATTTTCTCTCAAGGACTTTATATATACTCATCAAAAAAGTCCAGTAACATAAGTACGGTATTGAAAGTCTGAACTATTTTTTCTTTTGTAATATATATTATAGGTACTTTAATATTAAAAACACAGTCGAAAACTTTCTATTTTTAAAATCGGAAAGTATATTATGTTTTCTAACACAAAAAAAAAATCATCCATTAATTAAAACATACCGTTTCTGTAAATTATTCGTGTTGCTTAGATTTTTCTGGTGTGTATGTTTATACAAAGTTATAACCGTCGTTATAGGTAATTACTTCTTTTGCATATTCAGGGACATGATCCAGAAACTTCGACGGCAGAGTGTCCGCGCGAGCTCCATAACCAAGGGCAAGCTGGGGCTTGGCTCCAACCGCTCGCGGTCCTTCATGGCCGCCGACCCTCCGCCTGAGAGACACGACTGCGACAGGTCAGATATAGTCAACTAAACATATAATAAAATGGTAGGAAAGTCAAAACTGTACATAGGGGTGTGATCTACGATTGATACTGAAGCCAAAAATATAGTTTTAGAATTTTTGTCTGTATGTATGTCCGGAATAAACTCAAAAAGTACTGCATGGATTTACTTCAAATTTGGCACGAATATTATTAAGAAGTCAGGTATATAAGAACATATAGGCTACATAATATTATCACGAAACTGTCCTCTAAGGGGGGTATACGGGGGTTAGAAGGTTGTATGAAAGTCCTATGTTTTTGATGTAACAGACTTGAAATTGTGTAGACGTTGGTGTAGGTGTAGACGTGTACTTATAATGTGACGTGTACTTATAATGTATCTATAGAAATAAACTCCCTTTTTAGGGTCAAAAAGTATGTGCAAATAACTAACTCCGCGCGTACGAAGTCACGGGCGGCCGCTAGTTTCACTTTTAAATAAGTAATAAATACTAGCGGCCGCCCGCGACATCGTCTGCGTTAACTTTACAATTAATTGACAATCCCACAGGAACCGAACTTTTTGCCGGGATAAAAAGAAACCTATATCAATTCAGGTCATAAACTATATGAGTACCAAATTTCATCCAAATCCATTCAGAATTTTTTGCGTGATTGAGTAAAAAGTATACACTCTCCCACATTTATATCATTAGTAGGATGTATTCAATAGCTTCGCTTTCTGAGGAGCTCGATGGCGCTGCTGGTTAGCTTGTTCGGCTGCGATCGTTGAAGTTAAGCAACTTTCGCAGTGGTTGGGCATTAGATGGGTGACCAAAAATTTACTATCTCGAGCTGTGCTTCGGAAGGCACGTTAAGCCGTTGGTCCCGGTTGCATCTGCAGTCGTTAGCACCCACCAATCCGCACTGGGCCCGCGTGGTGGGTCATGGCCCAATCTCCGTATCATCCATAGGGAAGCAGGTTTCAAAAGAAACCTACTTCAGGCAGGGTGCTGAAAACCGCAGATGCAGCCGAGACCAACGACTTTACATGGCTTCCGTAGCACGGAGGAACTCGAGATAGAAGATTTTTGGTCACCCATCCAATAACCGACCACTGGGAAAGTTGCTTAACTTCAACAATCGCAGCCGAACGTGCTAACCACCTGCGCCATCGAGCTCCTCAATTAGCCAAGATATCCACTGAGAGTGAACGGATGTAGTAAAACAATATTGTTTTCCCCGATACTCAGTGAAGTCGCGAGCGCGGGTGAGCCGGGCCTGGGTGTTTGTAATGGCGTCGGCGACTCGGGCGAGACTCTCCTGCTGGCGGATGATCAAGACCGGCTCGCAGACATCATTGAGGGCGGTAGTTGGAGCTCAATGGACAGTGAACCGTTGGCTGGTAAGTAGTGTTGGGGTGATGTGGTGATGTGTGACTCAACCTATCGCAATCCACTGCTGGATATAGGCCACTCCCAATAGGATATTTGACAGTATGAAAAACGAACTACCAATTGTTGGCATCTGTATTTAATATGAATATTAGCAGAGATTTTACTACTCTAAGAGAACAAATAATTCACTTCTATGGTCACGTTACCGAAAATCTTTTTATTTCATTTATTTGATAATATAAACAAAATACAGTAATTAAAAAAAATACCACAAAACCCAAATTGGGTTTGTTTTGATACTGAGTCACTTTAGCCGTCAATACATAGTTTGATTCGTAAATGATATACTTTTGCAGTTCTTGGTTGATTATAATTAATGTAGCAAATCATGGGGCATTAAGTATTCAGAAATACTCGAAAGCCAAAATAAATCATGGAATTACAGTTACTTCTCATTCATATCTTGTTCATCAAATTAAACATTCTATTTACTACACAATTAAAATAAATACTACAGTGGCAATTATATTTTAACCTGCCTAAAAGTTATAATTATGAGTTATAGATAATAATACAAAAAGTAATACAAAGCAATTCCACTAGCTCATTTAATTTTAAAAGTAAGGATTTTTTAACAAAACACGATAAACCGTACACACATGTACAATGCTTGTTGTCGGTGCGCATAATACAGGAGGATACCCTTCTTTTAGTAGCAAAGTAATGAAGTGTCGTAAAAGTATTTATTATATTTTTACAAGTTATGTCTTGCAAGATTTTTATCGGTATTTCGTTCATTAAAAATGATACTAAAAATGCATTGGTTCGTTTACCATAATATTTTTTTTTTGTTTTAAGAATATTTAATTTTAAATGAATGATTTTTATAGTTGTTGTTTAATGATTGATTTTTATATCTTTATTGTCAAATTGTTCAATCAATATCATCATTTTTATTTTATAATATAGTGTGGCTAAAATTTTACAATATTTAAACATTACGCTAATATTTTCACCCTTACAAAGTGTGTTTTTAAAGTTTTTAGGTATCACTAGTTTTATACGTTCTGCCATAGCTGCTAGCTAGTAATGCTATACAACTAAGTCTTGGTTTAACTGTTAAAGACTCGAAGAGCGCAACAGCATCGGGCCCCTCCCGCTCGGCGTCGTTACGTGGCGCGACAGGCAGCGGTGCTCGTTCCGTCACGTTCCAACCCCCGCCCGTACAGCGACAGAGCTCCCTGCCAGCGCACGCTGACCACTGGCCGCTGCAACTGGACGGGGTACAGCTGCGCCGCCCCGAGTACAGGTATAAAGTTCAAATTCAACTTTTTTTTTATAGATAGGTCCGACAAATGACTCCAACCAACCTGCTGTAAGTGAAGGTGAAGTCCAAACGCGAAGATAACTGATACAGCAGTTCTACCTGCCACACCAGCCATCCTCACCCTGCTGGCCTGCATGTTGCTTCTTCACGCCTCTCTTAAAGAATCCCAGGTTGTAAGAAATGAGTCACCAAATTTCTTTGTACGCGTTGGAATTGTGGCCACAGTTAGACGGTGGCAACGTAGGCCAGCGCGCGTGGTCCTCTGAAGGAAAGGGGAAGTTGGAATAAGAGAGAATAACTCCTTAGAATACTCGTCGTGGTACAGACGATAGAACGCGCTGAGTGACGCCACGTCACGACGTAATTGAAGAGGCTCGAGGCGTTTAGTCATCTCCTATTATTCAGTTTAAGCTTTTACAAGCACATGTGAAAGTCGAAAATTACGCCATCGGTTCGCCAACCTACGGCGGGAGACCTTGTACTGAAAAGAACCGGCAAAGAACTGAAGCAAGGGTTGCTTTTTCTCCCTGTTTTATTTTATACAATGTCGTCAAATTGAAAGCTGACATCAAACTTGCAAACATGTGTTGAGGTCAACTTCCATCACATAATGTCAAATAGGTAACAATATATAATCAACGAATTTACTAACAATAAGTGTAAAGAGAAGTCCCAAAATTGCAAGAAACAATCTTCAAGACAAATTGAACAAGTATATGATAGGAATTAAGTGCAAGGTTCTCTTCAACACTCTTTTTAAGGGCCCCAGTTTTAATATAACTTTTGAAAAATTATCTACAGATAAAATTACAACCAGGCCGTTTTATCATTCAAATTTTGTTTTACAGTATAATATAATTTCTTAAGTAAGAAATTCTTAATGTCTCACAGGCAAAGCCCTTTTTGGTCAATCGTGTTTCAACACTCGCTTACATTGCAAGTCAACAAATAACAAAAATACAACTGGCCGACACCCCGGCCGCGTCTGTCTGTGAGACACTATGCGATCCAAACTTTATGGCTATTTAAGAAGCAAGCAGTGAGCGCAACTATGCGTAGGTTTCGGTGCAGTGCCATCACACGTGCGTTTTAAACTTCCTCGTACGTTTACTGTGTTTCGATTTGCGCTAACTTCACACTCGTCATTAAGTTAGTACTTATAGGACAATTCACATATCAATTCGCACGCGACTTCGTTCGCGTTTGCGTTAACCTTTTTTGAGAATCCTACGGGATTCTATCATTTTACCGGGATAAAAAGTATCCTATATCTCAATCTGCAGGTCATATGTGTACCAAATTTCATCCAAATCTGTTCAGTACTTTTTGCGTGATTGAGTAACATATATACAAACTTTACATTTTTGATTTTAGTAGGACTATCAAACCATCCCAGATTTGCACTGGTGGAATTTACAGTAACTCAATAAAATATAGCCTATACCACTAAGGAACAACGTAGCTTTCTACTTATGAAAGAGTTTTCAAAATCGATTTAGTGGTCTCAGATGTTACACCCTATAAACAATGATCTCTCTGAAGAAAAGTTATCTCTAGATCTTCTTTCTATAACATTATATTACTCGTATCATTAAAGAAAGCAATCGCAAATGACGAAGCAAGACATTCTGCCCCACTCGAACATCCTAAGTAACGTGCGAGAGAGACAGATTGTTTTACGTCAGCATTTTCGATTCCTTTCTTTAATGTGTAGGCAGGCCAAAGGGGAAGATCTTCCTCCGAGCTGGATGATGTTAGCTCGGGGGCCGCGGCCCGACTGATGTCGGTCGGGCATCGTATATATGGAGTGTTAGCCTCCAAATTTTACTTGCGCGATTTAGGCTTCCATACGTATTGATAGCAACGCCGATAGCGCCATCTCTTGAGGAGGCAAGTGACTATTTCCTTCATATGACACAAATTATAGCAATATCCTAAAAAGGAATTATCGCAAATGCTTTACATTCTTTCGCCAATGCTTACGAATATCGCTTACTAGTTTCATATTGCCACAGCGCCGGCGCTGACGCACAGAACTCCGAGGGCAAGCAGAGCAAGCCCAAGACCGCGGAGCCGAGCATAGACTTCGAGCTGGACGTCAAAGTGCACATCAATAGCGGCAAGTGCGTGCTCCACACTAAGGAACCTTCGAAGGAGGACGATATGAAGATGTACGTATTGTTTTGTAAACTATTACGCACACACCATCAGCCTATTAATATCCCACTGCTGAGGCACAGGCCTTCCCTATGGATGGAATAGGGAAATTGGGCCATGACTCAACACGTGGGTCCAGTGCGGATTGGTGTTAAAGGAACCAACGGCTTAACGTGCCTTTCTAAGCACGGAGGAGATCGGGATAGTAAATTTTTGGTCACTCATCCAATGAGCGACCACTGCAAAAATTGCTCACCCTCAACGATAGCAGCCGAACGAGCTAACCACGTGTTCAATGGAGCTCCTCGCTTTTTTACTATATATATATTTTTCACTAAGGTATACGCCAGCAACCCTTCTATAGACCGCATTTTCACCCGTTTGTGTGGCACGCCCCCAAACATCGCAATACATTTTCATTCGTTTTATCAAAATCATCCGTCCGTGACGTCACACTGACGTGTCCAATCAATACGCAGTTTACACTCCCCTCATGCCTCAACTTTGGTGACTTCGATTTCATATAAAAATGTAATGTGTCAAAAAAAAATTGAAAACTGTAAAGATGGTGGCAATTCCAAATGTTGTCATCACATTTGTCTATTATGTCCTCTTTTTATCATTTCTATTGATATCGAATTTATCATAACAGAGGAGGCCGGATGCGCGTAGGCCGGTCAGCTTCCGGGGGCTTAGGCGAGAGTGGGACGGGTGGGTCGCCGCCGGGCCCCTCCGGGTTGGGTCCGTCCGCGTCGGGCGCGGGGCTGGCGGCCAGCGGCGGGGGCCGGCGGAAGGGGGCGGGGGCCGCTAGACACCAGCCCAGTCTGGACCTTACCGTGTTCAGAGTGCCGGGGCTCGACCTCAAGGTATAATTATTATTAAAAAATACATTATCTGCACGCATGTCGAAATATTCGAAAAGATGGTTTTATAAAGACGTACTTTGTAAACGCACATTCATAAAATTAAAAATAAAATTCAATAAGTATAGTGCTGCTAGCTATATTATAAAATAACTTTTAATCATTATTGTACACTTTTATTTTTTTATTTCTTAAATTAGACTATGATGTTAGGCTGAATGTGAAAAGAAGGCGCCGCATGCGCAATGTAAACTTGTTAAAAAAAGGCGCACGCATGCGTGGTTTGCTCTTAATCCCCCATCGCTTCCCATACAATTTTTACCGATCGTGTTTTGTTTTCGGGATTTCACAAAATGTTTTGCAAAATCCTTTGTTACCTCAGCTACTTTGTTTAATTTCAATTGTTCCTATGAGTGAAGATAAAGTAGTGTTATACAAACTGAATAAAATTTAGTTAATAAAACACTCGAGTCAACCTATTAACCGCTAACTTCACAGCCACTTTAAAGTGTGAATCGCATTATATTTAAATCGGTTTAGTATTTATGTACCTGTCAACAATCTTACCAAAGTGAGGTCAAACGAAATAATTGCTTAAGTTGTGAGTTGCTGAAATTGAGTTCCATAAATTAGTCGAAATTTTCCTTGAAAATATATCATGTGACTCAGTTTCAGCGAATCACGTACATCGATTTCTAAACTGATCGCGCTTAACTAACTGCTACTAATATTGATATTAAAAACTCAAAAAAATAATAAAAAAAACCTTTATCCTTTTTGTCCAAACCTTTTCTAACTGAATCTAAATCTCAAGGTACACTACGAATCCAAAACCTTACCGGAAGAGGCGGCATCTCCCCTCTCGAGTGGAGCGCCGGCGCGCAAGGTGGCCACTAAAAAAGCCGCGTTATTCGCCTGGATCACCGTGCAGAGTATCCCTGAGGAAACAATAATTAGTCCACATATACTGGAGTTCCTCGAGCAAACGCTGGAACCTATACCGACTAAAGCCTTCTCAGCGCCCACTCCAGGTAAAATCACAAAAATAGTCGAATAATTAATCCGATAATGGTGTCGATTCTGGTATGATTATCTAAACCGAAACTTAAATTTGATAACAGTGTATCCTTGTCATTCTCACACACAGTTACACGACTACAATAGATATAGAAAACCATGAATTAGCGGCAGTCGTACGAATCCGGGATGTTTGATATCAAATTCAGATTACATAAAAAAACCCTGACTGTACATTCGAAATTAAAAAAAAAATCTGATATCAAATTTGGATTCAGGACAAAAAAAAATATTACTTTAAATAAAAAAAAAATATTTGTATTTATGCAAAATTATAATATATTATTTATATTATAATTTTGACACAGCAAACAAAATGCAGTTAAACAATTAATGTATAATTTCACATTATGTAATGAAAGGTTTTCATGAATCATCTCTCACTGAAGTCATTTTTCAACTTAACGACTCTGTAAATAATAAAACGGGTAGAAAAAAACAGCCCTTGCTGAGTTTCATGCCGGTTCTTCTCAGTACAAGGTCTCCCGCCGTAGATTAGGGAAGATGCAATATTTTTATTTTTGTTTTCATTTTAAAGAATTCCATGTAGAATAAACCACAGATATATTAAAAAATTAAAACATTGTGATTTATCGGAAAAAATGCGGTTTTAAATTGACAATTTAAATTTTCGCGCGAAAACGAACCTTTGGTTGCGATGACGTCACTCCTGTCTGTCACTGGTCGTAATTGTTCGTTGCTGGCTTTAAATTTTCATACTTTTGCATATTTTTTCGACTTTCGAAATATTTTTTTGAAAAATTTAAAATGGACTATCCATCAACATCATGTGATCATAACAATACCACTAATATTCCGAAAAAAAGCCGTGTTGACTCATGTTTTGTGCCAATCTACTTCAACAAAGTTCCCAAATAAATTGTTTTTGACTGGAACTTCTGACCCAAAACTGAAAAAAAGTGGTTTCAAGCTGCGAAGAGAAATGACAATTATTCTCCAAAGACCATTATTCGATGCTGAGAAGATCACTTTGATGTAAGTCGGCGAATATACTTGTTATATGCTTAATTAATCTGCTTGTACGTAAAAACGCATTAGTAACCTACCTAATACTTACAAAACCTGTCTATAACATATTTTTAATTTTACAGTTGGAGAATAACGTCGAAAATTAGATAAAGTTTAAAATGTGTGGCACAATCTTCACATTGGCAGGACTGAACCAAGCTTTGCGTTTCATTTAAAATAACTGTAACACGATAACCTTCTTTACGTACTTTATGCTCCGGAGAACTCGACCTTTTACTGTACATAATTTTCCATCTCTTTTAATTTGGACATAGCCGATTGCATTATCGCCGTAAGATTTGTAGAAGCCGCTGAATAAAATACGAAGTTTAACAACTACGATTTTTACATACCGTAGTAATTTAGTCCCTTTCATTTCTACACTAAAAAACTCTGCACTTTGGACAAAAAAAATTATAACCATGTCAACGCTAACTCGTGGTAAATTCCTGGAGTCTGCTTTGACAAACGCAACTTCCATTTTTATTAAATGTCAAAAAACGCAATAAATATTCCCATAAAATAATATTTACTTTAACAACCATAACCTCAAAGAAGTTGTCATAACAGGAGTGACATCACTAAACGCTGATTGGTGTTTTAAAATACGTTCCGTTTCAAGTATTTTTAATTCGTAATAATTGTTAAAAAACAACATTATGTAAAATAAAAACGTTGCAGTGGCATTTCTTTTATACTTTTTTAACATTTTAATCATAAAATTTTCATAAATATTATATATGCATCTTCCCTTTTACGAACCGATGGCGTAGCTTCTAGACATTCATATGTGCTTGTAACAGCCTAAACTAAATAAATGATTTTGATTATGATCATTAAGAAGCAAACTTGCGTAACGTATTAATTTCGTACACAGAAGCGGAGAATGGCGAGCGCACACTCACAGGCGGAGCGGACGCGGCCGCGGGCGATGGAGCGGGCGCGTCGTACGGACAATACGTGTACGCGTCCTTCCCCGTCGACGTCATCGTACAGTTCCACATGCAACCCTCGACCTTCCGCTTCAGCTGCCTGCCCGCGTCGCGCGTCGAGTGCCTGCTGCAGCTTCCCAGTCTCCAGATCGTGTTCAGCTCTAAACGCGCGGGAGATGAGTGAGGCATTATGATTTATATTATCATACTAATATTATAAAGACGAAAGTTTATGAGTGTGTTAAGTGTGGCTTAAGCGATTTTAATGAGTATTTAGAGATTTTTATTAGTATGGAGTAAGCTGACACCCTGGATTAACTTATAGGCTACGTTTTACTGCGGGAAAATATCTCTAATAAACCGCGGGTAACACCGCGGGGCACAGCTAGTTATCATATAAGGCACAGTTTCACATGCAGCCCTCCACGTTCCGCTGCACCATGTGCAGCTGCCTAGTATGCAAATTGAGTTCAGCTAAAAACGCGCTAGCGAAGAGTGAGCTATATATTTTATTGACAGAGATTATAGCATTATTACGTTATCATTGGTTTATTGGAATCGCGCATTAAACGACACTGTATTATTCAAAGGTGTAGATCTAGACATACTTAACATGCGACAACACTACCACTGCTCCATGTCCCGTCGCCATAATAATAGTTTAAAAGTTTTCTCAAAATAAACATAAAGCTTACAGCCTCGCAAAGGTCACGGTCCAAAATGGCAACCCCTGATTTATAAACCACAATTATTCCTAGGGAAATGTCAGAGCCAGCGGTCGCGATGGGCGGGCTGAGCGTGACAGGTTGCCTGGCTGACTTCTCCGTATACGTATTCCATCCGTACGGCGGCAAGAAGTCCAGCCTGAAGGAGGCTCAGTGGTCGCCGCTATCTGACACGGAGCGAAAGGACTCGCTGTCCATCAACGTGGAGTTCGTCAAATTCCACCTGTCACGCTCGCGCAAGCTCGATTTCCAGGCAGACCATGACCAGTCCAAGGCCACCGTCAGATTCTCCAGTAAGTCCTTTATATGTGTCTCAAAAGTTTCAGCATTAAGTAAATCTATTGACACCAATATTGCAGTGCAGTGATCACTTTTCTTAGGCACGTCAAACCCACCAATAGCGTCAAGTGTATTTGTCAAAAGTCAGAAGATCAAATGAAGTCATGCTTGATGACTACAAGTCCAAGGCTACTGCCAGATTCTCTAGTGAGTACTGTAGCGTAGTACTCAAGCACTAATACTTGAGAAATATGGGTGTATGCCATTAGGGGTAGACAATATCCTCTAAAGGATGCATGGGGGACGAATAACAAGAAGATGTCCAGCCTGGAGGAAGCTCAGTGGTCGCCGCTGTCCGACATAGCGCGCAAGGACTCGCTGTCCATCAACGTGGAGTTGGTCAAGTTCCACCTGTCGCTCTCGCGCAAGCTTGACTTTCAAGCAGACCACGACCAGTCCAAGGCCACCGTCAGACTCTCCAGTAAGTCCTTTAAATGTTGCTCAGAAATTTCAGCAGCAAATAAAAACGGATGAAATGGATATCCATATCATCCGTTAACATTAGTCGCAGCGCAGCGATCACCTTTCTTAGGCACGTTAGAACCTCGTGTTTTATTTAGAGCATTTTTTAGTAATCTAAAGTTTCATACATTTTAAGCACGTGTTTAGCGACTAGTAGTCCTACTTAAGATTGCGAGATTAAATAAACTCGTGACTTAATAAAGCATTAAATAAATCAACATCTGAGTAGGACCGTGAGGTGCGAAACTAAAATCAACATTATGTACACATAAGTTCATGATGAGCTTTCTGGCATTAGATGTACTCTAAGGCCGGTATTAATAGAGTTGAAAGTGATCTATTAGTACGTGCGTTACAATTTGAGTCCATTTTCAAGAAAGGTTTTTGCGCAGCTATCGTGGACGTGGGGTCGGCTTGGTTCAAATACGACATGCGGCGTTTGAGCGAGATCCTGGCGTTCCCACGCGCCTGGTACCGCCGCACCATCGTGCGCCGCATGTTCCTGGGGGACCTCAGCCTCAACGAACAAAGGTGTGGCGACATTAACATTATACCAGCGATCCTGTACTTGTACCCTTAGCACGAACCAATATTGAATTCGTATCGTTTGCGAGTCCGAAATGTCATTGTCAATGACAATCACTACACATGTCAATGTGTACTGATTTTTAGTTCTCGTTACGTACTTTGTGCCGCTTCTGTTCAAGTTTCCATACAAAATTTGACATTGACATTTCGGTTTGCAAACTATTCGAATTCTATAATGGTTCGTGCTACGGTACAGTATAGTTCAAATACGTCATGATCCTGGCGTTCCTGTGAACCTGGTAATATTTGAGCAAGCGTACGCGTCATTTACGTACGATTCTGAATGTGGTGATAGTATAAAATGTGCTATAGATGGATATAATTTACGGTAAAAGGATAGGATACAAACTTATTTTAGTATATTATGACAAGTCTGGTGGTAATCAGCACTCTGCTGTGATAGAATGAGCTCGATCCCTGTTGAGATTATCTAAAATAATAATAACATAACTTTCTTCGAAAAAAGCTTTCAAGGCACGCGCAAAAGTATAATACAGCAAGTTGAAACGTTTAATTGTTCATATTAATTTGATTATATTTGACTCACTGTCGCCAACTCTGCTAGAAAACATAACGACAAAGAAAAAATAAAAACACGAAAACTAATTTAATGTGCCTATGTGTAGGGCCAACAGGCCGTTGTCTCAGCTATGATACTGTGGTAGTACTTTCGTAATACCACAGCAGCGCTGATTTTCAGCCAGCGCTTAGTGACGTCCGAACGCCAAACAACATCTTCTAGAGACGCCCACAGTCCTATGCCCTTAGAATATTAATTGTAGTTAATATTTTCGTAGGTCATCGACTACTGTACCTGTATCACCGGTGCTACCTCAAAGAGAGAAAACAAAGACTGTTGATCACCAAAAACCTAAAGGTAAGTAAATGGTCTTCAAGCTCAAATCAAATATGTATATTAAGAACGTATACAGTAATCCTATTGTGGTGTGAAGAATTTCCTTAATAACGCACACACACATGTCTATTTACATCAAAAAAAGTCCTGTGTATTTGTGAATAAATAAGATAAAGGTTTAAAGATTTATTTTATTAGAATGCGTCTTATTTATGCTTTTGTCAGCATCGGAGAGTAAGACTCCGGCGCCGGGCGCGGCGTGGGAAACGCTAGTGCTGTTTGCGGTTAACTTCACGCGGCTCAACGTGCACATGAACATGGGTAACGTCATGGGGAACGTCAGGTCAGTATCTCAGTAATATTGTAGTTGATTTTTTTTTTGAGAAGATTTATCTCCATTTTACTCTTATGTTGTTAATTAGTGAATTTATATTATTGTATATTATTTTGTTGAAATGTTTGTTACTGATACTGATGACAAACAGAGGCCAAACTCATCACTACTGCTATATGATTTATTATTAAATAATTAATTCGTATGACGATAGTACGTAGTAGTATGCTTGTGAAGTAAGGAACGAGCGCAACTATGCGCAGGTTTCAGCCCGTGAAAACCTACACGCATCTAAATTTCGTTCACTGTGCTGCCACTTGCGTTTACTCCACAGCCGCCATTAATTTTGAATCGCACTATACAGGGCGTCCCACGGGTTACTCACACAGAGGGAAAGTATGTTAAATATTGAAGATAGGATATTTTTCTGAAAGCAGACACGTGACTTTTCTTTCATTTAAAATGTTATGTTATTCAGGATTTACCCTTTCGACGGTTATTATAAAATACATGTGTTTTTTTGCGTCACCTTTCTCGAGTTTGATTCCCGGTTTTGGCAAGCGATTTTTTTATACTGTGAATGCAGTTCGACTTATTATTAAAAATTAAATGATGTCTTCTTTCAGTAGAACATTCTCAATATTTTCAATATTTATTATAGTGTCCCTCCGTGTGACAAACCCGTGGGACGCCCTGTAGATGGATAAGGGGGTGACATAATTCGATATTCGGTCGCCAGTTGGCAGAGCCGTGACTTCCGTTGTTCTGGGCGACTGAGCATCGGCAGTACTGGTCGACGCAACATGTTGCTGGGCGTGGCTCTGGCAGGTTCCGCCCTAGACGCCAGGGGCGGCATCGTGGGCGGGGCCATCTCGCTTTCCTCCATCGACACCTACGGTAACTGTATAACCGTCGGTATAACCATACACTTAGTATTTTAAGTCGGACAGAGTGAGAAAAAGAAAAATAATTGCATTACGACACTCCTACAAGGTAAGAAGAGACGCAACATGTTGTACCTTTGATCCAATAAACTAAGGGTCAACGTCCTGTCAGCCTGTTGTGATAAAGTTTATTAGGAAATTCTGTGAAACTAAGAAAACAATTGTGCTTATGCAATTCAGTTTGTGTAATGGTAGACTTCACTTACACAGCACAGATTTTAAGAAATTGTGCAGTATATCAATACGCACTAACTATCTGTTCGATAATGTTAGCATTTGACATCTTATGTACTCTCTTTTTTCTTTCTTACTCATTCGGCAGCATTCAAGATTTTAACAGAGTTATTTTAAAACATACCTTGATACATTACGTACACTAACCATGTTCGTGTTGGTACCGAGTTTAAATTCCGGACGTACCGCTTGCAATGACAGTTACACTTACGTCAAACGCAAAGGCCCCGACAGTAATTTTATTATTATAATCCATTTCGCCTCTGGATGTATGCGACATTCACGCGTCTTCCATCGGCCTCATACATTGATTTCCTTGCTCAGTGCACATAGAGGAAGAACCGGGCTGCAGTCCGGGCCACGTATGCGGGATTCGTTTAGCCGCGCTAGAGCTGCGACTCGAGTACATGGGCACGCCAGTGTTACTGGCGCGGGTGTCACGTCTACGGGCCAAACTACGGGACGACTGGCAAGAGCGAACGAGGCAGTATAACACGCGGTAACTATGAGCTACTAGTCTAGAGATTGTGACGTATTCGAGAGATAGGGCGGGCCACATATGCGGGCCAAACTACGGGACGACTGGCAAGAGCGAACGAGGCAGTATAACACGCGGTAACTATGAGCTACTTACTAGTTTAGAGATTGTGACGTATTCGAGAGATATGGCGGGCCACATATGCGGGCCAAACTACGGGACGACTGGCAAGAGCGAACGAGGCAGTATAACACGCGGTAACTATGAGCTACTTACTAGTTTAGAGATTGTGACGTATTCGAGAGATATGGCGGGCCACATATGCGGGTCAATTACGGGACGACTGGCACGAGCGAACGAGGCAGTATAACACGCGGTAACTATGAGCTACTAGTCTAGAGATTGTGACGTATTCGAGAGATATGGCGGGCCACATATGCAGGTCAACTACGGGGCGACTGGCACGAGCGATCGAGGCAGTATAACACGCGGTAACAATGAGCTGCTAGTCTAGAGATTGTGACGTATTCGAGACATATAGCGGGCCAAACTACGGGACGACTGGCACGAGCGAACGAGGCAGTATAACACGCGGTTACTATGAGCTACTAGTCTAGAGATTGTGACGTATTCGAGAGATATGGCGGGCCACATATGCGGGCCAAACTACGGGACGACTGGCACGAGCGAACGAGGCAGTATAACACGCGGTAACTATGAGCTACTTGTCTAGAGATTGTGACGTATTCGAGAGATATCGCCGAGCCACGTATGCGGGCTAAACTGCGGGATGACTATAACGAGCGAACAAGGCAGTATAACACGCGGTAACAATGAGCTACTAGTCTAGAGATTGTGACGTATTCGAGACATATAGCGGGCCAAACTACGGGACGACTGGCACGAGCGAACGAGGCAGTATAACACGCGGTTACTATGAGCTACTAGTCTAGAGATTGTGACGTATTCGAGAGATATGGCGGGCCACATATGCGGGCCAAACTACGGGACGACTGGCACGAGCGAACGAGGCAGTATAACACGCGGTAACTATGAGCTACTTGTCTAGAGATTGTGACGTATTCGAGAGATATCGCCGAGCCACGTATGCGGGCTAAACTGCGGGATGACTATAACGAGCGAACAAGGCAGTATAACACGCGGTAACAATGAGCTACTAGTCTAGAGATTGTGACGTATTCGAGACATATAGCGGGCCAAACTACGGGACGACTGGCACGAGCGAACGAGGCAGTATAACACGCGGTTACTATGAGCTACTAGTCTAGAGATTATGACGTATTCGAGAGATAGTGCGGGACACATATGCGGGCCAACTACGGGACGACTGGCACGAGTAAACGAGGCAGTGTAACACGCGGTAACTATGAGCTACTAGTCTAGAGATTGTGACGTATTCGAGAGATATGGCGGGCCACATATGCAGGTCAACTACGGGACGACTGGCACGAGCGATCGAGGCAGTATAACACGCGGTAACAATGAGCTGCTAGTCTAGAGATTGTGACGTATTCGAGACATATAGCGGGCCAAACTACGGGACGACTGGCACGAGCGAACGAGGCAGTATAACACGCGGTTACTATGAGCTACTAGTCTAAATACGTTGATGTATTCGAGAAATATGGCCGGAGCACGCATGCGGGGTTCGTTTAGCTGCGCTAGAACTGTATAACACAATAGACAGTATAACACATGGTAACTATAACCACTAAAAATAGAAAATAGCCGGAAGGATCCTAGCAAATAATTACCTTAACTTACTGTTATTGAGTTTGACTACCCTTGTCACTTGTTCTTTAAACTGTGTGAATTCCTGCCAATGTGACGTTAATTTCGAATGAAAAATGACGTACGGTCGCAGTGATTACGTATTTGGTGCTATAACTACCTTTTTATTAAAGCACGGTAATGAAAGCGATAACATATTATGTATAAATAAAGCGAAAACGAAAACTTCTTCAGAGTTAAATATGTTGTGGTTATATTTAGAAAACTTGTCTTCTTCTATATAAACTGTCTGTCTTATGTATAAACCATGAATATGTAGGCAATGACTTTGTCTCGTCTCCCTTGGCCACCATCATTGTTTATAGGTACTTTAAACATTCGATTGACGGTATTCTTGTTCCATTATACCCCAGGCCGGCGATAATCCTGACGCACGGCACTTTGAGCTGGCACCAGCTGCAGATCCTCATGAGCCGCAGCACGACTCCAGATTTACTGAAGATGCAGCTCAAACTCGAGGAATTCTTCACGCAGCAGTTCAAGTCCAGCAAGCGGGTGTTCAGCTCTCTCCATCCTAATTACTCTAATGCGAGGAGGGATAAGCGAGAATGTGAGTTTTTGTTGTTTTTTAGTGAGATTGACTTTGATTTTCAAATGGTTTCACTCTATTTGAAGATAGTAAGAGATGAAAGTCAAAAGAAAACGATGACTTGATAACCATTTAATTTTGTAGGTTAAATGGTTAACATTAGGGTTAGACTTATCGATTTATTTTAATAATGATTTACCGATGTTTGTAACTCACCAGCGTCAGCACCGGCGCCAGGAACGAGCAGTGGGGCGACCGGATCTAGTACTGGCGGAGGCAACACCAGCGCGACTGAAGCGGGGCCCGAGCTGAGGCACCACCGTCACTGGCAGCGCGTGCTGCGCCTCGTGTCCGGCCTGCACCCCTCCACGCTGCCCGCGCCGCTACCCGCCAATGGTGCGTGCCCGCCTGTACCTCCCTGCGGCACTATAGAGCCGAGCCGGACCCGAGTGAGGCACCACCGTCACTGGCAGCGCGTGCTGCGCCTCGTGTCCGGCCTGCACCCCTCCACGCTGCCCGCGCCGCTACCCGCCAATGGTGCGTGCCCGCCTGTACCTCCCTGCGGCACTATAGAGCCGAGCCGGACCCGAGTGAGGCACCACCGTCACTGGCAGCGCGTGCTGCGCCTCGTGTCCGGCCTGCACCCCTCCACGCTGCCCGCGCCGCTACCCGCCAATGGTGCGTGCCCGCCTGTACCTCCCTGCGGCACTATAGAGCCGAGCCGGACCCGAGTGAGGCACCACCGTCACTGGCAGCGCGTGCTGCGCCTCGTGTCCGGCCTGCATCCCTCCACGCTGCCCGCGCCGCTACCCGCCAATGGTGCGTGCCCGCCTGTACCTCCCTGCGGCACTATAGAGCCGAGCCGGACCCGAGTGAGGCACCACCGTCACTGGCAGCGCGTGCTGCGCCTCGTGTCCGGCCTGCACCCCTCCACGCTGCCCGCGCCGCTACCCGCCAATGGTGCGTGCCCGCCTGTACCTCCCTGCGGCACTATAGAGCCGAGCCGGACCCGAGTGAGGCACCACCGTCACTGGCAGCGCGTGCTGCGCCTCGTGTCCGGCCTGCACCCCTCCACGCTGCCCGCGCCGCTACCCGCCAATGGTGCGTGCCCGCCTGTACCTCCCTGCGGCACTATAGAGCCGAGCCGGACCCGAGTGAGGCACCACCGTCACTGGCAGCGCGTGCTGCGCCTCGTGTCCGGCCTGCACCCCTCCACGCTGCCCGCGCCGCTACCCGCCAATGGTGCGTGCCCGCCTGTACCTCCCTGCGGCACTATAGAGCCGAGCCGGACCCGAGTGAGGCACCACCGTCACTGGCAGCGCGTGCTGCGCCTCGTGTCCGGCCTGCACCCCTCCACGCTGCCCGCGCCGCTACCCGCCAATGGTGCGTGCCCGCCTGTACCTCCCTGCGGCACTATAGAGCCGAGCCGGACCCGAGTGAGGCACCACCGTCACTGGCAGCGCGTGCTGCGCCTCGTGTCCGGCCTGCATCCCTCCACGCTGCCCGCGCCGCTACCCGCCAATGGTGCGTGCCCGCCTGTACCTCCCTGCGGCACTATAGAGCCGAGCCGGACCCGAGTGAGGCACCACCGTCACTGGCAGCGCGTGCTGCGCCTCGTGTCCGGCCTGCACCCCTCCACGCTGCCCGCGCCGCTACCCGCCAATGGTGCGTGCCCGCCTGTACCTCCCTGCGACAGACACTATGGAGATTGAGCTCCATTACATATACAGAAGTGAAGTACATATACATTTGACGACCTCCGTGGTCGAGTGGTTTGTACCCCGGGTTTCATGGTGTCGCCGACTCGAGAGGTCGCAGGTTCGAATCCCGGTGGGGGCAGATGTTTTTGTGATGTATACGAGCATTTGTACTCCAGTCATGGATGTTTAATATGTATTTCTATAAAAATATACTTATATATGTACAGTATATGTATTCTATCCGTTACCCTAACATCCTATAACACAAGCCTTGCAGTGCTTACTTTGGGGCTAGGCTAATTGGTGTGTTTAAAAAAAAAGTCTCAAAGTAGCCTGTCCAAACAAAGCTTAAAAAAAGTGTGTAGTGGCTGTATCAACGAAATTGCTAATACTCACATGCAACGAAGACCACTTAACGTCAAGTGGCCCGACTGCTCTTCTGTCTTCGAATGTAATAAAAAAAGAAAAACTTGCATTATTAGTATGAGAGAGACAAAAAGATCTTGCAACCAATAGTTTATACAGGTATAAACTGCACCATCGCTTTTGCTCCATCTAGAGAGTTGTCTGTTTCATGGGAATGAAACTAAGTTCAATCCCTATGTCCATGTGGCCATAGGAACATATTTGAGTTAAACTGTTTCCAGATTTACAGGATATGCCTAGTAAAAAATACGAGGTAAGTGTTGTATTATAAACCCTTTTCTAATGTCATGTGTTTCATAAAGAAATATATTTGTCACTTGACAGAGATGACGCGAAAAGCAATGGTTTTATTTTAACAACTTTTACTTAACATAACTTATATTTAACAGTAAGGCGAACACAGAATTTTTGGTGTAAGCAGTCATTATTATTAATTACAACTCCTCCTATAGAAATATAATAAATGAAATGATTGTGCAGGCACCGTCCTAGGTGGCACGATGGAGCTGCATGGCACCAACATCTCGCTGGCGTGTTTCCATGGCAACAGCTTCAAGGCCAAGTCCTGGGCGCTGTTCAGCCTCAAGGACCCTTGCATCAGCTTCGCGACGGAAGCCCAGCAAATGACCAACGAACAGGGTAATGTTTTTTTATACATCACGGTGAAATGATGCGCTTTAATCCTAATTGAAGTAATATTTTTCTCTTCAATAGACAATGTTTTATTAACATATGAGGTTGACAATTAATAAAATACTATATTCTTTTGATGTTAGTATTACCATCAGCCATCTATACTATAGACAGTACAGTCCCCGTGGCACGAGCACCACAATTTACATTTAATCACGTTTTTTATCGCGTCTCACTTTCAAATTTTATAGTAATTTGACATTTGAGCGAGATAAAAACGAGCTAGTCTGTCTGATGAATAGGGCCTTATTGCTCCTTTAATTTACTGTACTTTATATGGCTATTTGTATTTGTAAATTTCAATTGAAGTGCTGGTATTTTAATGCCATGTTCTGTTTTCTACGTGATTTAGAGTCAAACGTTTACGTAACGGATTATTCATGAGTGCATGTACCTGTTTGCATGGTTTAACGTACGAGAATGCGCTGTAAAGTTCATTTCACCTCACGCTATCATTTAAGCGTTACCAACAAGATCAAATTCCACCAAGTACCCAGACATATCCTGACGAACCATCTTGTTTATGCAGGCCGAAGCAGCGAGGGATAACCGTATGGCCTCCACCGCGTGTACTTTTTCGACTTCCTACAATTTATTCTAAATCTGTCTCCTTTGTCCCTCTGCCCTTTCTGGGGTCGCTTTCCAGCCGTCCCGTGCCCACTTTGAAGTGTTATCGCTGGCTCCAACTCGATGTTGTCACGGTTTATTTAGGTTTGGTTTAAGGAAAAAAGGTTTTACAAAGACTAGGGTCGTGGGTAGGATGGAGGTTGGAGCCAGTCAATGCACCGGAGTGGCACTCAACTGTAAGGTGCTGCGTCTTGGTCCCAGCTAAAATGGCCAGGTTCCAGAACTCGTGGCAGTCTGACCTTCGTGGACCTTCGTCAGTCCTCAACTGAGACAGTGGTTTCCAGGGATCAAGAAACCCGTACGTAGTTGCCAGTATGGGATATACCAGCACTAAAATATTAAGGAAATCAAAACTACTAACAAATTATAAATATAAAACGTTTGAAATTGCAACAAGGCAGAATGACTTGCAACTCAATTTTAACTTCAAATGACACAGCCCGTTCGTACAAACAATAGTCTCTTCGACGCCTTCTGCGGTGTCCTGTTTATAAAGCACACTTTGACGCAACGCGAATATACAGTGTTCGAACATTTACAAAGCAATTATAGTTTGTCCATTCTATTATTATCTTTTTGAGAGATCGACGCCCATGAAATTTCGTATTGTTTACGTTAAAATGTCATACAAATAATATTGTACTTCATGGACGGGTACCGCCCACTTAGTGATGTGCCACACATAATGATTACTAAGATTATGCCACAGATTACAAATAATCGGTAGAAATAAATGAGTACAGAGTGAGTACAGTACATATTCAGAGCTTACGGAAGAACGGTTTGTTCAATACAAAGTAACAAATCAACACTATATGACTTGTGAAAATAATTAAATATTTAACGAGAGAAAAATACGAAGGCAAATTTTCCAAACGATTTTTATTGACAGACAGAAAAAAAGAACAAATTTATTTTACAATAAAACGTCACTTTAAACGCGTTATATAAAAAAGTATGAAAAAGAGGTTGATAGTCCCCAAAAGACTACTCAACGTTTGATAAAATGTTCAAAAAGAAGAATTACGTTGCAACTGTCGCAAGATCAGTGGACAAGTGACTTCAAAATGGCACAATACACCACCACAACATGGCGTTGCCAACACTCAAAAATATTTAAACGTATAAAGTCGAAAAATATAGTTTTTTATAAACCTTTTTTTAAATGAAATTATTAATTATAATCAATTGTACAGATTATTAGGATAAACAAACATAAAAAGTATACTGCTTTTTTGTTATATATTTTAACATATTATAGATGATAGAGATGTGATTACACTAAGACACAGAACAAATACTAGTACTCATCACACAAATATTTGTACAACGTAAAATAATAAATTTAATGTTTGTAATAATTTATTAAACACCAGTAGTAGTATAATCGATTAAACAATGTTCTAGCATAAAATCGATTATAGCTTTAAATCGAACGAGTTGTGTGATAGGGTGTCACTATTTTTACTTCGATCGATCTATCTGTCAAAAAGATAATAATATAATGGACAGACTATAAACGATCATTACAATGTCTTCGTGAACAGGATCAATGGAGGTGCAGGTGACGCAGTCCCTGACCGCGTCGTTGGGCGGCGTGGGGTCGGGGGCGGGGCCTGGCGCGGGGGCGGGTTCGGGGGGAAGCAGCGGGCACCAATCACAGGCCACGGTGTGTCGCATGACGCGCGCGCTCATATTCCCGCCGCAGTTCAAGACGTTGCGCGAGTGGTTCCAGTACGCGTTCGCCAATAGCGAGATTGACGGTCAGTGTCTATCAATTATATTAATCAGTGGAATAATAAGTGCATGATTTGAGTAGTTTTCATTCAATCTAAATATAATAAAAGAAGTAACTGAGTGACTGACTTATACATTATCGCCTACTCGAAAGATCCCGGGTTCGAATCCCGGTGAGGGCTGATGTTTGTGTCATGAATACGAACACTTGTACTCCAGTCTTGGATGTTTAGTATGTATCAATATATGTTTTCTATCCGTTACCCTAGTATCCAATATCACAAGCCTACTAGTGCTTACTTTGGGGCTAAGCTGATTGGTGTGAGTGTTGGAAATATTTATTTATTGTTATTATATTTGCTAAGGCCAAAGCGCTGGGTCTAGAGACTCCTTAGCTCCGTAAGTTTCTTATAAGGTGTAGGGGGTTCACTAAGAAAGGATTTTTCAAAATTGACCCCTAGGGGGTTTAAAATTTGGGATGACAGTTTGTATGAAAATTCTTAATCTTTGAGTTAATAGACTCACTTTATTTAGACCCGTAGATTAATGTTATTGCTTTAATTTATATTATCCTACAAATCAACAACATCTCCCTATATTTTCTTAGCTATTTTTTATGTTAAAAGGATGGCAAACAAGCATATGTCCCGCCTGATGGTAAATGGCCACAATGACCTACAGGCGTTTGCGATACCAAAAATATCACATACGCCGTTGCTTGTCGTCTCAATCCCTTACCCCGTGGAGCACGAAACCTTACACACCGACAGAAACACAACACCACCAAATCGTATAGTTATAATTTGGAGGTTACTTCCCCAGATGGACCGCTCAATTTGAGCGGAAAATTAATTCGTAGTCGTTATGTTCTACCTTTTTGTTAATCGTTTGTTTAATAAAATGTTTTTCCATCAGCCATCGAGTTGTTCCCGTCGCTGGAGCGTGAGACCGGTTCAGGGCCGAGCACGGGCTCGGGTGCTTCAAGCACCGGGGCGGGGCTCACGGGCAGCGCTGAACGGGAGCGGGAGCGGGCAAAGGGCAGTGGCGACAAACATGTGCGAGAAGTGATCTTCGCGCTGCCCTCGCTGCAGCTGCACCTGCGCACGCAGCACCTGCAGCCCTCCGCGCCGCCTACTGAGCTAGGTATATAAAAAACTAGGTGTTGTTAATGTGTGAACGCGACATGCAAATTAAAGAATTTTCGCATTCAATTCTAAACTAAGTTCAAATTGAAACGTCTGAGGCCCGTATTACAGAATGACAACATGTCGCTCTGTAAAGCACATAGCGCCGTCCCTTTTTAACTGTGCTCAAGTAAATATCGACACTTAGTTGTCATTCTGTAATACGGGCCTGTATTCAAGTAGTAAAAATTATAATAAAATCTATTAGAGGCTAAGCAATTTTTCGAGCTATTCAAGCGATACTGGTCTTTTTCGTTTGTAAATATAGAGTTTACAATTATTTCAAACTGAAAGTACTCACCGCGTTGTTGCCGGCCGGTGCCATTCCGGTGTGAATTGGCTCCTACTTTATTAATACTAGTAATAATATACATAGATATAATATTGTTAATGATGATGAATTGTGGACAATAGTAATATCAATTACTCGTGTCTTGTGATTCCGAAATGAAAACTAATAATCTTTATATATCCTTTTAATTTAGATCCAAAGCCAATAGTGGAATGCAGCTTCATAACAGAATTTGAGGACCACATTTTCGTGTCGGTGGACGCGGAAGCATTCCTGTTCCTACATGATCTGATCTCGTCCTATATCAAAGAAAAGGAACGTGTTGTAAGTATGCACACACATATTTCTATATTTTTTTATTTATAACTACGTTTATTAAACTCGGCTCATATTATATCTTGAACGGTTTGAAGTTGGTCGTTGATGGCTGCTCAGTAGGCAATATTATTCTTAAAACTTCTTTCTGCTCGTGTGCCCCATATAACATAAAAAAAAAACACCCAATACGTAGATAATTGTTCAAGATTATATCGGCGATGCTATATTTGTGTATGATATAGGATCAGATCACTATGATCCGTGTTAGAACCAAATTTTTTTGCAATTATATAGAACTTAAAGGTTTCTCGTGATTTTTTCCATTTCCATAATTAGAAATTATTTGAAACAGATGAAATTAAATACAGGTTTGGTTATAGAATATATTTATTCTATACTTAATTAGGTTATAGTTTCGCCGATATATCTTGAGCTTGTTTTCAGTAAGAAAGAATTTTCGGAAACCTCTTTTCATCCTAAAGGGGTAGAATTTTGGAATAGCTTATTTGTGGATAGCCCTCCCCTCCCTAGCCAGCCCTTTGGCCTGGAGGCATCTTCTAAATGGCCATTTTTAATGAACACCTGGACGTTTCTTGAATCCCGGTGGAGCAATTGTTAGTATTAAGAATTCTCGCATTTATACTTTGGTAAAGGATGTTTATATATATTTCTGCATACAAGCAAATCGCATAGGGCCGCTATCCATTGCAAAGGGTATTATAACAACGGCCATTAACAAAAGGTTGAATGGGTCTGCTTAAGGAGAGGTAGAATCCCAGCTAGCCACGTTAGCATCTTTCCCCAAATATTTGGCAAAGGACAGTTATTCCTTACGTGGAACGGTGTGGTAACGCGGCAAGATGCGTTGACATGACGTGCAATTTTACGACCAGTATACCCTTAGCACGAACCAATATCGAATTCGAATAGTTTGCGAGTGCGAAATGTCAATATCACATTTTGTATAGAAACTAGAATATCAGCGCCACAACGGACGTAACGAGAACTAAATATCAGTACACAATTGATGTATAAAATAGATCGAATTCGTAACGTTTGCGAGTACGAAATGTCATTGTCAAATGTGTACTGCTTTTTAGTTCTCGTTACGTCCTTTATGGCGCTGCTGTTCAAGTTTCGATACAAAATTTGACAAACACTACGGACTCGCAAATTATTCGAATTCGATAATGGTTCGTGCTAAGGGTTCGGGTTTGCAAGTTCCGTCAACGTACCGTGCAACGTTACCGGCACCGTATCACGTTGACGACGTCGTGACGTGGAGATGTGGACAGACCCATGTTCGTTCCTGGAGGTCTACTCTCTTTCTCCGAAATGAATTTTCAATAACGAAGTTCAAACAAAATTTAAATTTCGTCAATTTAAGGTTACACTTAATTTGAACGAAAAACTATCAAATAGAAGCTTTCCTTGAGTAGGATTAGAAAATATACACCTCAATATATATTCCGACGACTAATATTATTATAATTAAAAAAGAACTAGAAACATAGTAAAAAAAGTGCGAAGTTTCGATCGAAATTTCGGTTTTCGTTAAATTAGAGTAGGCCTCCTGTTTTGGTTGGTAAACGTAGTGTTATGCGTTCAGATGCCGGGCAGCGCTCGCGCGTCGTGGGGCGAGGGAAGCACGAAGGTGGCGCCGCAGGACTATCGTGACTACAACTGCGTGACGTGGCATCTGGAGCCCACCGTAAGGTCGGTACTGAGCTATACTTGCTGAGGCACGAGCACGGACTTTAAAGGGTGTCAGAGACGCCTTCTAGCTGAGCGAAACACAGGTTCGAGTGGTCTAGAGGCTCCTGACGGTGAGGAGACTTCCGCCATGAGGAGATGCCATCCGCCTGGAATACCTCTAGAGGCACTCGCCAATAGGGGTGATGACGGGGTACAGTAAACGAAATTCTATTTAGTCCGTCAGTTAGATGATCAAAAAATAATGGACACGTATTTTTTCTTTGGGCAATCAACCAAAAAATGACAAAGTTATAGCGCGTCAAAGTTTGGGAGTAGGAGCTCGTGACGTCACTTTTGAGTGAATTTTCACTTATAAGTGAACTCAAACGTGACGTCATGCGACTTTTCAAATCAATATATCTCTGCTATGTTTATATAATGTGAAAAAAGAAAAAATACGTGTCCAATATTTTTGATAATCTACCTGATAAACGAAGAAAAAAAAATAGTCATCATCCCTATTCTCGGCTTGAGGTCCAATAAGGATCTCGCCGTCCCCAAACCCGGTGACGCTGTAAAGGTCATTTGCGACCAACAGAATACTCACTAAAAAAAACGGTTTTTGATAGCTTCGTAATAGTGTCGCATCGTCAAATTTAATATGAAATCTCCGGACGTAAGAACAAACTGGCCTCTTTTATACAATGAATGGAAGATGATAATATGATGAGGATACTATTACGGATCTGTCGAAGTTGGACCTGCTATCATTGTGCTACACTTGCCTGATGCCTGGACCGCGTGGAATTTATTGTAGTAACATTTTCTTTTGATCTCGTATTCTGTGTTAGGTCGAAGAAAGATTATTCTTTTATTGAACTGCTAGGTTTTGCATATCTATTTTTTCTGCAAACTGATAGGTTGTTGTAAATTAAAAAAAAAGTCAGCTGGTGTGGAGTTAATTGTAAGAACTGAACTGCTATGTTTGACAATTAAAAAATAAATAAATAAAACTATACATACCTAGGCATGTTAGTGCGATTGAAACTTAAGAGGGGAGGCGGGCAATATTTTTTTTCATACAAAAGCGTTTGACTGATTCCTTCTTGATTTGTATCACTGAAGAAATTATTTTCACCATAAAATGTCTTCCTTTTTTTCGATAAAATGTGTTTCAAAGCAATGATGCCAAAAATAAACAAATTTTTACCACCACTAAAGACATCTTAGTGTGGAGATACAATAAGCATTTACAAAAAAAGCAAGACGTAGAGGCCTAGTATAAGTACTTATTATTCTATGGGTAAAATTTCTTTTACATGAGTATATCTGATTTTCGAGGAAGAAATCGTCGTCAGCGAAACCTTAATTTTGCAATTTTTATACGCAATTTTCAGGGCTGGCTACTGTTATACTTATCGCACGGCATTTGCCAATGCGCGACAGCAATAGTTTTTTCAAATACCTATTTCTCAAATGTCTCTCAGCTTACATCCGCTCTTAATGGTGTCTGTGAAGTTAGCGCAAGTAGCGGCGCAGAAAACGAAATGTACTCTACATTTCATGATGAAGTAAGCGTGCGCGGTATGTCACTGAACTAGAATCTGCGCACAACTCGCTGCTAACTTCACAACCGCTCTAAAGTTTGAATTGCTCTATATATCGTTTGATAGATAGATTAACATTTGATTATAACACCAAATATATTAACTTACAATAAACTGAGATATTAATCGACTGTATTATCGTATTCTTGTAGATTACTCTCGTGGGCGGGCAAGTCCATCGAGCCGTATGGCGTGGACTACATTCTGCAGAAACTTGGGTTCCGTCACGCGCGTACCACCATTCCCAAGTGGCTGCAACGCGGGGCCCTAGATCCTCTCGACACATTGCTGGCGCTAGCGCACGCGAGACTGGTGGCGCTCGTGCCGCGTAAGCACTGAACTACCGCCTATATCCAGGGCCACGGCAACATCGCCTTCAATACTGACTCATCCCCGAGTGGCTGCAGCGCGGAGCCCTAGATCCCCTCGACTCATTGCTGGCGCTAGCGCACGCGAGACTGGTCGCACTCGTGCCGCGTAAGCACTGAACTACCGCCTATATTCATGGTCACAGCGACATCGCCTTCAATACTCTCATCCCCGAGTGGCTGCAACGCGGAGCCCTAGATCCCCTCACACATTGCTGGCGCTAGCGCACGCGAGACTGGTGACGCTCGTGCCGCGTAAGCACTGAACTACCGCCTATATTCATGGTCACAGCGACATCGCCTTCAATACTGACTCACATCCCCGAGTGGCTGCAGCGCGGAGCCCTAGATCCCCTCAACATATTGCTGGCGTTAGCGCACGCGAGACTGGTGACGCTCGTGCCGCGTAAGCACTGAACTACCGCCTATATTCATGGTCACAGCAACATCGCCTTCAATACTCACTCACATCCCGAAGAGACTGCAGCGTGGAGCCCTAGATCCCCTCGACACATTGCTGGCGCTAGCGCACGCGGAACTGGTGGCGCTCGTGCCGCGTAAGCACTGAACTATCGCCTATATTCATGGTCACAGCGACATCGCCTTCAATACTGACTCACATCCCACATATTTTTTACTGAGATTTAAAGTTCATTTTTTTATGTTTTTGTACGTAAAAATTGATCAGAAATATATAAAGAACCTATAGTAGTCGAGACGGTTAAGAAGTATTTTATGAAAGAATATAAAGGACGACCCTATGTTTGTAATAAAACTTCTGAAAAGAAATTGAATCTCCCTGATTTTTCCCCATTTGTCATTATTAAGTCGGAGTTACTTATTGTGGCCAATGTATTATTATTTTTAAGAAAGCAAAAAAAGAAATACACCTCAGCGGAATGTCTTTTTATGTCACAATCATAGTATGATGGGTTTTTATAATTTGATTTTGAGTAGTACATAAACGTTATTTTGTCTATTTTTTCTATCTTGGGGGTAATAAAATAGACTGTTTCATATAAACACTTTACTAACAGAAACTTGATTCTAGGAATTTAATTACAAAAAATGAGTTCGCAAATTAACTACTTCAGCGTCGGTGGGATCATAAGGCAAACGATTGTTAAAAACAAGATAGTACTATTTAAATATTAGAACGACATCTAAAATATAGCTCTGATCCCATATTGTATGTAACCCATGCACTTACTCAAATCTTATGGGACGACCTCCGTGGCCGAGTGGTTTATACGCCGGATTTCATGGTGTCGCCGACTCGAGAGGTCCCGGGTTCGAATCCCGGTGGGGGCAGATGTTTGTATGATGAATACGAGCATTTGTACTCCAGTCATGGATGTTTAATATGTATTTCTATATAAATATATGTACAATATTCTATCCGTTACCCTAGTATCGCATAACAAGCCTTACAGTCTTACTTTGGTGCTAGGCTAATTGGTGTGTGTTGGAAATATTTATTTATTTTATTATTGGTAACTAATTCGGCATCAGAATCTGACAGTGCTCTCTTACCACAAAATGGAAGAATATAAATAGAATTATCGAAAGAATGTGAAAATCTAAAGAAATTAATTCAAGTACCTGATAGAAAAAATCCCAGTTAATTGAAGAGACACTATATTGATCATCGAGTGTAACATTAGCACTGCAAAACCCGCCGTTACTCCTTTGGAATAAGGTTGATCTCAATGTCAACATGTTTCCCTTGATGTGATTTATGTGACTCTTTAATGAATATAAAAAGAATGTGAAAAATGACCAGTTGTAGTGTTAAAATAAGTATAAAATATTGATTTATAATCTTAATTCGTAAAGTAGTTAAATATTCTTACAACCTATAATATTGTCATTCAAACATTCGAAACTTATAAATTAATTCCTGAGCAGCAGCAAAACCATTTTCATTACAATCTGAACTCACTGCCGATTAATAAAAAATATTATAATTAAGTTTAACAAAAAATACGAATAAGTTCTTGCTTTCAAGTAAAGTACAATCTGTCTGAATTTTGTAATTTTCAAGTTAATAATATTTAAGTAATAGTTTGATATTTTTGTATTGTGTACCTTGTAGTATCTTTTAGAGTTAAATGTCTATTGGTAGAACGAAGCTGTAGTAGTTGCTACCGCCTATCTGGTTTGATGACACCTCTGCTGTCTTTCTATCACATTGTAAAATTATACGTGTTTGGACAGCACTTATAAACTGAGGAAAACCAAGAAACATTTTGTAACCCTTTTGCAATTGTGAATATGAGTCATAATTGAATGAAAAGTATACCTTTGGCAATAATACCGTCTCGAGATCCATTGTGTTGTTTCCACAACGAATAAATGGCAGCCCGAACGCACCTTCCAAAAGTAGATTAGTAGGGAATGATTAGGGTTAAAAATGATTTTATATACCAAATATGGATGTTTATTCCTCTATTACTTGTATACTCTTAGACATAATTACTAAGTATAACACCGTCCGTGTGTTCTTTGCGTTATGTGTGTGTAATTTATTTGGATTTTGTATATGGTTAGGTTGTTTTTGAGGATTCTTTTGTGATTGGGCTATTTTATTATAATTCCTATCTATAACCGTTTCGTAGTTCAATTCCTTTTGATAGTCTTATTTTTTTAATAGTCGTAAAATGTGTTCGTTTACGTTTAGCAAACTATTATATTCTAAAGCTTCTGTACAACAAAAAGGATTGGGGTGACGTCTGTATACTTAATCACGGGCGTCGGTGCGAGGACTCCTTTGAGTGTAAATACATTAATGAAAAAATGTTTTATAGAACAGCATATAATGATTTAATTTATTAATAGTATTTGACATGATTTTGTGATGAGAAAACTCTGTGATTATTAAAATTAATTATCATTTTCTAACTATATGTGACGTGTTATGTACCTACACGCATGTCCCTAAAACTATTGTAAATACAAAGATTATTCTAAAGCAGCTCCGTATCTTATTGTATAAAAGTATACTTGAAGTCAATTTTTAAATTCCTCATTATGAAAACTGTGTAATTGTCATTTATATCTGAATTAATATAATGCAGCCTACATTCCAAAATATAAATGGTGTATTGCATTATCATAGTTAGATAATTCAATATTAGTGTTGAAATCCAAATAGAATCTTGTTGGTTACTTAGTAAACTTGATAATTATCAGATGCGTTGCAGCTGTAGTGTTATTTTGTATATTGCTATGTAAAATGAGAATGTTATATTGTAGTGGGCTTTCTTATAACACGTACTGATTATATTCTTATATTTTATTATGAAAATGATGATTTGTACATAATTGAAGTGATATGTATATGAAATAAAAGGGTTATTAGAAAAAAAAAGTTCTTTTAAACTACATTCGTAAACAGGTAATAAAAGAAGGTTATCTTTAAAAATACCTTATATTATGTATTAAAATAATTTTTAAACAAATTAAAACATATCAACATAACACAAGTGTGGTTAACTGATAATAATATTTATATACAAGTTCCGGTGTATTCATAATATACATTGCTTTAAACAGGCACTCACATGGTGTCAAACCAAACTGTCGATAGCGCTATGGTTCAACATTTAAAAACTAAAAAGCTAACTAATAACTAAATTAAAGATATGTTAGCTAGTTTGGTCGCACAAATATTCTACGGGTAGGAATGTTCCCGATATTGTACTGAGCAGTCTTGATATTTGTCTTTGTGCTAGACTTTGTATAGTCAGTTCCAAACGAATTTAGACCAAAAGTTAAACAGGTAGATAAGTCTGACCATAAACAGTTTAGTGATGAGGATTCATAGAGCCTTATCAAAATCAATTGATCAATTGTATGATCATATCATAGAAACTGTTAAAGATCTATAAGGCTGAATTTGTAGTATTAATAATTTTTTATCGTCATTACTCAAAAAATAACTGGCTAACTGTATTTAGAAATATAGTTAACTATTTACATAATAAACCTCTTTTTGAACGATTGGTTAGCGTGCTTTATTGAATACATATCTAGATTCGTCGTCGTCTTATATTTGTCAATTATATATGCGTCTGTGCTATAAGTAAATCAAAACTATACGACTTATATTTTAATATCCAGGATGAAACAATAAGCGAATAATAAAAATACCACACCATCTGAAATTAAGATTTAAGATAATGCTAACTTAACTGCTCATATTTGCAATAACACAAAAATTACGTTACATACTCTGTATTATTCCTTAATGTTACTTATCAGTTCCAATCCCACAAAAAAGTACCCTGCGCGAAAGATCAGACTACCTGAACTTTATGTTTTCGGGGTCGCTGAGTCCAAATATGGTGCCAGAATAGCGAAGTTGGTTCGCGTTTTTTTAACAACATAAACCATATCATATGAAAAACTTAACTTTCAGCATTATTGCTGATTTCTGAAAGAACGCGAACCAACTTCGCTATTCTTGCCAACGATATTAAATACCCTAGATACACCACGTGCACTCAAAATGTGTCCCTATCAAGAAGTGCTTGAAAACGACTCAAGCACTTCTTGGTTCACAGTCACGCGCGGACCGTTGAAAAGTCAACATGCCGCTGAGCTCCGTGATAAAATGCGAAATAAATCCTTGTAGTATGTAAAATGACGTTTTTTAACAGGTATCTAATCAATGTTTGTTAATTTAACGCATTTGAAACAAATTTTGTTTTAATACTTACTATAAACTGATTTAATAGAAAATATTTGTGATATTCAAATGCATGGTGGGTAATATAGCCGTCTCTTTTCCTCACGGTCCGTACCTGCTATATTGCTAATAGCGCATTCAGAATTGCGCGTAGAGTCAAACATATAAGGTCTATATTCTTCCGCATATAGCAATAAGTCGTAAAATTTTATGGGCTTACATTTCGGACTGTCATAACTCTTTGACGCATGCGTTTTAATTAAGACCTTATACAGTGTGCTTTAAAGGTGATTTTCAATGTTTAAATAATGCCTTATATTGTTTAGACTACGCGATCAGCTTAAGGAGCTCCGTGGATTGTCTAATGTACCTTTTGGACAGGTTTCTGGCATGATTTTGTTCGTGTTGGTGTATCTAGAGTATTAAATATCGTTGATTCTGGCACCATATTTGAACACAGCGACCCCGAGTACATGAAGTTCAGGTAGTCTGGTCTTTCGCGCAGGGTACTTTTTTTGTGGACCTGTGTAATCGATTCACTATTCGAGTACTAACATCAATTGAAATCATTTTGAATAGACATTTCGGTGCAACACTGGTCAACCATAGACCATAGACAATTCCCATCTTTCAAATAAACCTTACTTTTCGATTCAAGTTTTTATTTGAAATTTTCATATATTTATAAAGAAATTAGTGCTATAAAAGATAGTGAATTAATAAGTCAAACCCATAGAAATGCAAATGAATGTGTTAAGAAATCAATTTAGTCATTGCGTGGGAATAAGAAAGTGGGAATAAAGTTAATTTTTTGTTTACTTTTGGTCTAAATTCGGTTAAAACAGACTTATAGATTCTCTACAACTAAATAAAACAGTTTTCACAGCAAATTAATTCAAAATAATTAAGTTGATTGTAATAATTCAATTAACAATGGTGCGTCATATTACAATGAACATTTAAAAACTAACAATAATGATGATAATAATATTATTGACAAATGGCATAACATATCTGACATACATTTAAAAGTTTGTACAATTTCATATTTATCACTTAATTAATTAGCAGCTGTCAGGGCGGCGTTCGAGAAGCTAGCCACTTAGGGGTGGGATATCATAATAAGACTAGCCAAAGGTATGTTCGCCGAACGAGAAAAAGAAGTCTTCATTACTTTAGACTAGAATATTGCACTTGAAAGAATTTCCCTGAAGGAGTTTCTATCAGATATAATTTCCCAACATGCGTTGCCTAATTATATTTATTTTGCATGGTTATGTAACACATTTTAATATTACTTTGTTATTAAGTCAAGTGGGAAACTTTACAAGAGCATTGATGATGATTGTCACGGTCGCGGGGCTGCACAGGGTTGCCAAACGTATGAGAACTGTAACGTTTGAGATTTTGCAGTCTCTATTCATGATACGAGGTAAATAGAAATCTCTTACACTTAGATATGAGATTTGAACAATGTTGAGTGTTTGTCTCATGTACACAAACCAAAAATATTATCAGAAAGTAAGTAAATGTCCAGTCCACAATGGATCAACTTAGTAAGTACAGCTTCATTATGCCATCACAAAGTGTACGAGATTACTATGTAACTCGTAACATGAGACTGCTAAATATCAAACGTTAGAGTTCTCATAAGATTGGCAACTCTGCGCCCGGACAACACAGGCTGTCGTACAGCACCTTTAGATAAATGCATCCTATCACAAGTGGCCTTTCCCAACACGAGAAAATATTTTTAACCTTTTTAGCCGCATGCAGTTTGCACAAGTCAAAACATAAATTCAGATCTGTTCTTCAAATCAAAATTGATTTCAAATAAATAATTGAAGCATATCTATAAAATCTATCTATAAAAAAGAACGACGTGTTCTTCTTCATCGTCGTTTCCTCATGGCTGAGGGTCGTGACCTTTCAGGACAGCACATTTTACCAACGATCTCCAGACCGTTCTGTGTTCTGCAAGGCGAATGGACGCCTGCAAGTTGCCATTTGTACTTTCTTTAACTATGTCCAACCACCGGGATGGAGACCTGCCCCTACTCCTCTTGCCTTCCACGTTTCCAACGACCAAAAGCTTTTCAAAATTATCCGGGCTATATATATATTAATAAATCAAAATTGATTTCAAATAAATAATTGAAGCATATCTATAAAATCTATCTATAAAAAAGAACGACGTGTAGTTTATAGGTAAAAACATTTATACAAAGTAGCGAATGCAGTCGGCCACTGATCCTCAAACTATTCCAATATCAAAAGTTAAAGCACCACTTACGGCCGACCCCGTATATTCTATACCCGACAAGAGATAAGCTTACCTGAATTAGGTGAGAAATTGTTTTTAGAAAAAAATATTGGGTATTTTGAAAAGCATCTCATTATATTGATTATGAGTTACGTTGCTCGATTTTTTTTATTTATTACGTAGTCTAGTAAATTATAACAAAGAAAATGATCTGATACAATTTGGACACCTCGATTATTATTATTTATTTAAGTTCCATGGCAAAGAGGACCTTGTACTATGGTTAATAAAACAAGAAAATGATACAATAATAAGTACGTTAACATGACATAGGGACAATTTACTATTACAATATTTGTTCTCATCATACAAATACCTCTTCCAAGGATTTGCATTCAAGCAAATAACATTGCACCAACTGATTGTTGGTCTACAAATCCTTGACAACATTATAAGAGCCAGCCATAAAAAACTAAGATATGCTTATTCCCTATTGGCAATAAAATATTGGGGTCGGGCGTTTAATAACGTTACCACGAAGCGATCGCTGCTGAGTTGCGAGGCGTAGACAACTAATTAGTTTATGGAGAAGTTCTGCGTGAAATCGTACTCTATGGTTGGTATGACGGTCTGCACGAACTTCAGGAACACTATCAGGTATGAGTGCACACCCATCTCGCCACCGCTTTCCGTCACTGTTTCTATAATTTTCTTCATCACTTCTGCGTGCCTGGTGGGTAATTTCGTTGTGGAATGAACATGTAGTTTGTTTTTTAATTAATATTAGCTGCGATTTATTCATCATCATCACCAGCCTATTAATGTCCCCACTGTTGGGGCACAGGCCTTCCCTATGGATAGAATAGGGAGATGGGGCCATGACCCACCACGCGGGCCCAATTGGCGGGTGCTAATAACTGCAGATGCAGCCGGGACCAACGGCTTTACGTGCTTTCCGAAGCACGGAGGAACTCGAGATAGAACAGTTTTGGTCACCCGTCCAATGACCGACCACCACGAAAGTTTCTTAACTTGTACGATCGCAGCCGAACGCGCTGACCACCCGCGCCATCGAGCTCCTCTCCTCGATTTATTCAATTTGATTAAAATATAATGCCTATCCTGGACACAGACTTAATTGATAATCGAAATATTTATTAGTAGAGCGGCCGCCCGTAACTTCGTCCGCATTAATTTTTTTGAGAATCCCACAGGAACCTAAATTTTTTTGGGGATTAAAAGTATCCTATGTCTCAATTCAGGTCATAAATTATATGCGTACCAAATCTCATCGAAATACATTCAGTAGTTTTTGCGTGATTGAGTAACAAACATACAAACTTTCACATTTATAATTTAAGTAAGTAGGATATTTTCTAGGTATTTCAATCTAAGGGAAAGTTGAGACTCAACTTTGTGACATTTCGCTTTAAGGCCTACTTATCTCTGAGCGACTAAAAACCTTAATAACACTGATTTCTCAAAAGCCTTCCTTCGCTCATCATTAATGTTTAGGCAAAGCTACCTAAATACGTAGTTTAATCTAAGTTATTATGTTTAAATGTATTTAATAAAATAATTGCGGTCATACGTAATGCATTATATTTATATGACCCCCATCTAAAATAAATATTTATAATATTAGACAAACATAAAGTAACAATGAATTATAAAGGGCAAGTTTATGTAAGGGCAGTAAACAATGCAATATTGTTGATATGATAAATCATTTCTTATCAATCGTTATACCTTTTGCCCTTCGACAAACTGACAACATTGTTCAACATTTAATGTTGAAAGTTATTTTTTTTTATTTATTATTTATTTAAAGTTATTATACTTGTTTTTTCACTCAGAACAAAGAAGATGCTAGAATTTTCTATAGTCTATTTATTCACTTTGGCGTGCGACAAAATGTGCTTAGTGCTTACTTTTCAGCACCAAAATTTTGAACTGCAAATTTGCAGTAGATCTGACATGTTACTTAGATAATGAAGTAATGCTTCGCTCAACTATCTTCAAAAATAAAGGAAAGTAAGATTGAAAATTCTGCTATAATAGAATAGTTTTAGGTGTCCGTACCTGCAAGGATGTACAGACGCCATACTGGGCCCGGAGAGGTGTGGATGAGCCTCCATAGTGACCGTCTTCTTGGCGTGGTCCTGAGACACATCCTCGTACATTTGTTCAACGCTCAACAGTGACCGGTTCTGGATTAACAAAAAAAAATAGTTCATATTCAATTTAAAGAAAATTTTACTAGAAAAAAAATATGCGGACAAGGCAGCAGGCGAGCAGGTTTTTTCTAGTAAAATTTTCATTAAATTTAAACATCTAGCAGTTGAACGCTTAATCATCATTATCAGCCTATTAATGTACCCATTGCTGGAGTACAGGCCTGCCCTATGGATGGAATAGGGAGGTGCCATGACCTACCCCATGCCGGCCGAGTGCGGATTGGTGAGTGCTAACGACTGCAGATGCAGCCGGGAACAACGGCTTGACGTGACTTCCAAAACACGGGGGGACTTCGAGATACTAAATCCAATGACTGACCACTGTGAAAGTTGCATAACTTCAACGATTGCAGCCGAATGCGCTAACCACTTGCGCCATCGAGCTCCTCCATATACCACATACTTAAGCAAAATATAACTATACTTCACTTCATTAATTATAATAATCGGACCTTAGGGTGCGGCCAGAGTGCACTCAGATTCAGATTCAGATTCAGATTTCGAAAACAAGCGCGAGAAATAAACAGTGTAGTCGAAGGGTACGGCCAGATTGCACTCCTGATTCAGATTCAGATTCGGACTCAGAAAACAAAGCGCGAGAAAAAGCAGGCAACCTGCTTAGACTACACTGTTTATTTCTCGCGCTTGTTTTCGGAATCTGAATCTGACTCTGAATCTGAGTGCACTCTGGCCGCACCCTTAGGCACTTGTCCCATCGCCGACGATGAACGAGTAGAGTACACCTAGAAACTAGAAACGAGTTAGCGAGCAGCGGACAGTAAGTATGTGTTCCGACAGTTTTATCGCTGGGCTAAAAGCGAGTGTGCAAGTCAAAAGGCGATCGTTCGTTAGCCAGTGCCAGTTCTAAGCAAGAATTAACGCAGACGAGGCCAAGCGAACGATCTACTATTAATATACGCATCTCTTTTGTTCACACGAAATGTTTATCCATTGTACGTTTCTTGAACGAGAAAACAGCCGATAGTTAACCGCTTCGTCACCCGCAGTGGGAGAGCTACCTCATTGTCCCACTTTAACTTATTTCGCCATCACCTTAAAAGCTAGAGAAAACTTTTACTATCTCAAAGTAATTCACTTCATCATATCCGATGAGCCACAGGCGCGGTGTTTGATAATACGACAAGTATTATAGTATGTATATATAAGTAATGACTTAATAATGTTAGAAAACAAAATCGAGCGAGCCTTACAGTAGTCGCGTAAGATGTGTAACATTTGAAACCTTACCTTATATTAGTAAAAAAAGAAATAAAACCTACTACTAAAGGAATAAATCATTTGAACATTATGTACTAAAATCAAATCAAATAGCGCGCGCTTTCGCGACTTCCTGTTACACACTTCCGTCCCATTTCTACGAAATTTCTCCCACAAATTGCAGGAAAGCGAGAGCAAAGACGTTGTCACACACACATCAATAACAGTGGATAGGGCGTTGTAAATAACTTTAATTGTATATTTGTAATATAATGACTAATCACAAGATGTTTTTTTATTAAAAACTTTAAACGAAAGACATTAGACTTTCTTGTAATTTGAAATACCTACTACTAGCAGCATGCCAAAGAGGTTTTATCAACATATTGTATGTGATATGCAGGTCATAGGTCTATCTATCATCAAACTTTACCTCTATAAAACATTAGTAAACACTATCCCACTTATTCATAAAAATTAAAACAGTTTAATAAACCTGTTTTAAATATTGCACTGTTTTGTCACTTTCTCTCAAATCTTGACAGCGCTAAGAAAGAACGAGACAAAACAGTGTTTAGCTAAAACAGGTTTATTAAACTGTTTTCATTTTTAGGAATAAGAGCGTAAATAAACAACTCTCACCTCATCATATCCGATGAGCCGTAGACGTGGCGTTTGATAATACTTGTCGTATGTGATGTGCAGATCGTAGGTGCGCGTGCGATCTATCAAACTTTACCTCTATAAAACATTAGTAAACACTAAATAAACAACTCTCACCTCATCATATCCGATGAGCCATAGACGTGGCGTTTGATAATACTTGTCGTATGTGATGTGCAGATCGTAGGTGCGCGTGCGAACTATTTCATCGCCGTCTGCGCGCCGCCGCTCAGTCTTAGGCTTCGGGTCTTTACGCGGCGCCAGATCTGTTGACTGAAAACATGACTTAATTTAATAAATACCAATAAATAAGTATGTACAAATGTAACGAATATTATATATGTGGACATCAGCAAATATGCTATAGAGAAACAGCATGATAAATATATTTTGATGAACATGCTTTTCCAATCGTTATCGCTAAGCCTTCATCTTCATCATAATTATAGAAAAAGCCTTTTTGTCTGAAATATAATCAGACACTTTATAATAGGGTTTATTAATAAGAACTTTTTTATTGGTAGTTTTAAATTTATTAATGCTTAATTTTTGGATATTGCTAGGAAATTTATTGTAGAAGCGTACACAAAGACCTTTAAATGAATTTGTGGAGCCTTGTAATTGGTACAGCTAATTTATTTTTATTTCTAGTATTAAGCGAGTGATTATCACTATTTAGAGGAAACAATGTAATATTTTATCTAACATACATTAAATTTTCATAAATGTACTGAGAAGTAACAGTAATTATATCGATTTCTTTAAATTTTTCTCTTAAAGAGTCTCTAGTCTTAAGATTGTAAATGGATCGAGCAGCCTGCTTATGCAGCACAAAAATAGTTTGAATGTCGGCAGCATTTCCCCACAGCAAAATACCGTACGACATCACACTATGAAAATAACTAAATTAAACTAATCAAGCAGTATCTATGTCAGAAGGACAAATTCTATTTTGGCTAATGAACTGCAAATCTGAACTTTCTTTGGAGAATAAATTACTAATATACAAGTGCGAACTGAAGCCATTGTGGACATATGGACTGCAGCTGTGGGGTACTGCCTCTGCTTCAAACATACAAATAATACAACAGTTTTAATCTAAAACATTGTGTATGATTGCTGATGCTCCGTGGTACAAAACAAATGATCAATTGCACAAAGACTTAGGAGTACCAAATGTCAAACAAGAAATAGAAGGTGTAGTCAAACGTTCACTCCTCAAATCACACCCTAATGATATGGCATCATGCCTCATTAGCATTGACAACTGTTTCAAGAGGCTTCGGCGGACGGCGCTCCTTAGCCTCATCGATGGACAGAACAGCCTTACAAATAGACACATGGTGGAGGAGTCAATGGATTTCCCCACTAATAATTAGAAGGAAGAAGTTAATCACAACTCCAGACAAAAGTTGCAGAACAGAACGCTGGAAAAAAAATTGACAAAAAAAAACTATGTCAGTTAATTGGCATATCTTCAAGAAACTGCTAAAGTAAAAGAAAGTGCTAGTATTGACTTATCTCTCACTGAGGTAGGTATGACTTACAACAAATAGAACTGATAGAAGGAAATAATACTGATTTTAGAAAGGAACAAATCAAAACATTTATGAACAAAAAATATGTGACCAGCTTTTATTGATTTCTAGGAATTCTTTGTTGTCAGTCTTTGTATTGGGAATCCTAAAACAATGCTCAGACATTATACATATTAAATCTTACGGGGTCGACTTCATCCAAAAGACCTGACTCTTGGAACTGCTCCATGTCTTCTGCCTCGCCGTCATCATCTTCATCATCATCATCGCCTCCATCACCGGTGGCACCTTCGCCCTCACTGTCCCCTGTGTCGGCAGCCTCCAAGGTCATCTCACAAACCTGGGCACAGAACAAAAGTCAGCATATTTCTTTTAGAAATTATTTTATTTCATCACACTGTGATACCTTTTCTTCAATTGTTGGTGACCCAGCATTATCATAGTGATGAGTGTCCACCCAGCCGCCTTCTCCATCATTCTCATCTTCAATCACTTTTTCTTTGTCCTCACAATATTCAATCTGAATTCAAACACAAAAGAAATGGTCTTATGTTGGTTATTAGTAATTAATACAGTTTTTATTAATAAAATGGAGTTTTCACAACTTAATCATATTGAAGTTTCTTACCTTTACACATATTATTTCTGTGCATAGACATGTAATTCAATTAGTGAACAGATAGCTCATTTTTGTGAACTATAAATATATTGATACCTGTTTGCATCTTCGGTAGCAAGGTACATTCCTAGTGATGAGGAACTGCTTATCTGCAGGTAGATAAGGGCGCACCTTCCCCTCTTCACCGCGAGCCCACTGCCAAGTGGGGCAGTGGTGGACCAAATGGTCTCCAGCAGCCACAAACTCTTCTGGTGTGAGCACTCCAGTCTCTTGAAACTTTGATTCCTACATAGAATTATAAACAAATCAGTTTTGGTTATTATAACCAGTAATCAACATTAAGGTTTTCCCAAATGAGTTGCCGAGTACAAAACTTTACCAGCAATAATTCTGTTTTATAATACTTCAAATTGGCTAACAAAGAACAAAAGATAATCAGCCTTGTGTTCGTCCTGTAAAGTATTGTTTAGGCGTATACACCCCTATTGCCTCTTAGCGTAATTTAAGTAATTTTAAGAACATAAAGATTTAATCTCCATACCTTGAGTACGGGTGTCAGATACCCTGCTACTCCTAAAGCGGTACCTTTTACAGTATTGATAACACTTTGCATTTTATCTGTAACAAATAACTAAAATGCCCCAAGAATTCTTATTGGATAAGCACAATCCTATCAGAATAAATCACACAAATAAATAATGAAAGAAAACCTAGACAGGTCAGACAATGGGCGAAACAATGAATGAATTAAACGAAACGTCAAAAACTATCCAACGAGTAGTTAGTGTTGCGATGCAAAGTAAAATATTGATCATATCGATAGTATTAATATCGACTGGCAGCTCGATAGCTTATGAATGAAAACGATTGGAGAAAATATCAAACCTGACTGCCCTGCCAAGTTTTATTAGCAACGGCAGTCGATTATTATTATTGAATAAAAAAATGCGCACTTTACGTGGAGATTTTATTCATTTGCTATTTGTAAATATAACAGCAGTACAGTGTGACTCAGATCTTGTAGCACCGAGGGCCTGATTTAGAGTTCTGACCACCTTAGGCTAACTATGATTATGCGCCCCCCTGCCTGGCCTGTCATAACTTACAGGTACAACTAATGATATTACAATCATAGATGAGAGCTTCAGTAAAGTAAAATAATTTTCCGGGCATTTCGGACCTATTCCAAAAAGAAGAGAACAAATTTAAATTAAGAGTAAAAGTAAATAACGCGATTTGAGGTCGGGAAAGTTACCTATAACGGAGGAAACGGTTTAAAATCGCGATATCCGGGAAAACTACAACCTAACAATATCTGCGAAAAATCAAAATAGATGACTTTGTTTTTTTCTTTTCACGAAATTTGTATTTAAAATATTTATTTTTCTAATCAAGTATATTGATATTATTGAGGAAAAGAAACCTTATTTCCAATTGAAAAATCTCCGTGAAAATCGTTCGGGACCATTCATTTATAACGTAAGAATCATAAGCATAAACAAATACAAGTTTTTTTTTATGTTTATTTTTCAGTCATAATTATTAGGAATATTTGTACTTGTAGCTATAAACTTTGATTTTTTATTATTCATCTTTACCATCATAAAATTTTCAGTTCAGAGGTAAAGAATAATCTTAATTATTATTGTAATCTTACGTAAGAACTATCAAGACAAGGTCAACAATCCTCTTCCCTAAATCGCTTTACGTAATAAATGATTAGGCACTCATACGTTTTTAAAAATGCCGCATTTTATAGTTACCTAACAAACTATACAATTTTATTTATGCAATTTATGATTTAGTTTATTTATGAATCAATTAAATAGGCTTTATTTAAATCCAACTCGTATTGTCCATATTTCCTTTATATAAACTATCTGATTTAAATCATTCAATGCAAAGTAAACAATAAATGCACCAGCTTGCAATATTATATTATTGCATACTTATCTACTCTTTTGTTTTGTTTTTGTAGTGAATCAAATTATTCAGTTTTTTTTTAATAAGTGCTTAATTATACAATGATATATCGATTATAATGCAACACTACAAAATCTCCATACATGTCTGCTATATTCTGATAAAATCGCCTTTATTACATCAAACTTTAAGATTGATATTCGTAGCTGGGTACTACGAATATAATAATTATGTGTACCTATCTGTAATAATGTCATCATGACTGTCATGCTAATGACATAATATTTTGATATAAACCTCCCATTACAGGAAAGCAAAGGATATCAAGCCGAAATAGACTTTATACATTGGCCTTCGTATTGTTTTCATTTTATTCTGAAAATGGGCATAATAGGTAAAATCTTTATTTGTCATTTTTTTATCGTTTTTTTTCTTTTTTTTTTATCATTTTTACACAATTTTACAAATATAATAAAAATAAAAAATTATTGAAGTGAAGACTGTATGAACTTCGTCACTTTTGCATTTATTTTGATGACAGTGTATGTCATTGTCATTTTTGTTGCTTCAATTCGATTTTCGGACGGTGAAAATGATAATGCTATAAAGATAAACTTACAATTTTTGTTTAATCGTGTCGACTTTTAATTGTCCAGTGCAATCACACTTTTATTTGTCATCATGGAGGATGTTCTCGATGAAGTGGTATCTTCAGAAGACTTGCAAGTAAGCGAAAACTTGTGCAACAATTTCTGAGTCATCTTTTTGTATTCTGAATGTATTGTTTTCAGTTTACCTTCTTTTCTTATTCCACAGAAATTCGAGAAAATATTTCATGAACAGCTCCACCAAGGAAAAGTTACGCATAAAGCGCAATTTGAATATGCGTGGTGCCTGGTGCGAAGCAAATACCCTACAGATATTCGAAAGGTTTGACAACAATAATTTACCTCTATCACACGTCATACTGCAAGTTGTTTATACGCATTATTTATTTTTATTCATTGCTACGACATTCAATGTTGTGAAAGATTCCTTTGTCAATGAATTTATTAGTACATGGGAATATTTGAAAACTTAAGGTATCAGGAACATGAATTTTTACATCATAAACATTGCAAAATAATAAGTACTAACTCTGGTATTTTTTTTTGTAGATGTTATACACCTTTATGAATTTAGCTGCTAATATTTTTACTTAATGTTAAAGAAAATAATAAGGGTTTTAATTTAAAATATCATGTGTCTTTACCTGTGTGGAACTTTGAAACTGCAGAGAACTTTTAATAGGCAGCAACGTTTATAAATATATCAAGAATTGTGAATAAAAGAATGTTAAAAAAATTAAACAATTAAAAAAATATCTGGCCTTGATACTTTTAGGAGTAATTAAAAATATAAATATTGGAAGAATATACTTTCTCACTTTGTATTGTATTCGATTTCAGGGTATCCTCTTACTGAAAGAATTGTTTACTTCACACTCGGAAGGCAAACGTGACTACCTGTTCTACCTTGCTATTGGTAATGCTAGAATCAAGGAGTACAATAAAGCACTTCACTATGTGAAATCATTCTTAGAAATTGAGCCTGCAAACCAACAAGTACTGGCATTGGAGGTATTTATTTATTATTTAATTTAGCTGTTATAAGTATACCATAGTTAAGACAGAAACAACCAGCAAACCCATGTGAAAGTTTTGATTCCAAATTCGATTAATGGTCGCTTTCTGCTTATATTCATTCTTCTTCTTTATACTCAATGGTAAATGCCTTATTAAAAATATTTATTGAGGAAATTATGCAATCATAGCTTTTCTTGCATTGTTTAGTTTGCTAATATGTATTGGATTGCTGAGGTGTATTCTTTGAAACATTATTTTAATATTGCAAAAAAGAGATATAGTAAAATCTCAGTCTAGTATTATTGATGTGATGTCAGTTTGTTATTTTAAGAATTGGTCAGGTACATTTTAAATCCAAAGAATATTTTACTATGATTATTGTTTATGATGTGAAAAAATGAACAGTATTGTTGTACCCTACCCTAGATTTATTTGTTTCTTAAGTTTTCACTCACAACATTCATTAAATTAAACAAGTTTGGAATGGGTATAAATGCTTTTTAATACTTTTTTAAAGGAATTTTTATCGTTGATTTGTTGTTCAGCGGCAGATTAACAAGAGAATGGAAAAGGAGGGCTTACTGGGCATTGCGGTGGCGGGCGGCGCGGTGCTCGCGATCGGCGGACTCGTCGGACTCGGCATAGCGCTGGCTTCTTCCAAAAAATAACAATTAACCTGTCTGTGAGTACTATACAGTAAACACGTTTATGTTTGAACCAATGATGTGCTACTTCTGGGTAAAGTAGATTAATTAGGGTAAAATCAATAGAAGTAATTAATAAAATAATAAAAATAAAATTATAAATAAATAAATATTTTCCTAGCCTTAAGCTGCAAGGCAGCGCCATCTCTTCGCATTGTAGGTAATACTTTTTCAAGTATTAAACATTTGAAAGAAGAAATAGCAATTATAGTTATGATTTTTTTTTTTAAGCATTTAACTGCTAGATGTTTAAATCTAAAGAAAAGTTTACTAGAAAAAAATAAAATAAATAAAATCATAAATAAATATTTTCCACACTCACACCAAATAGCTGAAAGGCTTGTGTTATGGGACCCTAGGGTAACGGATAATTTAGAATGTTATTTTATAATGTAGATTTTACACTCATATTTCTGTTTATGTTAAAGGAATGGCAAACAACATATGGTCCGCCTGATGCTAAGCGGCCACCATAGCCTATAGACTTGTGCGATACCTAAAATATCACTTGTGGCGTTGCGTACCCTGAGCTAATTCCCTACCCTGTTGAGCCCTGGAACCTTTCTCACCGACAGGAACACAACACCACTTTATAGAGGTATTTTACTGTGTTCTTTTGCAAGGTGGACTCTCCAATTCAAGCGGATAAGCCGCTGTACTACCTATTTTAAAAACTCTTAAAAATGTTATGTAACGTAATACACAATCTACCTTTACACCATATGTATAAAATATGCCCTAGTGAGTTTAGTATGTAGTATCAGAGATAAAACATGAGTAAAAAGTTTATAAATATCGTTTTTAAAATCTGTTTCCCCTGAGTTGAGAGGCATTTACTATCTTCACTGAGCATTGCTAATGGTGTATATGATTTTCCTTCACTCTCAGTTCAAGTATTATATAGTTCCATTGTATCGTTTCTTTAATAGACGCTTCCTTAGTGCGGCGACACGTATTTTGATGACATCTGTTACGAAGTCATTCGGATGCCATAAACCATCAGCAAAACATATCAACATTCAAGAAATCCATATACACAAAAAAAATGATTTACTACATATATTTGTTTGCATCAGTTTTTGTATTCCAAACCTGATGGAAAACACGTACACATATCACCCTCGCGGGAGTCAAGGGGCAGGGTATTGTTTCATCGGCCATTTGTTTGACAATTTGCTAGCGGGGGCTTCGTTCCAAACCAACGGTTTGCTCCGAGAACAAATTTTCACTCTGACGTTTAAATTTTGACATAAAATGTACGTTTTGTCAAATTTGATATTTGTTGAACCTGGATCGCGTAGGTCTGGAACGCATCTCTGTTTTTTTTTGTATGACAGCCACGTGAGCAGTAGACGACGTGTGTAGAGTCACTGGCTTCTTCCAAAAAATAACAATTAACCTGTCTGTGAGTACTATACAGTAAACACGTTTATGTTTGAACCAATGATGTGCTACTTCTGGGTAAAGTAGATTAATTAGGGTAAAATCAATAGAAGTAATTAATAAAATAATAAAAATAAAATTATAAATAAATAAATATTTTCCTAGCCTTAAGCTGCAAGGCAGCGCCATCTCTTCGCATTGTAGGTAATACTTTTTCAAGTATTAAACATTTGAAAGAAGAAATAGCAATTATAGTTATGATTTTTTTTTTTAAGCATTTAACTGCTAGATGTTTAAATCTAAAGAAAAGTTTACTAGAAAAAAATAAAATAAATAAAATCATAAATAAATATTTTCCACACTCACACCAAATAGCTGAAAGGCTTGTGTTATGGGACCCTAGGGTAACGGATAATTTAGAATGTTATTTTATAATGTAGATTTTACACTCATATTTCTGTTTATGTTAAAAGAATGGCAAACATACATATGGTCCCTTGATGGTAAGCGGCCACCATAGCCTATAGACTTGTGCGATACCTAAAATATCACTTGTGGCGTTGCGTACCCTAAGTTAATTCCCTACCCTGTTGAGCCCTGGAGACTTTCTCACCGACAGGAACACAACACCACTTTATAGAGGTATTTTACTGTGTTCTTTTGTAAGGTGGAGTTTACTCCTCCAAGCGATCCAATTCGAGCGGATAATCCGCTATACTTTACCTATTTTAAAAACTCTTAAAAATGTTATATAACGTAATACACAATCTACCTTTACACCATATGTATAAAATATGCCCTAGTGAGTTTAGTATGTAGTATCAGAGATAAAACATGAGTAAAAAGTTTATAAATATCGTTTTTAAAATCTGTTTCCCCTGAGTTGAGGCATTTACTATCTTCACTGAGCATTGCTAATGGTGTATATGATTTTCCTTCACTCTCAGTTCAAGTATTATATAGTTCCATTGTATCGTTTCTTTAATAGACGCTTCCTTAGTGCGGCGACACGTATTTTGATGACATCTGTTACGAAGTCATTCGGATGCCATAAACCATCAGCAAAACATATCAACATTCAAGAAATCCATATACACAAAAAAATTGATTTACTACATATATTTGTTTGCATCAGTTTTTGTATTCCAAACCTGATGGAAAACACGTACACATATCACCCTCGCGGGAGTCAAGGGGCAGGGTATTGTTTCATCGGCCATTTGTTTGACAATTTGCTAGCGGGGGCTTCGTTCCAAACCAACGGTTTGCTCCGAGAACAAATTTTCACTCTGACGTTTAAATTTTGACATAAAATGTACGTTTTGTCAAATTTGATATTTGTTGAACCTGGATCGCGTAGGTCTGGAACGCATCTCTGTTTTTTTTTGTATGACAGCCACGTGAGCAGTAGACGACGTGTGTAGAGATATATGTTTCAGAAACAAAGTTTTGTGTATGTGTTTTTGTTGAATGTTTTCAGAAAACTTTTGCTGGACCCAGCTTTAAGAATCAGACAGCATGAAACATTAAATTTGAATGCCTTTTTTCGGAGCTCGATGGCGCAAGTGGTTAGCGCGTTCGGCTGCGATCGTTGAAGTTAAGCAACTTTCGCAGTGGTCGGTATTGGGAGGGGTGGCCAAAAATTTACTATCTCGAGCTCCTCCGTGCTTCGAAAGGCACGTTAAGCCATTGGTCCCGGCTGCATCTGCAGTCGTTAGCACCCTAAAATCCGCACTGGGCCCGCGTGGTGAGTGATGGCCCAATCTCCCTTTTCCATCCATAGGGAAGGCCTTTACCCCAGCAGTGTGTACATTAATAGGCTGATGATGACTTCTTTCAGTTTCATACGATAGATAAATATTTTGATATTTGACGTCACCAAACTTGCCCTAAAGTGTGTCTTAATTAAAATTTTGCGCGTTGGTAATTGTTGGAACTGTTGTTACAGAGTGAACACTATCCTAGGCGTTCATTACCTCTACACCAAGAAGAAAAACACTGAACAGGCGTAGGGGGGGGCCGTCCTTGCCAATTACAAGGAAATCATACACAACACAGCTTTCGGATAGTACAGTAGTTAGCTAAATTAGATATTTTCTGTACAAATATCTCTTATAGGAATAAAACACCATTATAAATGCTCCACATCAAGCAATCGTGTTTCTATCGACCATTGATAATTACCATAAAATCATAGATTATTTATTATATTCAGTGTTTTAATGTGATAAATGTAATTTGTATTTATTTCCTTAGCTTTAGGCACTATTTTGTATGTTAAGAGCATAGTCGATTTAATTAATATATACCAAATGAATAATGTCAAAATAATTCCATTAAATAAATTTGTTTTTGTTTAGATAGACTTTTTGTATGATGCTAAAGGTATCTGCGTCTTTATCCTATTGTTATCAACACATATTTAACAAAACTATACTAATTTGAAGTTTTCTGATCATCCAATCCACCAAAACTCCAAGGTTAGTAGAAAATGGTTTATATTCGTCTGCAATTAACCTCAGATTTGTTGTACCAATATGCATAAGTCCTTTTATATAACAAAACCCGATTTCAGAAGAGTTTCTGGTTGCACCTAAGCGAAATCAAACGACACACATTCAAAACAATTATTTTTATTATTCTTGTATATAATAATGAAGTGAAGCGGCATACGTCTAGTACACTAATGTACGAAATGGCGGAGGCGTGTCTGTCCTGTTACAAACTTAATAACACTTCTCTACCTCCTTGTGATGTCTAAGGTCATAATATTACAGAGTGTAAACGCCTAAATGAACATTGTAATTTCAACCTAACAAACTTGGGAATAAAGTACATAATAAACAGCTCGCGATGTATCTCAAGATGGTCGCTTAGATACAGCTAAGCCACCGATGTACAAAATAACAATACCGAAAACATAACGAGATCATGAAACAAAACTAAACTTGAACATGCAACGCGAGCGGCATCCAAATTTAGTTCACATTCATTCAACTAATCAATCGAAATAGCTTATAACACTATACCGGTGGTTATATAATGACAAATAAACTCATCAAACCAACTAACAGCTACTTTGTTACACCAACCAGAGTTTAGAGACAATGTTTGTGCACGCTAATGAGTCGCTAGTATATATAAATATCGTGTTACGTTACTCGTCTTATTGGAAGGGCGTGAACTAAATACGTCATGCCTTTGATTCTATACACGCCTAAATATTGTATTATAAAATAAAAAAAAACAAAAGAGTGTGCTTATGACCACACGACTGAAGTGAAACTTCTTTAGCTCCATCTGTATGTATATAGATGTGTGTACAATATATACATGTATGTACATATACATATTTCATTTACTAGCTATAAGAGAAAGAGAAAGGAAATGCGCGCACGCACTGCTTTCTCTTGCTTATATTCGCAACTCCCATTCGCCACGCCCGAACACACTTTTCGTAACGCGTAACGCATTCGCCAGCTTACCCCCCAAGTCAAGCGTGCGTAAAGAAGTTTCACTTCAAAAATATCCACTGAGATATGCTCGTACGCACACATTGTCTGCTTTCAAACAATTATACATTGGAATCACGCACACATTGCGCGTAAAATGAGCCGTTTTCTTTGCGCGGTTTAATTGGATTGTTCTATCAAGGCGTGTATATAATCAAAGCCCTGTGCGTGGATTGCCTACTTTATGAACTCTAAGAGGTTGATTACAGCCAATACAATAGCTGTTAAACATGGCACTACCTCAAACAAGACGGTAACAATTAATAATAATAATAATCAAGAATAATTACAGTGTTGGTAATAAAAAATAAGTTTTACATGAGTGGTCATGCTAATGAGGTAAAGTCGTAATTAAACAAAAATAAGAAAAAGACACTAAATGCGAACTTCCAAAGTTCATAAGGTAACTAAAAATAAGTATTATACAAGACAATAATTGTCGACTTATAGTCCTACTTATATTTCCACTGGTATAATAATATTTTGTAAAAATCAACAATAGTATACAGTGCAATTGGAGTCACATCGCAATTCGGTTTACGGTCAAGCCATTGTTAACTCTGGCGTTGCGGATTTAATGTCGATATTGCTTTGAAGGGACACGCCGATGTAACTTCAGGATTTTGGCACTGTTTAGTTTACATTATTTGTGGTAAGTACTGAGTGTTCTGTAAATATATATATATATATTTAAATATGTGTTTACTTCATAATCACTTTCTGGTAACTGACTATTGGTTAATATTAAGTATTTATTTATTTATTTATGGTATAACGTGCGAATATATATTAGATGGTTTCTGTACTTTGAAAGATTTTATAGTTTCACAAACCGTTATAATTACAATTGAATAGCTTGCCAGCATATGGCGTCGGTCAGGTCGCCTTATATCAATACAAAATAAATTAATAGACCAAACCAGTATTGTGAGTAATCCTTACAAATTCTTCACAAATCCTTACAAATTATTCACAAAACACTAAAGAAGTGTTCAATATCAACTTAAATGAATTAAGTACTAATCTCCAAACAATCAAAACTTATGTACAATCGTAATAAATCACTATGGCAACACTGTCAACAAGGTTATATTGTATGCAAACCAAACAGACGAATCTCGTCTCTAACACACTAAACAAAAATGACAATATATCAATCAACCCGTAGCTCTTATTCCTAAATTATTTATGAATTTCTTGTGATGTTTTTTTCAGTCACTGCAAGTATCATAATTTGATGGTTATAGTTAAATTATGAAATAGTTATTATTCTTTTTATTCATGGAAAAATATCTGTAATGGTAGATCTATAGAGCTCAATTTTGCGTGGAAGACTATTTGATTGCAACATTTACAGTCATATTTATGAGTTGAAAGTTATTTGCAGTGGAAATTAATATGAAACCTACAGTCAATATATAATACGGCGTTATGCCGGAATCACATCTCAGTAAATTCATAAACTTCTAATATCTCTCATATAAAAGGTTAAATGCTTCTCCTATTGCTCTAAATACTTAAATAACGTGAACTCTAATGTTTAAGGAAGTAAATATAATCTTGTGACTCGCTTACAAATTACCTTACAATATACTAAATAACTATAACATTGTACTCTAAAAAATATGTATAAGTATTGAAGGCTAACATGAGATTGTAATCACAGTAATTGTTATTTAAGTAACGAGCCCACATCATTACCACAAAATAAACCTTCTTGTCACTATTATAAGGTTCAAACCAACACAAACTGTTAACTACCCATATTCTATTTACACATATCCGAAGGCAACATCAAGGTATACTTTATTTATTGCTTTTGTTTCTATTTGTTTATATTTATTATTATTATTATTATGTACTTTACATATCACCTCAGAGTATATACAATGTAATACGCGTTTCTTTATACCGAATTCTCAACTGTCAAATTTGAACTTTACTCACGAGCGGACAACGTGCGTGCACCCACTGCAATCCTTTGAAATTATAAATCAGTCTCAAGGTAGTTAAAGAAATGCTTGTAGATGTCAAAACACGATATTTTTTTTTAATTTACATTCATTTATTATCGTTTAAATTAATATCGTGTTAGTATAATATTTGTATTTGCGTATCCGATATACGCGTTTCATTTTAAAAATATTTAACATTTTAAGCTCTGTAATGTTTTTCGTATACAAAGATATTTTTATTATTATAAGTTAGTGTGCTCTTTGATATAGAGGTTATGTCCATTACTCGCTACAGTTGTGACACAGTCTAAAATTGTCTAGTGAGTGCGCATTCTATACAAAATAAATGGTTAACGAGTATCTACGGGCAGCACTAACAATGATCTAATGACTTGCATATATTTTACCTACAATATACTCTATATAGTATATATAAATGCAATCTGCAAAATGCATAAAACAACAGTTATTAATATCTATAAATTGTATAAAATATTAAATAAAATCTATTGAAGTGAGGTAGATGGATGGAATTTCACAATTTGTGTGGATATTATTACTTTTTTTTAATTATTATTTATAACGTCGCCGCATTGGCCCAAATGCTGAGGTAGATGGATGGAATAACTATGTAAGTGGCCCTACTTAGTGACAGGGACCTTACATACACAATACAAAACACTACTCACTAGTCTCTTTAACTACTAAAACAATCTCACGAACGAGTGGCGAGTCGACGACACTAGAGGAGTGAACGGAGTCTAAATAGGTATAAGTCGCGGCACGAAACTAGCGCTGACCGTTATTGCGCAGAAGTAAAAATTAAGATGTGTTGGGGGGAAACGAGGTGCGCGGGTGGGCATGCGTTGCGCCGATTGTCTCTCCAGCAGGGCTTGAAACCGGTTTAGAAAATATCGGTAAATAAAGGTTAATACCGGTTTTTGGTAAAGGTTTCGTTCAGAGCGCGTCCAAAATGAGAGCGGTACCTAAAACCGTAATAAACCGGTTACGTGCACGCGTCGGCATCGCTTGAAGTTTGTTTTGTTTGAACTAATCAAGTCACAACTTGTTAATGCTCAGACATTGCTGCATTTATTGATACGTTTGCTAACATCTAGTGAGTCAAGTTATTCATTTATTATCGATGCCGTCAGAAAGAGCGAAATAAAACCCTTTAAAAACCGCTAAATTGATTCAAAACCTATTTGATTTCGCTCTTTAGGAAAACCGGTTTTTTAAGGTTAAGGTAGAGCCAAACCTAAGTAAAACGCTCCTAATGCACTTGACACTGATTTAGGTTTGAAAATTAACCGGTAAACAAGCCCTGCCCAGTCGTGCCCATGCGCAGCTATCCTTGACGCGTTTTGTTCAGCGCTAGAGTTACGTGCCGCGACCTGTATCGGTAAATGGCAGCAGTATAACATCGGTACAGGAAATGAATGCATTAAACGCGTATTCCCAGCGCACTATGTGTGTAGTTCAAATCAACGAAAAAGTATCGTCGACATTTTCCGCACCATCATCATTTACCTTCACATCTGCGGCTTGTGGGGGGAGCCCCGAAATCGGACCGTCTTATATTCTAAACTTCAATATACATTAATCGGAAATGGCACCAACGACATTCCACGGGTCAACAATTAAGTATTAAACCGCAAAACGAATCAGCTACACGACCACGAAACAATAACACTCAAGCACCGTTTGAAATACCTTCAACAGAAACGTCCTGCGCGCGCCGCCTACGGGACTGCACTGGCGTCATTTCATGAGGCGTTCTTGTGTTCGTCCTCGGAGTAGTCGGCGTCGTCGTGGCCGCTGTGGTCGCGGTCTTCGGGGCTGACGGCGCTTTTACGGATGGGGTCGTTGAACTCTTTCGTGTTGCTGTCCTTGTCTGCGTGGTCGCCTCTCTCAGGTTCGGGGTCTCCGAGGCTGTCAGTGCGTTGCCTCTCTTTGCCCAAGTCTAAAGGTTCGTCGGAGTTGCGCGTGATGTCAGGTTTATTGACGCCGTCGCTGTACTGCCGCTGCATCTGCTTGAGGAAGCGCTGGTGTGCGAGCGTGTGCGTGTGCGTAGGCGGAAGTGATCCCATTTGCGGCGAAGGCTCGTCGTACGTCTTCCTGTCCATGTTTCGAGCTGTCATTTGTGCGAGTTGTGCAGCGTTCAGACCTGTAGGACGAAAGAGATATATTTCTTTAGTGATCAAGTCAACATAGTTGAATTGAGTCAAAAAGTTGAAGCCATATGGAGATGGATAGTTGTCGTGCTTGAGCGCCTTCAACATATGCGGCAGGTTCTCCACCGCCTTGGAAGTCACCGAGTCATTTGTTCTTCGGACCAGTTCTACTTACCGATCAAGTTTTTCCCGAAGTTCTGCATGTAGGTGTCCAATATGGCGGACTTGCCATATGGAGACGGATAGTCGTCGTGCTTGAGCGCCGTCAGCGAGTGCGGCAGGTTCTCCAATGCCTTTTTTGTTCATCAGATATAGTTCTGCTTACCGAACAAGTTCTCCCCAATGTAGTGCATGTATATGTCCAGTAAGGTGGAGTTGCCACATGGAGGTGGATAGTCATGTTTGAGCACTGTCAGCGAGTGCGGCAGGCTCTCCACCGTCTTGTTTGTTCATCAGATGTAGTTCTGCTTACCGTATGAGTTCTTCCTAAAGTACTACATCTACGTCTAGTATGGCGGAATTCTCTTGACCGCCTTGGCGTTACCACATCGTTTGTTGCTAGGAAGTAGTTCTACTTACCGAACAGGTTCTCCCCGAAGTACTGCATATAGGTGTCGAGTATGGCAGAGTTGCCGTAGGGCGGTGGATAGTCGTCATGCTTGAGTGCTGTCAGCGAATGCGGCAGGCTCTCCACTGCCTTAGCAGTTACCGCGCGCACCGCCGGCACCTTGGTGATCGTTGTGTTCGCCAGGTTGTTTATATCTGGACGACATATTTCAAGGTTATTTTGGTATTAGGGTAAGTTTTGGCAGTGATTAGTGGCAGTTTTCTTTGATCACTTGGGTAGGTTGATAAAGTATGATTACTAAGTTGATAGGTCTTCAACTTGTATCAATCACAGAACAGTTCTGGGCAGTGGTATCTAAACCAACTTTTTCATTCTGGACTAAGAGTAAAAGATAGACATAGTCAGCTTTTTTCATACAGATGATTATAGGGTTTAAAAACTTTACTATTGTTTTTCGACTACATAGTAAGAAACCGAAAACTGATCGAAACCGGTCAAGGTTCAAGGTCTGAGAGTGATTAGTTTGATTTTATCTGATGGATGTGAAAAAAATAACGTATGTATGAACTCACGTGGAGGCGATACCGGCACGTTGTCCTGATAGCGGGACTGGCTAAGGTCGTCGTTGTCGTTGTCTCCGCATATTGAGCTGCTCTCTGAGGCTGCAGACTTTGCGTCCAGCTTTATATCCGACCGCCTTGGTCCGGTTGGCGAAGCGCGAGACCTCAACTGTTCTGGTGAAACTTTTACTCCTGCTTTCGCTAGTAATCTGTGGGGAAATCACAAGTTGCAATGTCGTCACTTACGTCGAATTCTTTAAAATTGAAGGCATGATTCGAGTGTAAACCGAAAGTTAAAGACTGTGTGGAAGACACTCTAGAGAATGGACGTACCATTGGACTCTGAAAAGAGTTTAGACCCTGTTGTGACAAAATGAAAACAATAAGGTCTTTACAAGTATGTAAATAAGCAGGCAATTAGTTAACAAATTTTCGTTTAATCAGACGAAGAATTTTTACGAATTTAAATGCAATGCTATCGATATAATATTATTTTCTTTTAATTTAATAAGCACACCGGAATTTGTTTCATAATAGTCTTTTTAATCTTTTCTTTAATAGGAAATGTTATAATTAAATTCTTATAGCATGTGATCATACTCACTGACTGGCCAGCTCGGGGTCGAATCGCGTGGGCATCTGTAGCACGGGCAGGTCCTTGGTGGAGATTCCTCTGTGTTGTCGGGACATGTGTGAGTGTAAGGAGTTGCGCGACTTTGCCACTGTGCCACACAACACGCAGCTGTGAACAAGAGTAAGTATAAAGTTATGATCTAGCTACGAGTATACTCTTGCTTCACGTCAAACGAATCTGTAGTTGCAAATGGGAAAATTGTAATATAGCGAAACTAGAAGACTGTCACGTTCTAAATAAGAGTTACTTGATGTGATTTTTTTAAAGTCGTCGGTTATACATAGACAGCGATTGATAAATGTCGAGGAACACTTGTGTATGGACCACAGCAGTAGCGAGTACTTAGATGAATTATCTCTATCCATATTGTCTTCTCTGTTATCTTTGAAAAAGGCGTGGTTATATGTTTTCCAACTTTTCAACTCATTTGTTAAACGTGATTCTTAGTTAGATAACGACGCATGTAGCGATATCGAGCATAGCTGAGCTTTAGTACAGTCAATCTGTAGGTTGAGTCGTGAAAAAAAAACCTAAAGGGTAAGTCTTGGTTTTTCTGTTGCCAAATGACGTCAGTAAGCCACCTTGGCGATGGGCATGTTCAACTCGTAGGCGTTTTTTGAAAAACTCAAAAAAACCGTCAAAAATTTTTTGAAACGCATTTTTCTTGTTTTGTATGCATTTGAGAAACTTTTTTTTCGACCATAATTGTAGAGGGCGTTGAGTGCTACAATTTATGTCATTGTTGCAATTTCGTACAACAAAAAATGCGCATTGTAGGTGGCGCTAAAGTCTCAAAAAAGTGTTTTTTCGCTTTTTCACCTTGAAAATATCATTTTAATGGAAAACTTTAAATGGCGAAGTTGTTTCGTACATAATTACCAACAACTTTTGTATAAACAATTATTTTGTATTACTTACCGTTTTCAAGTTATAAATTGCGCAGGTATGAAAAATCCAATAGAGCGGTTTTGGGCAGTTCAAGTACACATTTGCAGTGCACATTTCAATGTACGTTTTACTATTTTTTATTTTTTTTTCATGATTGCAAAACAAAAAAAAATAAAAAAAATAGTTTTATTTTTAATTTTTTTCATGAGTGAAAAAAAAAATAGTAACAACGTACATTGAAATGTGCACTGCAAATGTGTACTTGAACTGCCCAAAACCGCTCTATTGGATTTTTCATACCTGCGCAATTTATAACTTGAAAACGGTAAGTAATACAAAAAAATTGTTTATACAAAAGTTGTTGGTAATTATGTACGAAGCAACTTCGCCATTTAAAGTTTCCATTAAAATGATATTTTCAGGGTGAAAAAGTGAAAAAACACTTTTTTGAGACTTTAGCGCCACCTACAATGCGCATTTTTTGTTGTACGAGATTGCAACAATGACATAAATTGTAGCACTCAACGCCCTCTACAATTATGGTCGAAAAAAAAGTTTCTAAACTGCATACAAAACAAGAAAAATGCGTTTCAAAAAATTTTTGACGGTTTTTTTGAGTTTTTCAAAAAACGCCTACGAATTGAACATGCCCATCGCCAAGGTGGCTTACTGACGTCATTTGGCAACAGAAAAAACAAGACTTATCCTTTAGGTTTTTTTTTCACTGAAACGATATTTTTTTCGACAGATTGACTGTACTACTTCCCCATTTCTCAACATATAACTTCTGTGTTGAGAGTTAACCGAGGTACCAAAGCGGTTATCTTACGAATCTTCAGTATTAAAGAATATTATTGAAATAAGTAATCATATATAAGTAAGGAGCTCGATGGCGAAAGTGGTTAGCGCGTTCGGCTGCGATCGTTGAAGTTAAGCAACTTTCGCAGTGGTCGGTCACTGGATGGGTGACCAAAAATTTACTATCTAGTGCTCCTCCGTGCTTCGGAAGGCACGTTAAGCCGTTGGCCCCGGCTGCATCTGTAGTCGTTAGCACCCACCAATCCGCACTGAGCCTGTGCCCCAGTAGTGGGGACATTAATAGGCTGATGATGATGATGAAGTAATCATATCAGAGCTTTCTTTCTAATTTATGAATGTAGAAAAGAAAGGAGAAGTTGCGGTACATAGTTACTTACCGATACCCAGGGCATACGGTGTGCTTGTCTTCAAGATGCGTGCGGAGCGTGTGAGCTGAGCGGTAGATCTTGCCGCACTTGGGACACGGCCTCGGATCGGTAGCTCGCACACGGAGTAGGTCCTGCGTCCTTCGGCAACCACCTGTTAAACGAGAGCAAGTTATAGGCTACCTACTGCTTAAAGCGAATATCTGAGAAATCGGTTACGACATTCAAATATTAAATATAGGTATTTGAATTAGGTTTAGGATTACTGTACAGAGAATTTTCAATAAAAAATAATATTGCTGTTAAGTTTTTATGTCGGCATTTGACATGGCTATTCGGATTTGCTATTTGTGAACTTGTCGACAATAGTGTCGATTCTGGCTTGATTATCTCGCTTAAAACTATATTTAACATCAGTCTCTCTTTTTCATTCTGTATAAAGAATAAAAAATTAAATGGAAGGATACACTGTTGTCAAATTTTTAACTTAAATTTGACAACAGTGTATCCTTCCATTTAATTTTTTATTTTTAGAGGTTTAGAGAATTATGCCAGAATCGACACAACTCTCTTCCTTTACTTCCTTTTAAAAGAGTATGATAAGGACAGCCTGCTGTCAAAATGACAAATAGCAAATACGAATAGACATGTGAAGTACCACCATTCCAGCATTAGATATTTAAATGTCGTATTGTTTGTATGGTAAATAAAATATAACTTGTAGAATACGTCTTACCTTTTTGAACGAAGATGTAAACCAAAGTTGATTCATACCAATCATCATGAGAAACTAGTTTTTGTTATTTTGTTAGTATGTGAAATAAAAGAACTGAGCCCGAACCATGAACTCATAACGATTATTAAATTTGACTTCGCTAAATGTAGTTTTGTGTATACAAGCATCCCGTTTCCGCGTCTTATTTTGGATGAAGTTAAAAGTTCATGATTCGTGCTTGGATTAGTACCTAAATGTTATTGAGGAACAACACCTAAGTGATACATTGTTTAAAACTTTCATGGTCACTAACATTATAGCTTTTAACGGGATTGTTACCATGTACCTTGATTTTTCCTCCGTGATCATGGCGCTTGCAACAGTGCCGAAATATCGGAGACTCATAAAAACAAGGTACATTTTTTTTCTTCCTTGTTATCTGTAATCGGTCGTAACAATCCCGTTAATAGCTATAACACCTTAGTGTCCTTTACATCCCATGGATAAACTTGTCAATAAACGTGCCCCTAACAAGGTCTAAGTGAAAGTCAACATTCTACTTGGTAGTTTTATTGTTTATGTATTTATATATATAAGCAGACACTTTGTTCGGGTAAAAATTAAATTATTACGTATATATCGTATCACTAATACATTCGAAACTAGTGTCGTTTACTCACATTGAACATTTGGTTATTGAAATGACTAAATTTACATTGTTGTACGCTTAAACATTATGTTTTATAATTATATGTATAATAAGATATACGAGATTGCCTCTGAGGCGTCAGGAACAATTTTAACTACTCGCTAAGTTATTAATCAATACTTTTAAATTTTTTTTGGAGATCTATCGCCGCGATTCCTATCGCATATATTTTAAAGGCAACTTCGACTGAACTACTTACGTATGAAACTGTGTTTTTTACTATAAACGTGATTATTTCCTAATGATTGAATTGAAATGAAACCAAATTATACAGCTTTATCGATTTATACTGTTTTTTTTATTATATCTATTTAGTAATTACTTTATGTTTGATTTCATGGTTTCTTAATATTGTCTGCATTATATTGGTAGCATCGCTGTGTAATAGCTTTAAGAAAAAACACTAGACGATCGCGGTTTTCGAATATTTTCAAAATTTCTCTGTCCTCATTTGTTCAAAAGAAATATTTTTATTAGCTTGTACGTACAATACTATTGCGAAATAGATACATAATCACTAAATTTTCTAAACTGTATAAATTAGTTTTACTTCAATTTACATACGTTTTATTTCCCTCAAACCATTCATGAATTTATTTCATTGATAATAATGAGATCAAAATGTAGATTCACACACTCTTTTGCTTTGCATTATTCTCGTGAATATTATCTCTATTGGTTTGACTTCATTAATTTTAAGGCCTTATTATTGCATTGAATTTTTCGTTTTAATATTATGTATAATATTATCATGATATTGTTGACCCTGATGCTGACATGATTTTCTAAACTTAAAACATAAATTTGTCAATATATTGTCCTTATCATGCTTTAGAGACTAAAAAGGAGATACTGGTGTCGATTCTGGCATGTTTCTCTAAACTTAAAACTCAATTTAAAATCAGTCTCTCTTTTTCATTCTATATAAAGAATAACAAGGCTACACTGATGTCAAATTTCATTTTAGGTTTAGAGAGTCATGGCATAATCGACACCAATGTATAATTTATTTTTAAGTTCATAAAATCTCCAGAATAAGGTTCATTATTATATAATTCTATCACTATTATGTTTAAAAACTGATTCCAGTCTATTAGTTCTACTATTTTTTTTATTTTTCATCGTAGTTCCCAACAAAATGTATAACAGAATAAAATATCATCTTAACATACTTACTGGGTTTCTTGATACGAAAATATATGCGAATGGAATTGTCTATTTACACAAAAGTTAAATAAATCCATCTTGTATTCTCGTATGTTTGTCTACATTGACTAGATATGTTTTAGATTGTGCATTAGCGTAAATTGCGTCATGAACATCTTTTCGAAAATAAATACTCTATAGCTGGAAGAAACACATTCTTATCTATTGCGTTCAAAGGCATTACAACTCTTTATTCTATTTCGTATTGTCTTATCTATGGTCGAAAGTATAAACACAAAAAAAACGAGTGTGTTTATGACCACACGTCTGAAGTGAAACTTCTTTAGCTCCATCTGTATGTATATTGCGCACTGCTTTCTCTTGTTTACAGCCCTCACTCAACTCCCGTTCGCCTTGCCCGATCACACTTTTCGTAACGCATTCGCCAGCTTACTCCCCAAGTCAAACGTGCGTAAAGAAGTTTCACTTCAAAAGAAGAGGCGGCACGGCACCTTTCGGTACAAAGTAACTTAAGTTCCACTTACATTATTTTGTATGCAAATCGATTCGTACCAATAACTTTAAGTCTTACAAGGGATGTCCCGACCACCTTAATATTGAACACATCTGTCACTTTAAAGCTACTTTTAAGAAGATAGCTACTATTGAACATCAGATACGAGGACATCGCAGACCAAACGAAGGGATGGGGTAATGGATACAATGAAATCATCGAAGCAACAATGGAAGTATAGATATTCAGGAAGTCACGAGAACGGTCGACATACTCTGTCGCACTTCGTAATCTATCAATGGCACCATTCATCACATGTCATAATGCGCTTACATTATTTATATCCTTACTTAAACAATATCAGTCTATTCTACTACAAAAATAATTTTCAGTCGATTTACTCTAATCGCTTTATACATCACGTACATATTCGCGTACTCGCAAAAGTAACACCGTAGGTAGGTAAATATGAAAAAATGCATTCCGGAGATCGTTATTCACAGATTCTATATGGCGAATCGCATGTCCCACCATGTAGTTCCGTTTCACAGCCGTTTTGTTCGAATCTAACTCGCGCAGGTCAATTGGCCCAGCCGCAGCTCCACTTGAGCGTCTTCATCTTCTCCCACTGGCGGCGGTGCTTGATGCGCATGTGGTTGCGCACGGAGTTGGGGTGTGCGAAGTAGCGCGCGCAGGATGACACCGGGCACACGGGACTGTCGCGCGGGTAGTGCGCCGCCAGGTGCGCGCGAGCTGCGGCCAGCGACCCCAGCCGCGCCAGGCACAGCGGGCACTGCAGCGCGCCGCTCGAAGCCCACCCGCTACCCTCCCCCGCCGGGTTTGCCAACGCGCCCCGCGCCGCGGCATCTGCAATGCCGACAACCACCATGTTACTCAAATATCTAGCGGTTGGCAAACCCGACTTCGTTCATACCCCTCATCCCCCCCCATCCGACGACCGCAATAAACTCTCTAAAAATATTACGTATGCTATGTGTATAGTATATCGAATCGATCGACCGTCCCGTCGCGTCTCGGCTGACGCTGACCGTTGGCACACTGTTCCTTCATCATCTTTTGTCGACGTATCCGAGTCGCTTCCGAGCGACCGTGTCGTGTAGGACGCGCGAGGACGGCATCACCACCAGGCGCCGAGCGGCGGGTGCGCGGGGGGCGGGGGTCGCTCGGCGTCGCGCCGTCTCTAAGAGTTCTGTCGCTGGCGGATTCCGTGCGCTTGCAGCTGGTGGTTGATGAGGTAATGCTTGGTTTTGCACTTCTTGCCGCAGTGCTGGCAAGGGAACCACTGGTCGCGGTCGGTCTGCGAGTGCACATTGAGCATATGCTGGCGCAGGTTGGAGGTGGAGGAGTACACGCGGCCGCACAGGGGACACTGCGGCCGGTAGCCCATCGCCGCCCCGCCCGCGAGAGCCGCCCCTGTAACACAGAGGCGGCGGTTAGACACATTGATCCGGTTACAAGTTCGTTTAAGCGCTATTGTGAGTGTATCGGTCGCAACGGTCGGCGGACGGGGCGGGGTCGCGCCTCCTCTGTTTGACGCCGTGTATCGAGTTCATGTGTATCTGCATGTACTGGCGCGTCTTGAAGCCCTTGCCGCAGACGGGGCAGGAGTGCGCGAGCGTGTGCGCGGCGTGCACGTTGAGCAGGTGCTGCTTGAGGTTGCTATTGTTGCTGTAGAGCTTGCCGCACTCGGGGCAGGCGGGCCTGGCGCCGGCGCACGCCTCACCGTTAGCGTAGGCGGCGGCGGCGGTGGCGGCGACGGGCGCGCCCGCGTACTGGTAGCCGCCCTCGGGCTTGCAGCTCGCCTTGCCCTCGCCGCCGCCCGGCCAGGTCGCTCCTGGGGCAGACGAGGTCTCGTTCAATGCTCGCACTCGCTCCGAGTTTATTCGATCGTGCTCTTTCGATGACGATCCTATTATCGTGTCTATGGCGCCCGACTCTTATTGGATTTTAACCGGCGTGACTTCCATTGTTGCTAAGATTTTCCTAATTGCGTTTCATGTACTACTTATTGGGGCAGAGCGTTAGTTTATCTGACAGTTAATAGAGTAATTAAGCGCTTAGGTGTCGTTCTCGTTATTTAATTGTTAGTGTTGTTGACAGCATGCTCTACATGACTCAATAATGTACAATTAATGATACAGCGGTATATTTTGTCCATTCTCATTGCACATGAGATTAGGATTAATTAATTCTTGTTAAATATTAATTGCTTTTTCATTGTTTCACTTGCGCATTAGACGCTGAGGAATATTTCATATTTGTTGTTTATCATTGAGTCATATGATAAAAAGGTGTTATTAGTAATCTGATCAAAACTTACCATAGTTATCAGGCATTCCTGAAGGTCCCGGCAGTCCCGGGAAACCTGCCGAGAACATCAATTTTAATAAAAATATTTCAATATTCGAAACATCCAATCTTTTGAACAAATCTTAAGCACGAGTTTAGCTTGTCAGTACACGACCAGCCAGTTGGATTATCTAAACCATTCTCTAGTAAGCAGGTAATATTGGTTTCCACGTCGCTGTACCTGGCAGGTTGAGTAGTCCTGGGAAGCTGTGGGGCAGTGCGCCGTTGGTGTTGGCCATTGTCGCCGGGTCGTCGTAGTCCAACGGCTCTTGTTTCGCGCGCGGCTCCGTTTCTGTGTCACTTACTCCCGCGTCCGATGAAGACTCCTCACCGTCTCCTGACTGCAAACAAACGAAAAAATGTAAGAAAATTGCTAGAAGAATATGAAAATTAGTAAAATCGTTGCAATTCAACTCACAAACATGAAATGAAATAGATAACGCAAGCGTGTATAGTTCTCATTTCAGTTGGCAATAAAAAAAAACTAACTTTGCTATATGAAGCTGTAAAAACGATAGTATTGATATAGCTGGGCCCATGATTTCCCACTACTAATTTGTTCGATTCAGTATTCAAAATGTGACACGCTTGGTATTTATACATTTTTAAACACATATTACCATCTGCTTATCCAGGTTTGTGATCCAATTCAAAACAAGTTAGTTTTCAAAGAATTCGAAGAATATGGGACAAATGAAACGCTTTAATCATACCAAATTATTGGAAACTCCAGTCATGTGTACTCCTTGTGCACCGTCTAAAGCTTGACTGAATAATGACAGTTCGTGGCCATTGGTTCCTAATCGCTCCGGACTACCGCCCGTGGCTGCTAGTAGTTGTTCCGTCCTGTTAAAAACATAATTTGTTAATGTTTTAGATACTATGATTTCATCGTACTTTAATAATTTGAGGGATGCAATATTTAACCTGGTTTTCATTTGCGCTTGATATAAGTCCGACGATCTGGCACGCTTAGGAGGCGGGGTGTTGTTCGAACCCTCTTCAGGTCTTCGTGATCTTCTGCCTTCGCGCTGTTGGGGATCTCGTCCTTCTCGTGAGCCTCCGCTACCGGTCTCCGTCCAAGACGATACAGATTGCTGTTCATAAAATACAATATTTGGATCATCGACTCAAGTGCGTTGTTCAGATAGAAATAATCATTCATCGCTTATTTTATTCGTTCGAACCCACGATTAAAAATTTTAAAGTTATGTTTGATCGCAGTATTGTTCGGTCAAAATTTGTAGGAAAGATCTGTCAAAACAAAGTCTTAGTATTATAGCTATTTTAACGGGATTGTTACCATGTACCTTGTTTTTTATGAGTCTCCGATATAGCTATAATGTTAGTGACCATGAAAGTTTAAAACAATATAAAGTCTTAGTATTAAAAAATGTACCTACTAATTGATTGGCGCCCAACGTGTTATCCACTCACACGTTGGGCGCTTATCAATAAGTAGGTATAATGCTTGTTTAATAAAAATTCTTACCGGCGAAGCCTTCTGATCCAGAGTAGGTACTGGCGCAGGCGCAGGCACGTCTGTTAGTCCTCTCACTTGCAATAACTGAGCGGCTCTTAGGAATTCTTTTAACTGTTCCTGCCCAATATGTACTTCGCCTTGATACATAAACCTGTAAGGATGTAGTGTTTAGTTAATAGGTTATTCTTTGCTACAGAATATCAGAAAAAATCTTTGGCGTAAGGAACGCTTAAGTGTTTTTTCGGTTAAATCGTGTGTTTACCTTAGTAAGCTCTCCATATCTTTGTCATGAACATCCCTAAGGATGACGATGGGGTGCTGGCAAGGGTTCGCTTTCAACAGTTTTCTGAAGTACGGACTACATGCTGATAACACCACCTAAAAAGAATAATTGAAATTAAACACATGCGTCCAAAATAATAGTCGACTCAAGGTATTAATTTAGAACGGCAACAAAATAACAGGTTTACTTAACATAATTTACGAGTTGAAGGCTGGATATTTTCAGAATCGTTCAAAATAAATTTATGTTATTACTAATAAATAAGAACTTGGGATTGTTTCAAAGAAGCCAGAATGTTACGGCTGTATATTAAAGAAGCCACTCTCAAGTTGTAAAAGTGAGAATGCTGATTAATAGGTATACAATCTCGTTTTACTATCCATCTTCTCAACTTGATGAGGTTATGTTACGTTATAATTCATAATTTGCAAAAAGTCTTCTTCGTCGCGGAACGAGACCACCGCATCGCCGAGCGGAAATCGTTTCACAGCAGCGAGTACTATGGGGGCTATTAATAGGCTGGTGATGTAGATGATGATGAAGGAAACTTACCTTGTGTGCTGTGAAGGTGGCGCCGGCGCAGGCTAGCGTGACATCGACGAAGTCTTCTTCGTCGCGCAGGCGCCTGAAGGAGGACACCATCGCCGAGTGGAAGTCGTTCCACCTCAGCGAGTACTGCTGCTCGCCGCCGGCCGCGGCGCCGCCTGTGCAACAATGCAAAAATATCATATAATTTTATGTTGCCTAATGATTTTTATGAGCAAGTAAATAAATTGAAAAGGTTTATTTGAATCAAGCATTGTATTGTTCTATGGGTGCTAATACGTATTATAAAGCTGAAGAGTTTCTCTGTTTGTTTGTTTGGTTGAATGCGCTAGTCTCAGGAACTACTTTGATTTGAAAAAATCTTTTTGTGTTGGATAGTGCATGTTTGAGGAAGGCTATAGGCTATTTAACACGACACTACGACTATTAGGAGCGGCGGTGAAACGCCAATTCGGTCATTCGACATGCGAGACTGTTTTGTTGTAATTGGCATCTCCCATGTGACCAATGAATGAACGAATTGACGTATTTTTCGCTAAATTTAAATACAATTTGAAAGATGGTTCAACTCTTCCACTTGTTCAAGTTTCCCGGTTTTCCCCTACTTTGTGATACGCGGGTTCCAATTCGAGTGGACATGAATTAACTATTTGCCAAAACTATGCAAATATGGTCCACTCCTGAAGTTAAGACCAAGCCAATGCATGACCACTTCACGTGCTTAAATTTATAGCTATAGATATGTCATACATGCAGGTAATTGCCCGACTTGATTGCATTCAGTCGGGCTCGCTCTCTCGCTGCGGCGGCAACACTTCGCTACAACATGTAAATATTTTTCGTTTTTCCAGACTGAAAGCCCTATGTGTGTTATGTATACAAGGAAAACGTGTCATTTCATTCTTAAGTACAGTTTTAAAGAAATTAATGTTGAAATATTTCATGATTACTTATTTTGACATATACTGACAACGTGGACACGTGGAAGAAATTATACCACATTAAATAAAACAAGTTTCAACAGGCCATACATGATAGGTTATGCATGTGCAGTTTTGCCTGTACAGTCAAATTGTGCAGGTATGCATGAACGTGTGTGGAAGAAGACTATGCAGTTATCTTTGCACACACGTTCATGCATGCCTGCACAGTATGACTGTACAGGCAAAACTGCACATGCATAACCTGTCGTATATGGCCAGCATAGATGCACTGATTTTATTTATATATTGACGTTTCGCATTCTTTACAGGAATGCATCGTCGGGAAAATGATTTTTTTTATTTTACCTCATTATGTACCTGTACCTGTCTATAATTTATACGTCATTGATTTTCAATTGATAGGTCAGATTGTGGAGTAGGTAATTCTGATAATATTGCTATAACGTGGTACTATGTACCTACATTACAAGCAATAAAACATTTAGGTGAAGAGTCGTTAACTTGTTACTTTGCATTTTGAGATTATTAAACGATATATTCTAAATGTCAAGGATCTATGATCTTCGCATCATAATTTTAAGCATAAAGTTTACCTGTTATTGTTCGTAATCAATCGGGTAGTTATTATAACATCTTTATAATAAATTATTTATTATTCAAGCATTGTTAAAAAAAGATCTTTCCGCGGTTACCTATGTGTCATCGGCAGATAAATGGTTGCGATTGGTGGGGTTCTCTATACGTAAATTAATAAATCACAACGACCTAAATTGATTACAATAAGGTATTTGACAGTATTAAAAATAAAGTGCCAATCGTTAACATCTGTATTAAGAATGAATATTGGCAGGAGTTTTTACTATTTTTACAGAAAAAATATTCATAATTTCACTAAAAACCCACGATAAAGATAATAGTTTTCTTGTCTATTGTCACGTGACCCAAAACGCTTGGGATTGGTGGAACTTAAAATGACATCACACGCAAGTAAACTTCCGGTTAAAGTGACATTTGATTGTATGGTTTGACGTTATAATGACAGTCGTGTGACGTCACACGACATTGAGACGCCATATTGTCCAGAAATACGTTTTTCGCGGTAACTAGAAAATAGAGTTTTTGATTTGGGTTTTTTACCGAAATACACAACAAAATGATGAATATCCACTTTTTATGGACTCTATGAACATTAGAAAATAACGTGAGATCGTTTTCTTAAATTGGGCAGATAGACCCAATCTTATGTCTATTATGAACCAGCGTCTGTACTCTTAAGAGTTGTTAAATCGTTGTACATCCTTCTTTAATTTGCATTGTTTTTAGTGTTGTAGAGTAAGGCACGATGCGACAAAGCTCACTTTATCAGTACCCTAGCTCGAACCATTTTCGAATTCGAATAGTTTGCGAGTGCGAAATGTCAATGTCAATTTTGTATGAAAACTTGAACAGCAGCGCCACAAAGTACGCAACGAATCAGTACACATTTGACAATGACATTTCGTACTCGCAAACGATACGAATTCGATACTGCTTCATGCTTGGGGTACAGTACCTTTAGTACGAACCAATACCGAATTCGAATAGTTTGCGAGTCTGAAATGTCATTGGCAATTTAGTATGAAAACTTTAACATTAGCGCCATTACGTACGTAACGAGAACTAAAAATCAGTACACATTTGACGATGACATTTCGCAATCCGAATTCGATAATGGTTCGTGCTAGGGCTACAGATATTGATTTTAAAATTGCGTCCTGAGGTATCTCAAATAGTTAACGAAATTTTATTTTCGAATTGAAATCGGGAAGGCTACTTTTTGGTGATGTTGTGTTTCTGTTTGACTGGCACACTTTTTTGTTGCATCAGATAACGTCGCGATTGGACGCCAGTACTCCTAGCACGAACTTTGACAGATTCGTATTGGTGTCGCCAACGTCAAAGTTTCAATATAAACTAACCAGCGCTCCTACGGGATGTAAAACAAAATAGCCTTTACAGCTATCGTCGCGATTGGACGCCAGTACCCCAAGCTCTAACGTGGACAGATCTTTCCGAAACATAAACAGATCGAAGCAGAAAAAAAACCTGATATGATCCATCCTAGGCGTTAGCCTTCACACTGCCACGCCCCTCTTGTATGCATTCCCCGCATATCATGCAACGCACGTGGCTCTCAAACGAACGCCTTATAATAAGTACAATATCAAAACGCTGCAGCAACTCAGTAGACCTTGTAAGGTATGTTGACAAAACTAGTTTCACACTTACAATATATGCATTTGATTTATTTTTATTACTTTATAAAACGACTGATTTTTTGCTGAGTAATAGGTAACCTTTTTTTTTTTGACTAAACAAACGTGATTTTTATGGTAAAGCAATAAATTTTTAAATACTTGCATCAATTATACAAGTAATAATATTATGTAATATCAGATTTCATCATCAGCCTATTAATGTTCCCACTGCTGGGGCACAGGCCTTCCCTATGGATGGAATAGGGAGATTGGGCCATGACCCACCACGCGGGCCCACTGCGGGTTGGTGGGTGCTAACGACTGCAGATGCAGCCGGGACCAACGGCTTAACGTGCCTTCCGAAGCACGGAGGAGCTCGAGATAGTAAATTTTTGGTCACCCATCCAATGACCGACCACTGCGAAAGTTGCTTAAGTTCAACGATCGCAGCCGAACGCGCTAACCACTTGCGCCATCGAGCTCCTCATATCTCTATCTCATAAGTCTCATAAGTCTCATATCAGATTTACCACAAGTTATAGTTGTGAAACTGATACACACTACTAAATTATAGTGGTAACTCATTTCGACCAAAGCTTATAAGCGACTTTGTGTTTCAACTGTCGATATGATATATGTATTTAATAATTTATTATAACCATACCGTAATACCGTAAAAATCACGTTTGTCCAGTAAAAAAAAGTTTTTACTAAGCAAACAATCAGTAGTTCTATAAAGTCTTTAATTGGTGAATGAATTATTAAAAACATCCTCAGAAAATAAAAATGTAATGAGCTTTTGGACATTACCATTCGATCCTGGCGAAGACATTAATCTGGACGAAAATATTATATTAATATATAAAAAATGGTGTAGTGATGTAAATACTCGAATAAAAATAAATCATAAAACATACTTTAATAAAAAAAACCATATACAAAAAAAACATATCATTCTATTTTGCTTTAATCAAAAATACTAAAAATGACAAAATGAATGATTCAGTTTAGCTATTTAATAAAGGCTGTAAGTAATTAATTGATACATAAATATATTTTACCATAGTATTTTGTTTATTGCATTTTAATAAAACCTTGTATATAAAATTGTTACTAACATATATGAGACCATGTCTTGAAATAAATGATTTTTTTTTGTTTATTTTATAATACCCCAAGTATTGAGTTTTTTTTCATTATTTTTCCTATGAAAGCATGTTTTTTAATTATGTGAAATTATATGAAAATAATTTTGCATGCTTCAAGAATAAATAAATTCATAAACCACATCAATATAATTTGTCAATTCATATTACAAAATACTGATTCACAATCGGTACAAAAGTTTTCTTGATCTTTTAGCACCCTTTTTAAATACTAAAGAGAGCATTTTAAAATTAAAGTTGTACAGTTTGATTTGATTCCAGTTGAAAGATCGGCATACATTATTTATTCCACTGCCGACTTCGGCATCTTTGCATCACACTAAAATTATTAAGGCGAAAGTTTGTGAGTGCGTGAATGTGTACCTATGTTTGTTACTTCTTCACGTCTAGGCAGGAGCGATTTTAATAAAATTTGGTATGGGGTTAGCTGGCACCCTGGATTAACACATAGGCTACGTTTTACTGCGGGAAAATATCCCTAATAAACCGCGGGTAACACCACAGGGCACAGCTAGTATGTCTATAACTCAGGAACTTAAATTCGTGTGTAAACCTATGTGCCGAGCTTTTTCACGATGAAAACTGAAAAGGTATTAAAGCCTGACCGCAGAAACTAAAAACTTGGCCTGGGAATGTCTCAATCGCTTTTAGTGTAATATATAGTAAAATCGTATTGACGTTAGATCCACTTGTGATTCACATTAAATTTGCGAGTTTTTGCTTCCCTAGTTTTCGAGCTATAATAAATATTCTAATAAAGCTCCTATAATTTTCGATGTAAGTGTGTTTGGCTGGGCGTTGGGAAACGTTT